CGGATATCTTAATAACTTTTAGAGGGTCAATTGGTAGCAACCTAGTTCTTGGCTATAACTTTTTTTTTCCACTAACGAGTTCAATAAAATACCGATAAGACTTTACGGACCTTTCTTTTGAATATCACTTATTGACATAGTCTTCAACTCTCCTTTTTTTTCGACTTAATTATAACAAATGCATGCTCATAAAGTATAATTGGTATATCTTATCTTCTACAAGTGCACCTCTTATTCTCTATGTTCACAATAAATTTGTCATTCCTATATATCCAAGTTATCTCCCAAAATTTATTACCATTCCAGAACATCCTAAAATAATCACTCAATTTTCTATTTTTTTAATTGCTTCTCAAATATTTGATCCAAAATAGCCTTTAAACATATTTTCAGCAAATAGTCTTCTAGAAATCATCCTACCCATAATATATATCCTAATATTCTCTAGCATACTAACAATGCTTTTAAACCTAACTTTAGGTAGAACCCCATTAAATATCTCACACATGTTAGTATATACCACATCACATTTGACATTAGGTATAAATAAGCCTTACACCATGGATCAACTAATATCTTTTCAAAATCCTCCTTTGCATCATGCCTCATCCCTTCCAATGGTTTCAAATCTTCTTTTAAGTCCTAGGGTGTTGTGCCTTTACAATATTTCTATAACGACTTATGAATTTCTTCTCCTTTATGACGTCTTTCCGTAATTAGCAAAGATATATGTAACACATCTCTTATGTTTTGCACTTGGAAGCAACTCTATTATAGCACCAAGCGAGCCCTAGATTAATAAACATGACCATCCAAGAAACTTAGTCAAAAACACTTTAACCGTGATGACAACCTAATATATTTGAAACTTAAGGTAACAAATATATTTTATTTAACGATTACATAAAATTAAAATTTAAAGCAATGCATCACTTTATGGGAATATGAGATGAAGGTCCTCCCACCAAGACTTATTAAATTTTCAAATCTGTCATAACTTGAAGCAAGAACCATTTCCATGTTTTCTTTTTGTTCCTTCATTACAACGACCCAAGAAATAGGAAACACTTAGTTGTTTGCATCTCCCTCTCGTACTCACTAAAAGTTCCCCTTTAAGAGGTATGTTGAGAGGAAACAACCATTCAAAACTTATAATCCTCATACAACACTCTAGATAATCATATCTTAATGCTTTAAAGCTAACATATATCCTTTTAAACCTTCCGGAATGATCATCACATTGAAAGAAAATATTGTTTCTTTCATTACTTGTCCTTAATTCTGCAGACATAATCTCAAGTCTATCAAATTCGGACTTCACATTACCTTTAATTTCTAGTTTGCACCAATTTTTAGTGTGTTAAGCAAGTGTGTAGGAGATCTCCGAACCAAAATCCTTTTCGGGTATCTCAATAATTTCCTTCAAAGTCATTTTCAAACAAACCCTACCAAATTTATGAATTAAATGCTTTCCTAGAACTTTATAACTCAACCTACCATTTTTGTACACAATACTACAACTATGATTTACCCGACATGTCTTCTCCATTCATTTTCCGGATATGCCATGTGGAGAACACAAAATTTTTCAATCACATTCCTAATCTTTACGGATGGCTCTAGCCTTTTTCTTGTCATTTTTCTCAAGCTTGACATCTCTTACATGCTTCAAAACATACCGAGTCAATGTATAAGCAAACTATCTTGTTCACAAATATCATTCCAACATGAAAATATGGATTTGGTATGGTAAAATTGAAAAAGAATTTTTCTAGATTTCATTTTACTCTTATTATTCATATTATCTTCACCATTACTATCTATACTAACTCTTGAATCGAGTCATATTCATGTTGTGCTTCTATTGTTTCAATCTTTTTTATAAGCATATTTATAAAATCATCATTATCATCATTTTGAGCCTTAATTTTCCCCATCATTTTTGTTTTAATTTTCACTGCATTTCCTCTCAAATTTTCACCCTCATTTCCTTCCAATTTTCTTTCTCATTTCTCTTTAAATCTAAACCACTTTTTTTTTCTTGTGCTTTTCTAACCCGATTTTTTATAGCTTATAACTCCTCATCTCCAAAATCGGACAACCACTAATAATCAAATACTTCCTTATCATAATTTCCAATACGTTCGGCATCGGACTCATCGGACTCTCTCTCACCAACCTCATCACCTACAACCCCTTCATCACCCACATTGTCATCATCTCCACCTACTAAAACATCAACTAAATCAATCCCAACTCGCTTCTTTACTAGCAACAATCTCCACATTAGTTAAATCTTTAACTTCATTTTCTTTTCTATTTACATAACCAGACCTCACGTAAGTTATCATAGATTATCGCCCTAACCTCAACAAATTTATCAAACATGTTCCTTTCTCCTATCTTCGAACCCAATCTAACACCATGGTCCGTAATTCGTAGCCTTTTACATACTTTTGAGAAACTACCCTCACTAAGTAATAAGTGATCTTTACCTCCATATTCGTAATACATATCTACTTCAACAATTTTTTCAATCAAATTCAACAATCCTATTAGACTTTTATCATCATGAACTAATCTAAGAAACAAAGTTTCAAATTGTGGTATAGTAAAATGGTCATTATAATACACAAAAACTAAACTTTTATGTCAAATTCTTCAACTAATTTTAATAAGGTCCTAAAACACAATAATTCTAGGTCAATATTATCCTTCTCATACGCGTGACCCACTAATATATTTAACCAATAAACCTAGTGATTAACCCATCGACCTTTTCACGGACCCACCGAAATAAAAAGTAAATTTCTTCATCTATCAAACACAAAGAATCAACAAATGTTTAACCACATGCATTGATATTAGGATATACCTTTCAATAAATAATATTGCACAAAAACAAAATAATAGAGACATACTATATTGTTTGAGACAATACATTTCACACTCGTCGACAATTAAACGACCACACATTAAACAACTGGGTCTCAAAATAAAAATATATAATTTTACCTAATAAAGTTGTCTTCTTACACATTAGGCACCACTACTCAATCAAAACCAATAGCATAAACACAATAAATAGACAATAAAGGACAAAGACAACTAGCCCTTTTTGCCAAAATATTCCTTCACTTTATCTTTATCACTATCTAAATAACGACAAATGAAGAATCAATTGACATTAGTAAGAAGAGACAAATATAACTCATCATTTATTATCGATTAATGTTTAATTAGTGGATGATAGTTTTTAGGGTTTTAATTTGGAGGTTTTCAAATTTTGGGGCTTTTGAGATTTTATAGTTTTGCCAAATAAAGTACTCCTCTTTCACATCGAGGACCACTAATCGATCAAAACTCATAACAAAAATATAATAAATTGACAATGAAGGACAAAGACAACTAATCTTTTTTGCCTAAAGATTCCTTGATTTTATTGTTTTGACTTTATTGCAATTCAAATAAACGAAACGAAGAATCAATTGACACTTATAAGAGGAGACAAAGATAACTCATCATTTATTGCGATTCAAGTTAGATTATTAGATGATGGTTTTTATGGTTTCAATTTGGGGGTTTTCTCGGTTTGCAAATGATTATTTAACAACAATAACACATAACAACTACAAGATTTTGGCTTAAAATAGTTGTGAATCAATGGTGAGAAGATAATCTCACCAACAGAGACAATCGAATAACAAAGAGAAACGATTTTGTTCGCGATCGAGTGAAGAGATAAAAATTACTTCGTCTTTACACTTGGGTAATTTTTTTTCTTTTTGTTTGAATGTAATTTTTTTAATTTTGGGGGTTTTGGGTTTTTTGTCATGTGTATAATTATTACTGACCTAGCATGCCATGTGTTTTTTTTTTTTTTTTTCCATCTGTTAGTTTCAAACAAAAAATTAGCTAGATTATGAGAGGAAACACATTAAGAAAACTTGAAGAATATATGAAGGGGTTGAATAAAAAAAAATGTACAGTAGCAATATTAAGAAAATCAGAAGAGTAGAATAACTTATGATGCGAGTAACCCTTTGTTGAACATTGATGAATGATGGTATGGAGCACCCTTCCCACCAATAAACAAATCAGATGGTTATGCAGATCAAGGTGGAACTTATTGGAATAGACTTGAAGGAAAATGCACAGGATCTTTATTTCCCCATATGTAGGAGGATAAAAAATGACTAGTGGATTTCTCATAATTGTTACCTGATAGGAGCTGAACGCAAGAATCAAAATGCAATACCAAACCCATTTCAGCCATTTCTCAAACTTTATGGTTAAAGTCTTGGGAAGTGAAAGATATTTTGGAATAACTTTTCGTCAAAATTAGCACTACTCTTGTGACCTTGTCATGTCACCTAATGGATGCCCCTGACTGTAAGGATCGAATTCCATTTGCATTCAGCACATAGTTCAATTAATTCATTGAGATTGAACTTGAAAGCAATCCAATCGATTTCCACATGTGCCTTCTGTTCAATTTTATCCAAGTCAATAGAACAGGGACATGAAAAAGGCTACATTAGCGATAACATGGAAAAAGTAACAGGAATATATCTCATTGAAGGTGGCTCACGGTTCACGTACAACATCGAGATGTGGGCTGAGGTTTCACCTGGGCACCATCAGCTCTTATACTGCAATGCATCTAACTGATCTTTACAAAACCTACAAAGGAAAAGGCAAAAAAAAAAAAAAAAAAAAAGCCTCGGATAGACAGTTTCCCCCTTTTGCTTGCCAGCAGTATTGTCTATGTATACATGGTGTCAAAGCAAACAAGACCAACCAATCTACTCCACAGCATCTCCCTATATCCACACATGGACTTCATGTTTGAATCTCGGGGTGCAGCCCCTCAAAGAAAGAATAGGATGAAGATAAGATGACTGTACAAGCTATGAAGTTATTGACAAGGAACCGCAAAGCCATTAGCCTCTTGCTGCAATCTAGGTAGTTTACCTAATTAATGATTCAGTATGGGAGTGTCACACAATTGGAATTGGAATGTCATCATTGTTATTGTTATGATGCATTTGTTTCTGGACAGCCTTAATTGCTGCCACTCTAGCTGCATTAGCTGCCCTGTTAGCTGCTGCTACTCCCCTATTCACCCTTTCATCAACTTTTGCAACATCATATGCCTTTTCCGCCGCTCGTCGTGCTTCCTAATTGCATGCAAGAAGAGCGAGTTAGAATAAAAGAAAACCAGCATAATTACACATTGTTTATGTTCTTCCTGCCATTTTGAAAGACAAGTGGACTTATTGTCATTCATGTCCCATTCACATATCACAGTACTGACTGAAGAGTTTTGATGCTTAAAAATAATAATAATAATAATAATAATAAATGATTTTGAAAGCATTATGGTGGTAGTAGCAAACCAGCAGTGTAAAGCAGTTGGAGAAGTGGGCATCAAATAACAGTGAAAAAAGCTAAATCTTTCCATTTGAATACAATTGCATAAAACCACTACATAAAGAGTCAAGGTTAAAAGTCCACATACCTGCACTGCATTGAGCACTTTGGAATGATTAACAGCAACAGGAGATACAGGATAAGAGGCGTTCTGCGTGCTTGGGACATCAAGAATTCCATTTTGCCAGTGACCAGACTGCGTCTCCCCATTTCTGAACGTGTACATTCCAAGGCCTTGCCTTCTACCCTCATGCCAGGCTCCCTCATACCGATGCCCATTTGCAAAACGATAGACACCAAAGCCATGCATCTTGTCCGCAAAATATTCTCCAGCATATGTATCCCCATTCCTAAATAATTCAAAATCAGATGAGTAGGCATGAGCAGCAAAAAAGCCAGTTTCAGGTGACTGATACTGCAATATAGATATCAGAAAAGGCTGTAAAACTTGCTACCACAAAAAGAAAAGTTAATTGATATACACAACAAGTTACAGATAGAGAGATCTAAGAAACAAACCATAATTACTCAATAATATATAATCTGAAATTGATTAGGATTCATGTGATTTCCCATAATCCATTCCATTGTATCTCATGTAAATGTGACAAAAGTGAAAAAGAGAACTGGTACAAGCTGAAAACCACAACAACTTATTCCTTAATATGACCTCCAGAACTTAATGAGTTGGATGAACAGTAAGAAACACCTTAAAATTTTGATCACGTTAACAAACTGGTACAAGCTGAAAACCACAACAACTTATTCCTTAATATGACCTCCAGAACTTAATGAGTTGGATGAACAGTAAGAAACACCTTAAAATTTTGATCATGTTAACAAAGCCATATTCTTGTTAGGAGCTTAAAGCATTATCAAGTCCCCTTAAGTACTAGTGCCAACCAGAATCCTCTTCGGGCACTTGTGATATTGACAATAATCAGTCAAAATCAGGAAAAACAACCCCATATACCACAGTTGCAACAGAAGCTAAGTTAAGAAGATGATCAATGACGATCCTATAGCTGTTACCTATATACACTTATCTTTTGCTTTGTTTCACAAATTTCCTTTTTCCTTATTATTCCCCATCAACTGCTTTTGCCATCTCATCTTCAGGTGAAGTGAGGATGAAAGCATTTCCTATTTTGGTTAGTCATGTTGACTAAAGCTAACTAAAAGTACAAGTTAGCATCATAAGCTCAAGGGGCAAGGATGCCAAAAGTGTGATAATAGACCAGGAGACAAAATTCAAACTGACCTCAAACAATATCTACACTTGCTTTAAAGTGCATTGGTAATTGCTAAATACTGATGAACATTGTTTTTGGAAAATACAAAAATATCAGCCAGAGTGGACATCAGAGTAACAGCAGCAACCATCGCTATTTAATTCCTATGGGGAAATATTATCCTTTCTACTGAATATAAGACAACTGCAAGGAAATATGGCTCCCAAGGAAAAAGTTTTTTTGTCCCTTTACACCAGATAGAACAGCCAATCCATAATGAGTACGATAAATTACTATTTAAAGTGCATTGGTGACTGCCGAATAATGATGAACATTGTCGAAGGAAAATAATAAATACAAATACAACTTTATACTTCAGATGGTCCAAAAAATCCAGCTGGAAAGAACATCAGAATCACAGCAAGCATCATTACTATTTAATTCCTACAGGAAATATTATCCTTGCCACTGAATATAGGACACCACAAAAAAATATTGCTCCGAAATAAAAAGATTTCTTGTCCTGTCACACCTGCTAGAATAACCAATCCATAAAGAGTATGATAAATGATGAACAATAACGTGATTTTCACATCTTTTCTAACCTAAGCGACCTCACTACAATAGAGTCTGAAAAGTTCATGAAACTTTAACAGACTCCATGGGTTATAAAAAGATACAAAGAAATCAAATACACAAATGCATGCACCAAAGGCAAGAAAACTACAATAATGTAATGCTTGCCATACCATTAAAAATTAAAAAATTAAGGAGGCATCCATCATCCTATATGCCCACATTTAAGAGTGTAACAAGCTTATAGCATTCCCAATCCTAAAAAAAAAAAAAAAACCATGTACAATTTGTAATGAAGAAAAGTAGTAAATTTAAAAAATTGAACCCAAATCCCGTATAAGTTTGAACACATTTGAGCCAACCTTTTCAACTTTACCCACACATGAGTCCCAGATTGGACATGCAGGCTAAATATACAAGTACAAATTGTTAGACAGTGTGAAGGTGTTATTTCGGCTCTGCAAAGACAAGCTTAGGGAAATTTATGGTACAAGTAATCATCCACTCATTGCTTAGTGATGCGAAAATCTATATAGTATATGTTTTTGAAAGGAGACAAAATCTCCTACTGTACTAGTTGTAAAATGTTTTCTTTTTAGGTCCTAATTCTAGAATCTAGTTTGAATGACTAAAACTACACAACTTCACACAAGAATAATTAAAATTACTCAACCAAATGACAACAGACGAAGAGGAGTATCATTCCCATCTGCATTGTTTTCTTTTTTAAATATTACTACAAACACTTACTTCTGCAGTCACGGTAATATTTGAGGTAGATTGGCTGCATATTTACAGAGCGTAGAATTCACTCCATCTAGTAAAAACTCATCCAAGGTAAAACCTCTATTGAAATAGCTTTGACAATAATATTTCTGTTGATATCTAAATTCAGCTAAAACCATCTTTCTACAAACTCCATAATCATGTAACTAGAAAACCGACATATTCTCAAATTGAATCACCAAATGGCCAATATCAAATCACGATAAAATTAAAAAAAAAAAAAAAATCCCAAATAGCAAAATTCTTCAAAATTACCTGAAATGGTAATGCCCGAGTCCGTGCTTGACACCCCACTTAAATTCACCAACGTAACGACTCCCATCCTCACAAGTATGAACTCCACAACCATGACTTTGTCCATTAGACCATTCACCAGCATAAACATCTCCTGTATAAAACCTATACACCCCAAATCCATGTCTAAGTCCTTGCCTATATTGCCCTCGATATCGACTCCCTCTGGCCCAAGTTTCCACTCCATAGCCATCATATTTCCCATCAACCCAATCCCCTTCATATCTTCCACTCATATAATAATAATAAACCCCACTTCCTGAACACTTTCCCTTATGAAATTCACCTTCATAAACGTCTCCGTTACTATACACCTGAACAAAACAACCAGAATTCGCCCTTTTCTCTGGTTTTGGCCTCGAGCCAATTGACCAAAACACCGGTATAGGCGGTCTAGATGCTGAATTCCTAAGCTTATTAATAGCAAATGATCGAGATAAAAACAGTCGAATTGAAGGCAATCTAGGCAAAGCTAAATTAAGAGACAATAACAAAGCAGCAGAAAATGCAAAAGCAGATAAAAAATCAAGTAAAAACGAATGACTCGGATGCGAAACCAAGAAATAAAAGAAGGGAAGCGAGAGCAAGAGAATCAAGCGGAGGTGCACTTTCAGGCGAGCTACACGGCGGCGGAGAAAACGGAAGGTAGCGGCTTTAACGGCAGTGGTGACAGAAAAGAGAGATTGGGGTTGATGGGGGGTGGCAAAATGGTAAATGGTAGGGGATTTGGAGAGTGAATTGGAACGATGGGGAGTTTGGCTATGATGGGTCGTGGTCGTCGTTAAGAGAGGTCTTTTGTAAGGAGTTGGGGAAGAACAGGAAGAAGGAGGGGTAATTGGGTCATTTTGTTGTTGGAAGTGGTGGAGGATGGGGAATTGCGGATTTAGCGTAGTTGAGAAATCGGAAGAGATGCCGGTGCTTTCTTTTCCGATTTGGATTTCTGATTTCTTCTGATGCATTACATATGGAAATTGAAAAAGAAAAGGAATTGAATTCTACGCTTTTTGGATTTCAATATTGGAATTGTATAGGATTGGATTTGTGTTTCTTCTTCGTCTTATTTTAGGAGTTGAGAGAGGGAGAGTGAATTGAGGAGGTGAGAGCGTAGGAGAGAGAGAGGGAGAGGAGAATGGCCGGCCATGACCTTTTAAAACAAAGAATTCTTCAGTTATTTTACTTTTCATTTTTATTTCATTGCTTTTATTTTAAATATATTTTGTTGTTAATTTTATGATATGAACAGAATAGTTGTTTAAAATGGGTCCCTATGGGTTATTTTGACGTGTAATGGCTCTATAAGGTCTCAGTTAGTCTAGAATGAGTATCATTTATTGAGGCAAATTATAAATTAGTCGTTATAATTTTTTTTAAAAAAAATTCATTTAGTTTCAACAACTAATTGGTTAGTTTTTTTTTTTAATCTATTTGTAATGTAATACTTTTCATTTCCTTTCAATTTCTTTTTTCTTTTGTTTTAATAAATACAAAAAAAAAATGAGAAGATTGGCTAGATGAAAAACTTTTTTTTAATGAAATAATATTAAATAAATTATGATCAAAACTGATTAATAAAATAATTAATTAGTTTTTAAAATAAAAAGAGATAATTTATTTCATTTTACAAAACTAGAAGAAATAATTTATAATTTACTCCGTCTATAGAGGTAATTTATGTTTTCAGTCATTTATAATTAAGTAGTTTTTCAAGTAAAAGGCCCATTGGCAAGGTTACTATATATTTTTTATTGTTTTAATTGTGTTATGTTTTCTTAATCGTACATCTTCTTCTTCTTGTTCTGTTTTTTTTTTTAAAAAAAAGAGAAGTATATAAAACAAATAATTAAGCCGATTTGGAATACAATGTAAAAGCAAGACTCGGTGGAGGTTAAATCTTGTATGTAAATTAATGAATTAAATTGGAAATAAGGAATTTAAAATAGATTGGATTCCTGTGTACTCGAATTAACTTGATTTGTACCAATACAATGCAAGTTTTCCCTTCAATTTGAATTTTCATATTAATTGGTTTATTGCCAAAGCTTGAGGGGGGGGGGGGGGATAAAAAGCAAAAACCCTATTTGGATAATGTTGTTTGGGAATTATATTTCTTATTTAGCGACTGCAATTTGGCAAATATTTTGTCCCGTCGACCTTATTTTATAATTCTTTTTAGGCAACCGCACTCTTAAAAAAATTTCATTTCAATCAATTAACTATTCTCCCAATATTGGTTATAACCACATTCACGAATTTTCCTATGGCTCACAAGGAAAAAAAAAAAAAAACAAAAAAACTCAGCACTAGAAGAAACCACCCTTCATGTTCATGAATGAGTTGTATACAAATTCATCCATTATAAAAAGTGAAACCATAACCAATTCATGTTCTTAAAAAAAAATGTTTTTTCTTCGCATTTTAATTTTTAAGTTTTTTTTCTCCTCTGAAATAATCGTCCAGTGTTTGTTTGAAACATAAAGTGCAGCTCTCTCTAACATGCAATAAACAATCATCAAATAAATTAATTATTATATACGTCGAGAATTGTATTTTTTAAACACATAAAATTTATTGTAAAAATAATTAATAGATCCTATATTTTGGGGAAAAAAATATAATTTCTGATATACGAAATAATCCCTCTCATCAAACAAACAAATATGGTTTAATTTCAAAAAGCATGACTCGTGAGCGTGAAAAAGCATAAAATTATGGAGAAACAAAAGGCACTTTGCGGACCACGATTAAGGACCTTTTCTTCCCCAAGTATGCGGCGTCCCATATCAAATATTTTATTGTGAGTTATCTCCATAATTGCTTGCTTTTATTGCAGTTTAATATTCAAAAGAATATTCAGAACCAAAAAAAAAAAAAAAAAAAAAAGCTGGTATTGATTTAAGAGGCTGTGAACAATAGACTTCCCAAGATGCTGCTGTCATATGCTTGGTCGTGAAGCCAAATTTGAGTAAATTCTAAACTAGCCCCTCTAGTTTCAAAAAATAAATTAATTAGTTTCTCTTGTTTCAAAAATTATCATTTAGTTTTTTTAATCAATATTAACCATGCTTAATTTAATATTATTTTTATTCCATAAAATCTCTTATTTTATCATTAATATTTTTATATTTTTTCCTATATCTTAAAACAAAAAAATCAAAATAAATTAAAAAGAAGCAAAAAAAAATTAAATTACAAGTAGATTTTAAAACAAAAGGACTAATTAATGATTAATTCATTTTTTAAAACAAGAGAAACTAATTTATAATTTACTCACTAAAATTAGCAGTATTAATTTATTAAAACCTCCACAACAACAGCAAAAACCTCTTTACATCTAATTGGGATCAATTATGTATGATCTTACTATGATCATGGACCAAATCAATCTTTAGAGATTTATTGGATTATTGACTAAATGATTTTATTCCTTACACGCTATGATATATTTTGCTTTTGGATTTAAGAAAGGCATTGCTCACTATAGTGCGAGGATAATTCCTCTAAGATCCATCTCAGAGAACATGATTTCAGTGTGTAAACGAAAAGGAAAAATATTACTAATATATTGGAATAGCACCAGAGTTGCAAATTGGTTACACAATTAAATATCTTCAGTTTTTTTTCAAAATCTGAATTTGCAAGTTCAAAAGTCACGAATTCACAAATATTTATTGGTACTCCAATCCATTGTATTAATTGCTCAACAAGAGCCCACCTCCAATAATTAAAATATAGAGGAAATCTCAATTTAATTCCAAATTTATGTACTCGTTTTCAACTGAATCTCAAACTTATAAAATGTTTCAATTATGTCTCAATCTTTTCGAAACACTCTCGATCAATTCTTATATATACATATATATATTTATCTATTTTTCTTCAAATTAATGCCATCTTTGTGCAAAAATAACAACACTAGACCAAAAATGTTAATGTTGATAAATCTTTCGATCAAATCTTATGCAAATTGACATCATTTTAAAGCATAAAATGTGAAAATTAGACTTAGATTATTGATATAAATTGACAAAAAGTACACAACGTTTGAGATATAATTGATAAAATTTATAAATTTAGAATGCAATTAAGAACGAGTGTATAAATTTGGAACTAAATTGATTAGGTTTCTCCTAAAATATTATCATACAAAGGCTACGAATGTTAGCTCTGGAAAGCTAACATTTATTTATAATTTGAGTTCCCATATTCTGAATTTTGAACAATAATAGAGACCTGTTTATTCACAATAAAATTGGTAATAGTATGGCCCAATCTAGTACTAGAATTTGTTGAATTTTGTCTCTTAACCATTTGCTGCCTAATATCTCAAAGGATCAATAGAGAAAAAGTCAACTTGTGCTATGATTTTATTCAAGATTCGCATGGAAGGAGCTTGGGATCCCATAATTAATAAATTGGAGGGTACAAGTTCGACGAGTTCCAACCCTTCCAATTAATTCAAAGAACAAACCTTTTTTTTGGAGAGATATTCCTCCTCCACAATTGCTGTTGCTGATGATTTGGTCCTGGAACACTACAAAACAAATTGATCAAGATGATCAATCGCAGTAGTTAAATCATACACACCAAACATCGATTTAATTGATGAGATGGGTTGGTATCGATTAAAATGGTTTGAAATCGTTTTTCATTCGTGTGTTAATATTTTAATGATGGCAGCATTGGATTCACTTTTCAGGTATCAAAATGCATATTTTTCTAAAACAGGTTCTAAACCTATTATTTATATTCGATAAATTGTTCTTATTTGTTTAAATAAAATAGATCGAGGAAGAATATAATTATTACCACCCCACGTGATTCGAGTCCAACTTGCATTGTAGTTTTTTTTCTTTTTGAAGACAGAATTTGAGATTGAAAGATAATATAATTTTAAAATTTAATAAACGGGCATTTGAAAATATAATTTTATTTCTTTGGGATTGTCGTCCATTAGCCTCTCACTCCACTTGCGAAGCACGACAAAGGAATTCGACACAAGGGGTGTCGTAACAGACCAATGCACCGCTCCCAATCTCACTCAATATATGCACACGTCGCCTAAAAATGAAATACAACCAAATTAGCCCCCTTTTCGGCTCGTGATTACTTTACAAACCACCATCATCTTTTCTTCAAAGTTTTTGAAAAAAAAACCTCTCATTCTCAAGGCAAATTCAATAGAATATTCCCAATGACATTCCTTTAAATCTGATCCTACGTCATAATAAATTTCACAACTATTCATGACTTTTTCAAAATAATTCTATGATTTTGATGAATATATATGTGTGTGGATGTAAAAAATGTTATATATATATTTTTTTATGGAGTACTAGTTAAGTTTATTTATACATTTTTTATTTAATAAAGAAAGATACATGTGATGTCACAAACGAACAAAAGTAAAAGGAGGTCATATAAAACATCCCCAGGGGCTAGCCTTCTGATTAGTTTTATCATTTTTTGACTGTTTGGATTAAAAAAACCCTAAATAACATGACCACCTATCTCTCTCTCTCTATATATATATATATATATCAATCAATCAATTAATCAAGATGACGACGTAAAGAATATGATTAAGACTAATAATAAAAAAAGAAGAAGAAGAAGTTACTATTAGATAAATGTTTGACAACATATGATGTGGATGATGTACTTGAAGCGTGTCAAGTTGGGAAAACTTGTTTTGAGAAATTTCCTTCATGCTTCCAAAACCAGAAGAGATAGCAAACTAGCAACGCATTGAGCTGGCTCCCTGTCTAAGACCTGCCTAGATTCTAGAGGACCGTCCTTGTTCCAGCCCCCGAAGTTTTGAAAATTCCAAACTCCCCTTGTACTTATAAATAATTTTACAAAATGGCCACTTTGAAATGAAAACTATACGTTCTATTTTTTTTTTTAAGAGATATTCTCCAATCAATTCGTTTTTCAATCAAAATTAATTTTTTTCATAGAATTTTAAAAATATATTCTCGATGTTGATCTAATAAGTTTTGAGCACTGTTTCTAAAATTTGATGTCAAAATTAAGAAGGAATAAACTTCTTTAATTATCAAGCATACTCATCGAAATTTGGATTAATCCCAGTTTGAGATTGAAGCTACTGATCTCAATGTCCCACAAGTGGAACATGGCCAAACCCCATCTCGAGTAGCGTACATCTCTGTATCTGAAAGAGGACAAAAAGAAAAGCAAAAGTTTAGGCAAAAAGAAATGGAAAACATGGAACCAAAATGATGTCAAAAAGGCCATCCAGATACAGTAAGGAAAGCACTGAACTCATGAAGCCGTCGTTTCCTTGTCAAAGGGAGCGGGAGAAGATATATATATATATATATATATTCCACAATTAACTAATGTACGATAAGGGGAGTGACATTTGACAGCTAACTTAATCTCCATTTCAACATAATATTTTCTATCAAATTATTATGGAAAGATCATTTTGGTTCAAGATGCAATCAATTATTTGCATGCTGGACAAATTACGATACAAGTTGTCTTGACTATTGTCTATTCATGAACTGCTTTTATTATTTCATTTTATTACTTGAGGATTAAGATAAGATATTACTTAGCTAAACCCTGTTTTTATCAACCTGTACACGTCTATCTTGTCTTGCTTATATCATTGATGATGCTCTCTTGGTTGAACAACACTTCGCATGCCTTGAGAAATATATATGTGCCTATTAGCTAGGGCAGAGCTAGGTTTTGTAGGTAAAGGGGGGCTAAAGATGAAGGTCTTTAAATTCTATTACACAAATCGTATTACTTTGGTAAGGATTATTGTATTTAGACGAAAATATATGTATGTGACAAAAAAATTGAACGGATATAATGATAAATTAGTGTAATATCAAGGACTAACGGAAGAGTTTCAGCAAATATAGGGGCAGATGCCTAGAAAAAAGGGGCAAATTTGAACTCCAAAAACTAACAAGGGTAATTATGAGTTCTTTGAAAAAAATCGAGGCTAGTTCCCCCTTCCCTTACATGCATCTCCTCCATTTGCCTACTAGCATATCGATTTGAATCCAGAGCAAAATTTTCTTAATTACCAAAGGATGGCGACGGATGTCAGGAGAGTTGAAAAGTATGCTACAAAGATGGCCTTAAAAGCAGATTTCCACATGCATCTTTGAGTGAATAAAGTTCCACCATCAAATAATTATTACTAGCCGAAACTTTATCAGAGGTAGGGAAGGCACTGGGATAGAAAATCCCACTATATTATGTCACCCGAGAGAGACTTTTTTAGACGAACTATATGATATAGGGAATTCCTAGATATTTGTATATTGGGCCAAAAAACCAACCACTACTCCCACCTTCCCACCTTCCAAACCGAGGGTTGCCTCAAAATTCCATCCCTAACGTTCAGAAATTCTCAATTTTATTCCATGCTCTTCTTAAAAGTAGGGAACTTTTTTTCTTTTTTTTAAGAAATTATAACAAAAAGCCCTAGTTGAGGAACAAATTGATATAACAATTAGTTTGGAGGCAAAATAGTTAACTACAATAACTGAGGGGCATTTCTGAGGTATGCTCTTTTTGATTTTCGGTTTGGACGACTCAAATTGCAACCCCACAAAATACCCAGTTGAAGCGCAAGCTTGAAACTTCTGGGTGTAAATATGGAAAGCGGGCGTTGGTTCCAAAACTGAATTTAAATTCCACTGGCCATGTCATTATCATACGATTTTTTAGGCATGTTGTTCTACATTAAAAGCTCATTGGTAGAATAAAGTTACGTGGAGTACTCAGCAGAAGGAGATTTCTTTATCCTCTGCCCCTCGTATCAATCCATTCTACCCAATACTTCCAGAAATATGAAGCCCCCTCCCACAGTTTCTCTTTAACACAAACTACAAGCAAACAAGACTGCCAGGACTCACAGTACTTATAGGAAAGTGACTAAGGTAATGACAACCAATTCAAATCCTCCATATTGAGGTCTGCAGATAGCAATCAGGATAAAGGATCTGGAAGAGCTATTATAGGAGCTGTAATAGTAAGGCACGATGATCATTAAAAAGGGGAAAGATATTGGGAGAACTACAATGCAAAACACTTGAAATAATTCTCAAGTCCATTTAAAAGAGGAGGAAGAAGAAGAAGCTTACACACGCTCTGCTAAATTAACAGATACAATTTAAGGTAGGTCAACTAATAGCCCATATTGCATTTAAACACTTCCATTTGAAATCAATTGCAATCTTTCTGGAATTGCAGTAGTGTAACGTTTCTGGAATTGCTGCACCTTCACCTTCCTTGTTAAGAATCGCTCATAATTCAACATATGCACAAGGCAACGTAAAAACTGTCATCAATGGGAGACCTCAAAGAAATTGAATGCACCCTGCAACTCCCTGTCAAGGTTTGTGGAGTTTGAAGCCAAAAACCCTTGGGACATAGCTCTGTATTGCCTTCTGTGGCTTTAGGTGCCCATATGTCATCAAAAATAGGTGAGGAAATGTAGTTCCAAAATAAGCTCCATCAATGTCTAGCAAAGTCAAAGAAATTTTCAAATAGAAACAAAACAGAGCTTTACTTTAAACATGTAAATACTGACATCGAGCCATAAAAGACAATGCAATGCAAAATTAAACACAGGTCAACCTAACGGACCCAGACATCTAATATCACAAGCATATCAAGCATGCAGCCCGCATGTTTGGTCTCAAATTTAAAAGTTCTGCAGAATCATAAGAATGATGCTCCAATGTCAAACTTTAATTTGGTCTAAAAAATAGAGCCTTCATGTCGGTAGAAAAACTAAAATCCTTAAAAGATATAGCGCATAGTATGAGCAGATTCCAATTATATGCAATCATATCAAAACCAATGATTGGTGTTATTGAAGGATACTGCCTTGATACTTGGATCGAGGGTAATAGATGTCTTCACATTTTGGACAGTAGATTTTGACAGTACTTGAACGAGGAATGTCTGATTGACCAACTGGGAGGCAGGGCTGTCCACAGCAATAAACTCGTGGGCATCTTCCAAAGTCATAGTTTTTGTACTTCTCCAACTGTAAAAGTTTTCAAAACAACATTTAATAACCTAAGACCAGATAACAAACAAACGGAGAAAGGAAGGGAACAATAGAAGCAGCAGTAAAAAATATTTTACCATTGCAGACATCCCCTTGCTAGTAAGTATGTAACGCACGTGAATAAGACCATAGAGCATCTCCGCTGCGGATTCCACCAACTCATTCTGTTCTTCAGTGAACATATCGCCTGAGAATGTGCAGATCCAAAGAAACTTAACACCAGCACACAATAAGCAGAAAGATATGCAGATCACACACTGGAAAAATGCGTTCATTAATGTAATAAAACTGAATCAATGGTATTAATTTCCTTCAACTCATTCTATTCTTTAGTGCACATATCACCTGAGGATGTGCAAATGCAAAGATGAAGCTTAACGCCATGATACAATACAAAGAAAGATGGGCAGGTTCCGCAATGAACTAATGAAATCATTATTGTGAGAAAACTTCACCAAGCTATAACCTCCCCTCCTTTTAGATTTCTAGGATGTTAGAAAACATGAACACCTAAAGAGGCCTTCTCAGGCTCTGAAACTTCACTACCACATGAAGGTTTTTTCGAACCAATTTCTCATTTACACCATTAGCTCTAAGAGGCTAGCACTCCTTGAATTATTCAATCACTTATTTCAATACCAGACCCACACAATCCAAGCACAAAGAACAGTCTCACAAAATAGTATGTGCTAAGACCACTGTGCGTATGATAAAGAATCGTTAGTATTTGGGAAGTTAAGCATACACAGGAAGAAAATCTTTATTTGTGAGAAAAATTCACTCTTATGTTTTCATTCCTCCATCTGGAGATTTTTTAAACATAATTCAACTTGACAGTCATAACGTGCAGAAAAAGATATTTTTCATATAAAAATCAGAGATTGGTTTCAAGGGAGAAAAAAATGAAAAGGCAGCAGCCCATGCCTAGATTCTGCGTTTGTATATAATGGCCATAGATTATGGACATAGGCCACATGAAAGTTCAACTTGAAAGATTACCATAAAATAGAGAACACATAACAAATGAATTGGATTCTAAAAAAAGAGTAGAGAGCTTGAAGGGAAAATAAACCACACTTGATAGGAGTTCAGTCTGAACTTGTAATGCAGATTTAACAAATTAAACAGAAATTACAAACAAGCAGAAGTCCTATTTACTGCAAGGAATTGCTTACCATGAGAGGATTCAACATCCAATATAAGATCAAGTGCATAATCATAGTATGGAACTTGACTGCTCAGTCCACAAAGGTTAAAATCATCCTGAATGTACTCATCATCAACTTCACAGAAGAATTCATTTCCTCGCAAGTTGCAAAACCATGAGATCCAAGATGTGTCATCTCCATCAGAACCACTTACATCTGACTCCTCACTGTCTGTCTCAGATTCCTCTTCAGTTCATCAAAATAAAGACATTATAAAGCAGATGACTGTTAATGGCCTTGCTTTGATGATCCAAGAGATGGAAAAGAGAGTAAAGCAAGTTACAAGGGCCTAAATTAAACATGTTGGGAGACAGCAAATAAGCATGACCAAACTAACATAGAATCCAAGTAGTCAAAGGAATCCAAATAGGTGACATTGGATTTAAACATCATTTTCTCCAACCACTGAAATTCCACAAATGGAAAGAGTAGAAAAAAGAAGCACACTTAAATCGTTACCCATCATTCTTAGCTGTAAATTACTCTCCACATATACTATCACATGCAGCACCTTAATAATACACCAGCAGCAAACAGAAAACATAAAAAACCAGATCAATTTTCTGCGAAAATGTAACGTATGCAGTAAGCATACAATGAGCAAGGGAAACGCCAAAGTTAACATCTTGATTAGATTAAGTAATGCTCGAAGCCAGTTGTTTTTTTCTACAGCATAGGTCAAAATGTAGCAAAACTCCTTACACTCAGACAACAACATTCACATCAAGTGAAAATAACAGGTAAGTAGTATATCACCAATTAAGATAACCAAAATCATACCTTTTCAACTTAAGAACACTCATACAACTAAATAACTTACCGAGTCAAACAAAATAGCACCATTACTCCACTCCACAATCCCATATCCCATAACTCAAAAACAATCACCGTAACACGTACACGCCAAAATTTAAAAGCAAAAGAATCACCCTAGCTAAAAGACCTACAGAAGCCCAAGCTACATTACTAAAAAAAGAGCAACTAAAAACCAAACTTCCAAAACAACATTAACTGTCCACAAAAACCCAGATGCCATAACACACATTCACCTCCAAATAACTTTCCACGTCTCCCACAAAATCCCTAAAAATAGCAATAATCAATCAATCCCAGAAAATACCAAAAAAAAAAAAACAGATGAACAAAAACGCAGATCCCAAAACACATAAAAACAATGATAAATGATCAAGCTGAGCAAGAATAATCAAGAGAAAGCACTACTACCATCAGAGCATTTGTTTTTGGAAAGCGAGGCCGAGCAAGAATCAGCACGATGATGATCAAGTTGTTGCTGATGCTGATGGTGTTGTGATGATTTACCAGTAGAAGTAGAAGGAACAGACAATCTCTCTTTATCCTTACTACTATTATTCAATCCTCTTGAAGTTGAAGGAGAGGACTTCTCTAGATGCTTGTCTAGCGCATCATTAATACGCTTTCGATCAAGCTGTCCCCCTACAATCTCCGATCGTGATGACCCACCACCAAACCCTCCTCGATCTTTGTACATGATTCTTCTCTCTATCAGTTTCACAACCCTGAAGTTTCGATCTTCTTTAGCAAAGTTTCAAGCTTTGAGAGATAACATGATGGGAAAAACCCTAGAATTTGGGGAAATTATGGGTTCGGATGGATTTGAAGATTTAAAGATGAATTTGAGAAATTAGGGTTGGATTGTAGAGAAAGTTAAGAGACGGAGAGAGCTAGGTTTTTTTTTTGTGGCGAGGAGGAAGGAAGGAGATTTACACGAGAGAGCTTTCTCGCTACGTGCTCTCTGTTTTTCTTTGTTTTTCCATTTTTTTTTTTTTAATAATTTGTTTTTGTTTAAGATTTTTTTTTCCCTATTCTTATTATTTCTTTTTTTGTTGGGCATAAAGGATACAGAGGGAAGAACGCTAGATCTGCCCATCATGCTGAGATATGGTGGGTTTAATGAAAAATAAAGCCCAAGGAAGGTAGTTGTGGATCGTAGTCCTTTTTCTCCGGTGCTAACTTGCATGTTTAAATTTTGTATTCCAATTCAACTCGAGAACAGATTGCGATTTTATTTTTATTTTTAATATAAATAAATGTATAAGTAGAGTGTTTAAATATCAAAACTTTAGGGTTTTGAAATAACAAAGATGGATCAAGAAAAAAATAAATTTAAAAGGTTTTCATGTACAAAGATTTATATATCGGATGATGTCATAAAAAGTTAAATTGTTACTTTGATCGTTAATAATCTATAATTAATTCAACTGAATAATATAATTAGTATAAATATATGAAAGTTGGCTTAAAGTTATTATGCTATGTAACCAATAGGGTTGGATTGAGTGAAAGGGTTTTGATCGTTTAAATAAGTAATTTTGAATTCGAGTTCTCGTTTATGCAAAAAACCTTTTAAGTAGCTATTCCTGTTTAAAGCATAAGACGGAATAATAACAAATTAGTTGAGTTTTTACCTTTTTGGAACCCGAACAACCTAAAGGATCCAAAAAAAAAAGTTGTGTTATATTAATTGAGAAAAATAGGTCAATAAACTTTTATTTCAACATATACCTATAATCTACGTCTACTTCTCCAAAATATTGTTAAGGGTAAAGGACTATAAAGTATTTTGAGTCATTTTTCATACTATGACCATATCCCAAACATCTAACAATGGATGACTATTAATTATTCCTCAACTATCCGTTTTTTATCTTTTCAACTAAATAAATTATCTATATTATCGGTAATTTTAATTGATTCGTGTTGATTGTTTTGAGAATATATATATATATAAACTTCGTTACTTGCGATTGAGATTGATCAAATGAAAAGCGAGGATATGGTAGCATTGATCTTTTTATTATAAAATCGATAATTTATGGATCGAGTACTAACCATGGAGTAGAATCTTGTCGGAGTAGTTGCTTATTTTTATATTATATTCGAGTGTCGGTATCATAGGGCGGGGTGATCAAACGATTCGGTTAATCGAAAATCCAATTAAACCGAATTGAATTATGAAATTTGGTTTGGGTATAAATTAAAAAATGTATAATTTATAACCGAATCGAAAAAATCAAAATATTTCGATTCGGTTCGGTTTTTCCTTTTTAGAAACGAGTTTGAACCGAAAACTATTTTTTTTTTATCATTCCTAATTCTAATTTCTAAATACCTAGGAATAACTCGAATAAGATCTAATCATCTAACCCTAACTCGGTAACTCCCTCTCCGCCTCCGACTCTCCCTCGTCTCCTTTAGTTGCCTCTTTCGTCTTTCCTTTCCTTTCGAGGCACACGAAGTCACGCGAGCAGCCTAGCATTCTAGCAACGAGCAAACTCAATCACTCTCATTCTCGTCTCTCGCACTCTCAACACAAGTCTCAAACTCCCAGCCTCTCACCGACTCACCGTTTCACGAGTCTCACGAGTCACGACTCTCACTCTCGGCCTTTCACGGATCTCGCACTCTCAAAGTCTCACTCTTCTTCTCTTGTTCTTCAATCTCCACTCCGGTGACATCGAGTCCAATCCTATTTAAGAGTTCCAAAGTTCCGAATCCTTCGAGCTTCGGGCTCCAATCCTCTTCTAATCTTCCTTCGTCAAGCTTCGTGTCTTTCAAGGTTAGTCTTTTTTATTATTATTTTTTTTTACCGATATGTGATAACAATAATGTATTGGGCATAGATTAAGTTTTTTTTTAGATTCTTTAGTGAGTTGTGATAACCGATATGCTTTGTTCCGCACTCGTGGTGTTATCTTGGAAGCCTTGTCTTGAAATGTTTATCGTGTCCCGTTGGCATCCGTTTTCCTTTCGATTGTTAGAGTCCGTGATTCCGCACGTTATTTGCATTAGTATAGTTATCAAGTCGTGTTTTGGTTTCGATTGGGGTGAAGGTGAAAATTTGTTCAAGTCTAAATCCTATTTTCTTTTCTCTTCTTTCAATTCTTTTTTTTTCTAGCATTTTTTTGTTTTTTGTCCGAAATGATCCTTGCATTAGAGCGTATGTATGATCAATATTCAATATGATTGAATTGATTTGCTTTTTGTATGATTTGCATATATATAATCATTATAATTGAACCGATCCTTGTATTAGAGCATTCTCGTCATTCATGTTTTTCATAGCAACAGCTTGCATTTTTATGAAGAAATAGTGATATCCTCACCGTTAAATGTTAATAAAAGCGGATGTTTGCAACAACGAAATAAGAATCCGAAAACAACGGACCAACACCAACGATCCGTGTCCTAAGCAGTGAGATCCACCGATCCATACATCAATAGGGCGAGTGATGAAATCATGTAGAGGGCGGGAAATAGGAAGCTTTGAAATAATCAATAAGGCAACGAAATGGATGCATGAAAATATGGAATCAGTTTAAAGGAAAGACTAAAGAGCATGTAAGGATATGAATGGTAGCCGTTAGGGAGGGAGTTGAGTTAGTTAGCTAACATGGTAAGAGTTGGTTATGGTCTGTTATATTGAGAGGGAAAGTTAGTTAGAAACAAACACTCGTATAAATCATGAGTAATTCATTGTAAAAGAGTTATTCCGCCAGTTTAGATCAATATTGAATTTACTCTTCTTTCGATTTCTCTGTTTATTACTTTATTTTCTCGTTCTTCTTGGTTCTTGATTTGCATATCTAATTCTAAAATTGATAGTTGTTAAAATCTTTAACTATTGTTAATCTCCATTTAGTCTTGAAAGAATCATTAGAACCTATAATTCATTATTTCATTTAGAATTTGGTATCACACAAATAAAACTGAGCTAAATTCTTATCCACAACGAATTATCCATTGTTGTTAAGCAATCTTTCTTCATTTATCTTCTCATTTTCTCTTTTTTAATCACATACATATAACCAAAAATGGATAGATGAAATGAATGCTTAAAATTTCTACATAATTAAATGAGTAGAGTTTAATTACTAAATTAATTCAGAAAAAAATGAACATACTTTTTCCATATACTCGTGCAATTTTAATAGCATTTGTTTTATGTATGAAAGTTATTAAGCTATTTATTTTAGGGTTAGACTACTTTTTTTTTTTTTTTGCTACCGATTTAGGGGAGGATCTTTTAGAATTCTACCCAATTTTGCTACCGTCTAAGTGTCTAAATGTCTTCACTCTTCGAGTATGGACACACCTTTTATTAACGAGTAGGCAGTAGCATCCGTCTATATTTGATTTGTGGTTATCAATAGTAGGCAGTTTCATTTCATATTATGCTACCAACTTGGCAACTTGTGTATATTTATTATGTTTTCTTGATTATTTAAGAGTGTGAAGCTTAATACTCTTATTCCTTTGTTATTTATGTAGATGTCACAATCTCAATCCGAAGAGATGAATTATGAACATGTGAGTTCAAGCAATCCCAATACACAATCAAGTGTAGGTGTAGGTCCAACTTCAAGTAACACTCGAAGATGTCAAAGGAAAGAAGAGGAAATCAATGAAGCCAAGATCGATGGTGTGGGACCATTTCACAAAGTTTAAAGATGACAATAAAGACATGAAGGCTAAATACAACTATCGTGCTAAGGTATTTGCTTGTAATCCTTCAAAAATGGGATAACCTCACTTAGGTCTCGTGTTTTGACTTGTAAAAAAACCCCTTTTAGTTGTATTGACTCTACACAAACTCAATTAGACCTTAGAATGCTTGAAGTAGGAGAAAATAGTCTTAGCACATGAAAGTTTGATCAAACTCGTTAATAGAAAAGATTTAGCTGAAATGATCATTCTATATGAACTTTCATTTAAGCATATAGAGGCAAGGGATTCAAAATTTTTTTGTCTAATTTGCAACCTAAATTCAAACTTCCATCTCGTTTTACGATTTCAAGAGATTGCTATCAATTTTATTTAGATGAGAAAATAAAGTTGAAGCAATTTTTGAAACAAAATAGTCAAAGAATTAACCTCACTACGGACACATGGACATCTATTCAAAGAATCAATTACATGTGTTTAACTCGTTCATTTTATTGATAATGATTGGAAGTTGCATAAAAAGATCTTAAATTTTTGTTCGATCGATAGTCATAAAGGAGTAGATTTAGGTATTGCCATTGAGAAGTGCTTGATTGATTGGGGAATTGAGAAGGTTTTTAGTGTTACAATTGATAATGCAAGTTCAAATAATGTGATAATTAGACACTTAAAAGATGTGATCAAAAATTAGGGTTATAACATCTTAGATAGAGAATTCATTCATATGAGGTGTATGACATATACTTTGAATCTAGTTGTTGCTGATGCATTAAAACATTTTAATCATTCGATCGTTTGTATTCAATCGGCCGTTAGGTTTGTGAGGAAATCTTCAGCTAGGTTGAGAAGATTTAAGAAATGCATTCAACTTGAGAAAATTGATTCTAAGAGTTTGTTACAACTAGATGTCGCAACTAGGTGGAATTCAACATATTTGATGTTAGAGTCGGCAATAAAGTTTGAGAGAGCTTTTAAGAGATATGAGCAAATTGATCCTTTATATAGGAGTGAATTTGATGTAGATCTTGGTGATAATATTGTTGGGCCACCTAATGTGGATGATTGGAAAACTTGTAAGAAAACGGTTGGCATGTTGAAAATTTTTTACAACCTCACTTTGCACATTTCGGGCTCTTTGTATGTGACTTTAATTTTTTTTTAAAGAGATTTATGCGCTCGAACATGTTTTCAAAAAATGACAACGAAGTGAGGATTTGGATGATTTTGCATTGGCTAATAAAATGAAAGAAAAGTTTGAGAAGTATTGGGGGGATATTAAGAAAATGAACAAATTGATTTATATTGCGACAATAATTGATCCTAGGCATAAACTTGTATTTATTGAATTTTCAATCAAGGAATTGTATGGTGATTTAGAGGGTAAAAATATGTCAAATATTATAAAGGGATCTATAAATGTCATTTATGATTTCTATTGTCGTTTATTATCTCAAGATGAATTGGCCAAGTTAGTGGGAGTTGGGGAATAGACGTGGATTGTGCAAATGAAGAAATGATTGATAAAGAAGAAAATAGAATAAAAATGGAGATAATGATATATATTGAAAAATACAAGTATGATATTGGAAGTGGAGGAAATAAAACGGAGTTGGACAAATATCTTGATGAAAGTGCTGAAAATAATAGTGCTGATTTCAAGATTTTAGAATGGTGGAAAACCAATGCTCCTCGATTTTTCATCCTTTCATAAATGGCTAGGGATGTATTAGTGGTTCCTATTTCTACAGTCTCCTCATAATCGACATTTAGCATCGGAGGAAGAGTTCTTGATCGCTTTAGGAGTTCTTTAACTCCTACCTTAGTGGAATCTCTTATATATATTCAAGATTGGATTAAAAATTCATCGATGTCAATTATTATTGAAGAAAATTTATAAGATGTAGAGAAAATACAAAATGGTAATTTCTATAACTCTTATCATTTAATTTGTTATTTCTTTCCTCTAAATTAATGGTAAAGGGTTAATTTTTTTATCTTTTATTTTTCGTAGTTATCAATTGCCGGTGCCACTACCTCCACTACAAGTGTTTGATAGGTTGATTACTCGATAGTGTTTTGGCTTTTGAATGATATGTGTAAGTTATTAAGTTTTTAAGTTTGATTTTTTTATTTCGTTGCTTATGCATGGTTGGATGTCCGACTTTCACTAGTTAATACTACTAGCCTACCGCCTACCGACCTTGAATTAAATTTTCATTACACATATCGGGGCTATCCAAGTGTCCATTGGATGTCCGACGGTGTCTAAGGCTCCAGCCTCCAAACAAACAAGTGGGACCGACCGACCGTTGAAGGAGGCTCGAGGACTCGAGGTCGTCCAAGGCTACAAGCGAGACTCTTTATTGTGGGCAATTTTTTTTATAGTTTTTGGATGTGTAGTAATTTCTAATCTAGATTTTGGTATGTAAGTATGTTGTATTATTGATGAATCTTTCTTACCTTTTTTTTTTTTAACCTTATTTGAGGTGTTGGATTGTTGGTAGTCAAAGACTCAAAGTCTAAGTAAGAATATTGAATGTTGCTTTTTATATTTCCATATTTGTTGAATGTTGTATGATTTGTATCTGTTCATATTTGGCTATTTAGTACGTCCGATGCGTCCGGTTGATTGGTTCCGCCTAAGGCCTTCCGGTGCTTTGACCTATCGCCTTCCGATTGCTACGTGCCTACGTCCGCTTCTACCTAGTGCCTTCTGGTTGCTCGCGTCTCATCTAGTGAGTCCGGTGCATTCTTTTTATTCTTGAGTTTATTGATTTTAGATGAGTTGTTTAGTTTCCTTACAATTTTAGACTTCAATTTGTTGTTTGTTGGGTGATTAGGATTGGTTCTATTATATAGGCAATGTTGGTATTTGTCATGATGGTGGCTAATTAGCCAATCACATATTAGCCTTGTGGCTATTTCTTTATGTGAATGGTTAGTAAGCTTACCGAAAGCTACTGTTAGTGGCATTTGATAGTGAACCGAACCTATGGCTTCACTTTCTATCATGTATTCATGTGCATAGTCATTTGCTAATTTGAATAACTTTCATTGCTATCATGTTTCTTCTTTATGCTATCTAAGTTAAATTTACTTTCCATTACTCGTATAAAAAATCTACTCTTCTACATCCTCTTACCGTATTTATTTCTAATCTACTTAGCAGGTCTTTCGTACATGGTTAAGCCATTTGCCACCAAAGAACAATCTAATTGAAGCCAAAATTGCACGAGATTCGTCGTGTTCGGTAGTTGAGATGTAAGTCGTATAATATTTACTTTACCATATGATGTCGGTGTAACTATAAATATTGTCAAAGGTAACTGTTGAGTGATTTCTCTTTAGATAAGTATGCTTGTTTGTTGCATTTTATCCTCTCGAGTTGAAGGAAAAACTTATTTTTCGAGATTTTACTTATCTTCCCAAAATCATTGTTATTTTTGCAGAGGTAATTTCTTTCGACTGCTCGTGGGTAGTACATGCTTTCGGTTATAAAATGGCTATGGTGCATAATGTTAACTCATAAAATCTCTAACTTTCCCCATCTTCTGGGATTTCTAAGTTTTTGTAAGATCCATAATCATATGTGTGTGTGATCAATTGAAGATTTTAGACGACTTTAGGTTTTTTACAACTTTTCCATTTTGAATTATTGCTTTTTTAGATATTTGTCGAGTTTACGGATATGTGTAGGACGATTGCCTATTAGTCTATTACATTGTATATGGTGCTTTATATACTTATCAAAATACCTATAATATTGTACGGACTTTTAGGAGCGACCAATGAATTTGTTGAAACATCATAGCTTTCACAAGTTTCTACAAGTTTTGAGAAGGAAATAGTGATTATTTTTGTTTATGCCTATTTTTTCTATGGTCTGTGTGATGCATGTTAAAGCATGAGAGATTATTCTTATTGTTATGCTTAAATGTTTGGGTTATTAGCACTTGCTCAATGGCTATACATATTCTTCGTCGCATGAAATTGTAAAAGTATCCATTAATAATTGCAATCACATGGACATGTATGTGATTTTTTCGGATGGTGTGGACTGAAGATGACACTTTAGCAACAAAGGAAATCATCAATCGAGTGATTAATCAATTGAGGGACTTTAAGAGCGAGTTAACATCCAATTTATGGTCATCAATCCTGTCATCCTTAGAACCTTCTCGTCGAATGTTTTGAAACTTTCATTGTTGTCTTAGTTCACTATCTTGGAACTTTCATTGTCATCTTAGTTCATAAGTGACATGCAAACCGTTTTAGGATGCACTATTACATTTTTTTAATAATAAATTAGTTTCGATACCATAAGAATAAAAATCTTTCACAGGAACAAAAGTTTGGTTATAACCGAATTATTTTAATACCAAACCGAAATAATTCGATTACAAATCGAATTAATCAAATTTAGTTTGGTTCGATTTTGGTTTCATTTTTCCTAATTCGGTTAACCGAAAACTAAACCGAATTAAGCTTAACCGAACCGTTTAACCGTTTGCTCACCCCTTTGGCTTGGAGATGTTATATCCCAAGAAAATAATTTTTTTTAGGTACCAAGTTTGGTTTTAGATAGGGCATTTAAGTACCAAGCAAACTTTTTTATTTTCCTCGAGTATGATTGTCTCTTATTATAGATATGACTAATCTTATTCGAAACGAAAAAGATAAAATTGTAACCCCTTTCAACAAATGATTCCAAGATTTGAATTATGCATTGTAGGATCTTATTGGAGTGGCTATTTATTTTTTAATACATTGTTAAATTCACCAGCTAAAATGTTATTCCCAGTATTTTTTAATTTGGTACGACTAAAGAATAATTATGGCTAATTATCCGTGAGTAGTGAGAATTGAACCTTGGTCTTGGCCAAATCAATACAATTTCTTTAACGTTAAACCACATCCTCGGTGGTAATTATCGGTAACTATTATATAACAAATATTGATAGAGGATGTATTGGTAATTGTTTAAAAAAATAGACAAAAATAACAATTTGGTTGGTAAATTTAACTATATCCTTTATTTTATGGTCCTTTCTTCATGGCTCATAAATATATATCTTAACTCATCATTTGGCCTTTCACATACCTTTAGTTAGGAATGACAATGTATCGAGTATAAAATGGACACTCGTTTTATCCGACCTAATAAATACTTATTAAGAATGTCTAACGGTCATTAAAGTAAGTAAGGATAAAAAAATGCATACTCATATTTACCTACTCTTTTTTTTTATTAATACTCACTAATTTATTTAGATTTTATTTTATTAACATATAGGGATCTAATTGCATAAAATTTAAAAATTAAGGATCAAAATATTTTTAAAAAAAAACTTTGAGGATAAAAAAATTTATAAATAAATGATCAAAATGTAAAAAATAAAATAAAATTTAAGGATAAAAAACTTTTCTAGATAATTATAAAAACTAAAATGAATATTTTTGACAAATTAAATTTAACGGATATTAAATGAGTATTAAATGAGAAGGTAAATTAATATACGTCTAGTATGGATTGAATAAAAATTTATATGATAATTTTTTAATAAATAATGGATAGGTCAATTTTTGTATGGATACGGTAAAAAATTGAATTAGTGGACCGGTATCCATCCATTGTCAGATCCACCCTTAGTGAAGCAGGACAAGGAGAAGAGAGGCGTCGGAAGTAGAAGACGATCTAAGTATGACGATGAAACTCATTGTTTCACTAGTTTTGGGTGGGTTTTTGGCCTCCTTCGCATACATCTACACTATTTTCTTTGTGAAGCCTCAGAGACTAACATCAAGACTTCGAAAGCAAGGGATCAAAGGACCTTCTCCTTCTTTACTCTTAGGAAACATCCCTGAAATCAGAAGGATCCAGCTCCAAGTCCAGACTGAATTATCAGCAGCAAAATCAAGTCAAAAGGAAAACCATCTTGCTATTGATCATGATTGGCCTTCTACTATCTTTCCACACTTCAAGCAGTGGATAAATGAATATGGTACTACCCCTTTTCGATCTCAAGTTTTCTTTTTGAAGGTTTTAGTCTTTGGAAGTTCTAGATTCATGTCCTTCGCATAGGTAGAAATAAACGGTCTTCTTTGTTTCCTTGTTAACACAGTCGTTTTTTTTTTCCTGGATTTACTGTGTTGTCCTGATTAAGAAAGATGCAACTCTCTCAATTAAGCAGCATGTTCTTTTCAGATCAGAAACAGACGTGAAAATACCTAGTATATACACATAAAAATCATAGCAATTCTTATTTCATAATAGTCTCTTTAACTTATTTTTGTTGCTGTAAGGTCACAACAATTCCGCTCAGTTCTCCACTTCTCCACTTCTCCTGTGCTGTCCGGACTCCAGGGTCATATCTGATTGGGTTCATGTCTGACACTCGCTATTTTTTTTTCAATTTTTCTTCCATTTTCCCATGTATTTGGAATGTCTGATCGTCTGCACCATGTCCGAATATCCAACAAGGACACCATTACTCCAAGGCAAAGTGAAGAGTCAAAGCAGCATCGGTTCCATGCTCCTAAGTTATGCCAATCCATAGATGTGGATTAACATTGTCAATTGCTAGGAGCTTGAGTATTGCTAGCTGTTACCGCTAGATACTACACTAAAAGGCTAATTATACTTTCGCACTGCAAGGCTGGATTGCCTTTATACAACCTTTTTGATTCTTCAATAATATTAACTGGTGCAGGACCATCATTTATGTATTCAACTGGAAGAATACAACAATTATGCACAACAGACATAGATATGGTGAAAGAAATAAGCCTTTGTACATCTTCGAACCTAGGGAAGCCTTCGTACCTGTCCAAAGATCGTGGGCCATTGCTTGGACAGAGTATTTTTTCAACAAATGGACCAATTTGGGGTCATCAAAGGAAGATAATTGCTCCTGAATTCTACATTGATAAGGTTAAGGTAAATATGTTTTCATTCTTTTCTATTTGAAGTTGGCGCTCTAGCGATTAAACTAACGGTCTTCTTTTAGAGCATGGTGAGCCTAATGGTGGACTGTACAACCACAATGATAAGATCTTGGGAGAGCAGAATTGGAAGTGATGGAGGCATGGCTGACATAAATATTGACCTGGACATGAGAAGCTTATCAGCAGATATTATCTCAAGAGCTTGTTTTGGAAGCAATTACACCAAAGGGGAAGAAATATTCTCAAAGCTGAGAACACTTCAAGATGTCATGTCCAGAGGGTTCATTGGTATTCCTGGCTCAAGGTATGACTTATGGAAACACTTCGTGATTTTTAAAATTTCTGTTATGAGCAGATAGTTGTGCATACTTATCTAACCAGTGATGGGACCCTGTTTATTGCTTCCAAAGCAGATATATTCCTACCAAAAACAATTGGGAGATATGGAAATTGGAGAAGGAAATTAACTCAATGATATTAAGAGTTGTAAAGCAAAGGGCTGCGACTAACTATGAGAAGGACCTCCTGCAAATGATACTAGAGAGTGCCAAAAGTTATGGTGACCAAGAAAGCCTTGGTTCAGATATTTCTATTGACAGGTTCATAGTGGACAACTGCAAAGCTATTTACTTTGCTGGCTATGAAACCACTGCTATCACAGCTTCATGGTGCTTAATGTTATTGGCGACTCATCAAGAATGGCAAGCTCGTGCTCGTGTGGAGGTGCTTAAAATCTGTAAAGAGAACCTCCCTGATGCTGACATGCTTCGCAATATGAAAACTGTAAGTGTTCCTAACTACATACAGAGAAAACCATATTAAGACTATATCTGGAATTTCTAACCTCGACATTTGACAATTTATGAGCAGGTTACAATGGTGATCCAAGAGACAATGCGCCTATACCCACCTGTGGCGTTTGTTACCAGATCAGCCTTGCAAGATATAAAGTTCAAAGAGATCACAATCCCAAAAGGAATGAACATTCAAATTCCAATCCCAATAGTGCAACAGAATCCCGGTACATGGGGACCTGATGCCCACCAGTTCAATCCAAAAAGATTTGCTAAAGGAATTCTTGAGGCTAGCTCGAGTCCCCAGGCTTATATGCCATTTGGCGTGGGTGCTCGTACATGCGCAGGCCAACACTTTGCTATGGCAGAGCTGAAGGTTATTTTATCACTCATCCTATCAAAGTTTAGCTTCTCCCTCTCACCAGCATACCGTCATTCCCCAGAGTTTAAGCTGGTTGTGCAACCTGGAAACGAAGTTACCCTCCGAATACGGAGAGTCTCTTCACACAAGAAAACATATTGAGATTGTTGTCACTGTGTTTCATTAAGTAAATGCCATGCGGAATGCATAATTCAAGCATTCCTTGAATTGCGTACCTCAGTTGTTGATCTTGGCATAGGTCTCGAGGATTGACTTTGTTCTCAAATAATTCATAGCCTTATGCATTCTATTTGTCACCATTGTATATATGCAGAAGCACATCATTAAACTTTTTTATGCCATAATACATGTGGCTGTCCCCGTACAAGGGATGGTAAGAATAGTGCCCACAGGAGTAATTAGCTCATGCTGCACTTGGAGACAACATACTGATTCAAAGTTTGCTTTTTCAGTCCCTTCTGCGGGATGCTCCCAACTGATACGTTTCTTGAAAAATGGATTCTACTGGTTTCACAGATTATTAGAATAGTCTCTTGATATTTCAAGCTTCGAGCAACTTCTGTGAGGAAAATTAAGACAATTCTTACATTGCGTTGTCAAATAAATTGCACTTGGACATGCGTAATAATGCAAGCATTCATTGAATCCAATTCTCGGTTGCAAAATCTTGGTTATTGTTCGCTGGATTCTCAAGTCACAGCCTTATGCAACACATGTTGTGATTGTACATATACACAAGCACATTATTGAATTCTCTCTATGTTCTAACTCAAAGTTCAGTTTGACAATTTGTGTTGGAATCCAACAGCTAACAAAGCAGTTATATAAAGAAAATGGGATCAGAGTTCTTACTGAGCACAGACATGATTTCCTATAAGATAATCCGTGAATCTATGCAACAGTTTTCACGAGAAGAGGGAGCGACTTTTGTTGCGTTCCAACCGAGCTTCTCGCTGTTAAGACAAAAATAAAGAATAACATGCATATAAAGAAAAAAATATTTCTGTGTATTATTTGTTTGAACCTGTTTTCTAGTAGGGGAGTACAAAGCTTTTTAAATATTAAAGAAAAAACAATACCTCTTTTTTCTTGCATTCCTTGTAAACATCAAAATGCTCTTGACATTTACTTTTGTCCGAGCCAAACTCTTCCAAGCCTGAGAATTTGCCTTTCACATAAAAATATGATGTTGATGGAATGTGCAAAAAAATATCCAGGACAAAATATTAAAGTGAATTGAATCAAGCAAACCTCTAACATGCCCTAACCAACCAAATAAAGCAACAAGCAGTTATACAAAGTCTCCCTTTTGTTTATTGTCTAACTATATGAAAACTCATTACAGAAGTAAAGTAAGCCATCCCTTCAATTTAACCATAACCAGAACTTCTAATAAGCTCATAAACACCACAGCCATTTAGATGTTACAATTCCCCATTGCTCAGTAAGTACACGGCCTAAATTTCACAACTAAATCACGAGTGGCCATCTACTAGAAGCAATGCCATAGATACACATAATAGAGTTCTTGCAGAATTACAGTACTGACTAGCACATGCTGCGCAATGTACAAGAAAGTAAAGCTCAATCACAACTAGAACACAATATACTAGTTCCCGTTACTGGAAGACTTGAGGAGCATAGATGTCAAAGATTCAAAGTAATATAATTTAAACTTCGCATTTTTAATCCGTCTTCAACCCACAATGACATGCCAGCAGCCTGTTTCAAAACGAAAAACTTTTACATTTTTATCTTAGCGTAGGCGAGATATTATCTGGGATGCTCCCAACTGGATGTGCTTCTGCTGTTTGTTAGAAATTAGAAAATATGAATTACATAACAGGGTTCATTAATTAATTTATAGAATCTGGACTGTGAATAAAACGGTATGATCATTCTTTACTTCCAAGAATACCCAACTACGCCAATCCAAGAACAAGCTCTCATTTTCACCCCCAATCAAAGCAAGCCAATATTAAGACGAATCAGTAAATCAAGAACCCGCCACAGGAAAAGGATTAAAAATAGAAACTATAACCATACTGGTGAAAAATTAGGCATAGACATGCAAAATCAAGTGTAAGAGATGCATTCTTGAACATTAAACATGCAGTGAAAACTAAAAGTCAAAGCCAAAAAAAGAATCAGAACGGAGAAAAAGAGAGAAGGGAGTTGTTTTTTTACATTTAAGAGACGCTGTGTACTGAGGGTAACATTGAGAGTCAGCGAATCTCGCAGAACTTTGATATGGCGGTGTTGCGGCTGCTGCTTTTGATTCCATTTTTTCTTTTAGCTTCTCTTCTTGCTTTGTTTCTCCCTCTGTGGATTAAAATCTGAATTCCCTTTTCTTCTCTTTTTTCCCCTGAAAGTCTCTCTAACGCGACTTGTCGTTTGGATGGTACCCTAACTGGCAACGTGGTTTGAAAGGTCAAAGCCAATGACCCGTCGCCTGATAAAGAGTGCATGGTCGTTGATACTATATAAGTTTGTAGCAAAGGAAGAGCTAAATCCAGAATTAATAAACAAAAGAGGGATCTGTTCGTACATTCTTATGGTGACCATGGTGCATACAATTTCATCTTACCAAAGAGTTAAAAAGAGTTTTTGGGTTCTTGATCAACTGAACTTAATTCTCATCGAAGTAATCACATGTAACCACATTCATAACAATTTTATATGGACATTTTTCTAGGATGTTTTCGCAAAATTTGAAAGCTATTGGTCTTTCAAGACAGTTTTTTTTTTTTTCTTGGAAGGGTTGTTATTTTCTTTAGAACAATACAACATTATTCAAAATAGCCTAATCAAGAAGTACAAATATCAGGTTGAAAAGATTAAGGATCATGATGGATTTCATAAATAGCCAGTTAAACTATGATCGTATTTTTTTGAATTCAATTTCTTCTACTTTTACTGTTATCGTCAATCTTTGTGTATCAAGACAGTAGTGTGCCAAGTCAAGGAAGATATTCATGGAGACACTGCAGTCTGCATAGTTAAGCTTTTATCCGAGTATTTCTGCTGCAACCATTGTCTTTAACGTGGCATTTTAGAATAGGTTGGTTAGTTTTTGGTTGGGGAATTGATGGAGATTGGAGAGTACATCATCAAAGAAACACCATGCATACATTACAAGATTACAAATATTTTTAATATAAAAACTGAGAATGGTGATTGTTTAAAAGATAATAAGGTAAAATTATGTTTTAATTTCGAATGAAAGGTGGTTTGGATAAGATGGATTGATTAGATAAATTTTTTATTTAATTTTATATACTTATTTTTGTAGCAATATTTTCTTTTTGGATACAAATATTTATTATTGTTATTATTATTTTGAATTTTAAATTTAAATATGATGGTATGAAGTTTTTAATTGCTACATAATAAGACTTGTATATACTCAAATAAAAAAAATGACACTTTTATGCATAGAAAATATAATTAATTCAACAGTAATTGCTTCACGTGAGCAAACCCATTACCCGGCATCCTTCTCTCTTGTTTACTCCAGTAAGTACAAAGTACTTCAGAAATACCAGTTACCAAATTTCCCTTTGACATGCAATTTGATGGCCAGTTACCATCAAGACCAAACTACGAATCCATACCCTTTTGACATTTGGCAAAAGAAAAAAAAAATTCAATCTTGCAGAAGTAGGAAAAAAAAACTGTAATTTTTCTTAATACAGAGGTTGCTTCCACTTGCCGTACATGAATCTTGAAAAGTATGGTAATGCGCACAAAGAAGATTCCAAGAAACGACAATTATTTTATTGTCGTCGAGGTAACGGACTATAGAACGACAATTATTCTTTTGTCGATGGGGAATGCAACGGACAGGGGATCGCCAGACGCCAATCATTCCATTGCTGTCTTTCTGTAAAGTATAAATAAAATATTGACTTTGACATGCTGTTAAAAAAGCACAAATCTTAATCAGCTCATTAACATCATTTTTGGGTAATCGAAGATGCATCCAGAATCCTAAATCTAAAGGAATTTCCCATTTTCATATTACACGTGGAAACAAAAAATAAGGTTCCGGCCTTATAACGTTCACAAAAGAGGATTAAGAAATGTTAAATTTAAAACTTCATTGGGATTCAAGCTCTATCAATGAATTAAACTCTTGCAATCGTATTTCATTGACAGAAATTTGATGCATTAAAAAAAATTACTTTCTCATAATCTCTTTAATTTAAATCCTAAAATAATTATGTGGAAAGCAACGTCAAGTTATTTTGAGACGAACGTAAATGTGTTTCTGTCAATCAGCAAACTAGCAATTGTCTGAAAATTCGTACAAGTCATTCCTTAACTTGCATTTGCGTGTACAAATGAAGTCTTTTAATTATGGGTTCATGTCAAGCGACTCTCAAAGGGGTGATGCTGTCAAATCGAAGAATCCAAATGGTTAATTTAGTCGAGTCTTTCTTTTTCGTTTTTGGAAGAATTTAAGTCTTTCAATTTGACTAAATAACACTAATTTATTATCTATGGGGTCATGCTACGTCTTCCTTTGTTTTTCTTTCTCCTTTTTGCCTCCCTGACAGCTCAAATTAAAGTGATCCCGAAATCTTTTTCAAAAGCTCTTGGAAAATTTTGCTGCTTTCCTTTACCACCCCCTCTCTTTCTTTCTTTCTATATATAACTTAAAACATTCTATTACAGAGAGAAGAAGAACATAGGAACGCATAGTTCTCTTCAAAATGAATGCTACATCAGCAACAACAGCAGCAACAACAACAAAGTTTATCAAATGTGTGACAGTTGGAGATGGAGCTGTTGGAAAGACATGTCTTCTCATCTCTTACACTAGCAACACCTTCCCTACTGTACTAACTTGATATTTTACCCTTTTGTTCTTGTTTATTTTGCGATTCTTGTATAACTGCATGTTGGTTTCTAAATTAAGGGTCTTTTTTTGTTGGTTTTGGTTTTCTTGACAGGATTATGTTCCTACTGTTTTTGATAACTTCAGTGCCAATGTTATGGTTGACGGACAGACTGTAAATCTAGGTCTTTGGGACACTGCTGGTATTCTTTCTCTTTCTCATTCTTGATTTGTGTACCATTAGCTAATCTGGTCAAAATATGTGAATTTGCCCTATAATTTTCATGGTTATCAGTTTACTAATATGATAAAATGTTCTTCATTTGATAAAAGTGATCTAACTATGTATCCGCGAGGTTCATTTCATGAATTGAACTGGGAGAAAATACTTTCTTTTTTACTGTTTATTGTTTTTTTAAAGAAACATCTCAATCCAACTTAATTCTTTTTTTTTAATTATTAATTAAAGAAAAAGTAAAAGCCGTATGATTCGAACTCTTAACTGTGTATAAAAAATAATTAATTTAACCCAATAGTTTAAGTTGTTGGGTAAGGTTTCAGATATAATTTATTATTCTCTAACATTTTTCCCCCTTTCTAATGATATCTTTGTTAACTGCAAAAATTGGTGAATAGGTTTAGAAAACTGGATTCTAACAACTATGACTACCATTAATGAAACCCCAAAATTCTTGAGAAGTTGTAAGCTTTCCACTTTCTGATATCCAATTGGCAACATCATAGCTTCTTTAAATTTAGTTTCTCTGTTGAATATAATAACAGCTGCATTGATTGTTAGAAACACCCCTTTATGCTATATCCAGCCTTTTTTCGATGAAAGTTGGCTTTTCGGATGCTCTATAGGGCTTGGTTGGTAGATTTCTATTAGTTGCGTAGCTCATCGCAAAAAGTGGAGAACTTACTAGTTCACTCCAGTTTAAGGTTGTATTTGGATGGGTAATTTTGCAAACGCAACATTTGAATCACGAGGCAATTATTTAAAATGATTGATTCAAGAAAAGTGAGACCATCACTGGCTTGACGTTGTGAGAATCACTTGTGCAGTCATGAAAAGATTTTAACACAGTTTCATATGTTATGAAGATCACTAAGTTTTTCTTCTGCAGTTGACTGCCAACCATAATCAAACAACCATAATTAATGGAATTAATGGTAACTTTTCTAGTTAGTGCCGAGAAATTGTTGTGATATCTCAAAAGTGGTTCAGCAAAGTGAAACAACGAAATGGCACTGCCAAGTTTTTAAATAATTTATGCAGGTCAAGAAGACTACAACAGGCTGAGGCCTCTAAGCTACAGAGGAGCTGATGTTTTCATTCTTGCCTTTTCCCTCATAAGTAGGCCAAGCTATGAGAACATATCAAAAAAAGTAAGTTTCTTTTTGTTTCCAATTAGATCCGTCTTATGGGTTCTCTTTCCAGTTAAATTGCTCAGCAACATGTATATACTCTGCTGATCGTTCTTCTCCTTCTTGTTCTTCTATTCTCTGTTTTGCTTGTTATGTTGGAGAAGTGGGTCCCTGAGCTGAGACATTATGCCCCATCAGTGCCCATTGTCCTTGTGGGGACTAAACTAGGTGGTGTATTCTTCCCTCTATTGATTTATTACTTATTTGAATGGTTGTTGCCTGGACCCTGCTTTGCTATTAATCAAGTTTTATGAGATTTGAGAAACTAAAAGTTTTCAGTTCTTTCACCCTTTATATGGGACTCTCAAGTCTAAAGGCATAATGTTTCTTAAAAAATTGGCATAACTATCATCCAGTTTCTGCTCATATCCTGACATGCTACTTTTGTTTCCATTTAGACAAAGCTTACATGTGCATATAGCATATGTATGAATGCTTCCGGTTTCTCAGGAGTCTGTCATGCCTCTTACAGGGTTCTTTTGTTTTTCTGCCTCTTTATAATGTGATTTGGCTGAATTTTATAGCTCAAGTGATAATGTACAGAGACAGTCATTTACCCTATCATGTTTGTGTAGCATTGTATTTGGTGCCTTCAAAGCGTTTGGTCTTGAAAGTATATTGTGATCTACATGTAATGAGGTGTTCCATCTGGTGATTCATTATGCTTGAGATGTGCATGTGCATGTTGTTGTTATTGTTTCAGTTGTGAACATTTTGTGTTAAATACAGATCTGAGAGAAGACAGTCAGTTTCTCTTGGATTATCCTGGGGCTTGTACCATTTCTACAGAGCAGGTAGGCTTCCACCGCTTACATTGTCATTCTTCAGACATGCATGTACTGATTCTGTTGTTATAACTGTAAAAATTGTTAGTTAAACAATCAGTCAAATCTTTATATGTGACCTCTTGTTTTATTATTACCAGGGTCTAGAACTAAAGAAGCAAATAGGAGCATTGACCTACGTAGAATGCAGCTCAAAGACGCAGCAGGTTTGATTCTCATCTCTATATATTTGCATAAATTAGTAAGCTGAGGACACACCATTGTCCACTGCTAGTGAGTATATGGTAGCGCAACCAACTGGGTTAATCCTGATTGTCTGTGCCTGTGGGGCTAACTTGGCCCTTGTGTGCCTTAGATATCTGATATCTCAGGGCCTTTTGAGGGAAGCACAGTAAGGAATTTTAGCTGGGAGCTTGTTGAGGTTCCTGGTATTATAATCTATCGACTTCCACAAAAACATAGATCATTACTAGCCATGCATGTCCTAGAAGGGCAGACAATGTAACCAACACAAGGCATATTTAACAATACTTACTAGCATATTGTTGAAATTTGCGGCCATTTTGACCATTTTCTGTGGTATATGCAGAATGTGAAGGCTGTCTTTGATGCTGCTATCAAGGCTGTTCTCCAGCCTCCAAAGCTCAAGAAACACAATAGAAAACATAGGGTCTGCCATATTCTTTAACCAATTTCCTACACAGGCTGCTAAAAGCATCTCTACGTTTCATTCATTTGTTCCTCTTTTGTTTTTTCCTTTCCTCTTTTGTTTGGTTGGTGTTCATGTTGCCTGTTTTTTGCTTCAGTTGTTTCATTTGATCTGTTTGTAGACAGACTAATCCTGGTCTTGCATCCAATTGTTGCAACCATCATTTGCTGCCATCTTGGTGAGATTGTGGAGATCAATAATAAAGAAACTTGCCATGATCTCCAACCGGCCAAGTTTATGAGTGGATTTACCTTTCGCGCTAAGATTCAGAGTTCCAATTAGAAGGAACTAGTATAGATGGCTTAGCGAAGGGTCTGCTTGAGAGGCTTACCCGGTCCTAAGATACAGTAATTATTAAAGCAAAATGATCTCCAACAAGACTTGAGTTGATTAGCTAGTCAACGTAACTATTTCCTTCTCTACAAACATGCCTAATGCTATGGTCTAACCCATAGTATTAAATAAAGATCACGATTGAAAAAATAATGCATTAATAATTGTTAATAAATTTATTTTAATTCATATATTTTTAATAGTTTCACTACTTAAGCATACTAGTAAGTAATAACATCTTTAATAGTTTAATATCATATAACAATAGTTGAATTTATTATAAAAAATAGTTAATACCAATTTTAATAGATTAATATTGTTTAAAAAATAATAAAATACTTTAAATTTTAATATACATATTATAAAATATTTATCTTTAAAGAGGTCATCGTGGATGATCATAATAATAGTTATCATTTTGTTGTTGATGTTGTGATTATTGTCCATCAAAATTATAATCATGATTGGTTTGAAAAACAAATTAAAAATTAACATCAAATTGAAAAAAAAAAACTTAATAATAAGTTTTTAAAACAAGAAGGACCAACTATTTTATTTTTTCAAACAAAAAGGACTGTCTACATTTGCTTTGTAGTCTTTGGATTTGTGCACTCAAGACCCACAAAGTAGAATAATAAAGAATAAATTATTTATTAGTCCCTCTAGTTTCGATAAATAAATTAATTAATCTTTAACTAATTATTTAATTTTTTAATAAGTATTGATCATTTTTAATTATAATATATTTTATTTCGTAATTTTTTTCATCGTATAAAATTATTTTTTAAAACAAAAAAAATAGAAAATAATATAAAATAAATAAAAATAACTAAATTATTAGTTTTTGAAATAAAAATAATTAATTAAATTATTTTTTCAAAATAAAAAGACTAATTTATAATTTATTCGATCAAGGCCTACAAATACAAGTATTTGATACTTATTCTTATTAAAGCCGGCAAATGAAATATAATCAAGCGGGTTCTAGCTTTTCAAAATAAAAAGACTAAATTATAGGTCTTCTTCCAAGGGTATCTACCCTATGTGTTCGCCTGACTCGATCGCAAGTGGAACGCTTTCCTCAGATAAAGCAAAAGGACTTTTAGGCTACAGCGAAAAGATGCAGTGGCTGTAAATAAGGGTGATCATTTCGGTTTTCCGATTCAATTTTAGTGTTTTTTTTATTTTTGATTAATTAAATTGACTAAAATAAAAACTAAAATAGAACTGAATTGATGTTCGATTTTTTGATTAAAAAAATGAAAATTTGGATTTTTAGTTAATTTTTTTTTTTACATTTTCTTCTAAAAACCGAATTAATTTGTTTTTAAAAAATATTAAATTTTCACAGTAATTGAGTACTATTTTCAATAGTAATTGAGTAACGTTTTCATAGTAATTGAGTACTATTTGGATTACAATTTACAAAGACATAAGTTAATTTATTTAATAAGTACATCATAACTTTTATAGCAATTTAATTTTATGATTCGTTACCATAAATACCATCTCGTCATTTGAATCTTATACTCTAATTAATAAATACACATTTCTCTATTTATTGAGTCACAACATAATGAAAGATTGCATGTTTCACATTTGATTTTATAAGAAAATTGTGTAAGATTATTATTATTTTTCTATACTAAGTTTATTTCTATTTATATTATAAATTAGATTTGTTGGGCTTCTCATTATTTTTTCAATCATGCTACAATTGGTTTTTTGTTAGTTTTCTATTTTTTTTCAATTTTCTTACTTTTTGCATATTTTATTGTTGAATAGATAATCTGAAAATCCAATTATTAATTTATGTTTGGTATAAGCATAAAAAGAATGAAAAAATTACTATTGTTAGTTGTTATTAACATTACTATAGTAGGGGTCAATTTTTTTAGGTGATATTTTTGTGTCAATTTTAACACAAGGAGACAATTTCTTTTCTATAGGATTCACCCACACATAAACTTGTGTATTCATAAAGAATTAATTTATCACATTTTTTTTATTTGTTTGTGAGTCAATATAATATAATCAATTATTTTATTATTTCAATAAATAATTAATGAAAAATATTTTTATTTTAAGTAGAAAAAAAACCATTAAAGTTATTGTTCTTTTAGTTAAACCCATAGTGCCTCTTTTATTTTTATTTAAAAAAAAAGAGCTTGGGTGTGTGTTTTAAAAAATAATAATAATTCGGTTTTCGGTGAAAATCAATTTTTTTTTAAAAAAAAAAACTGAACCGAACCGAAATAATTTCAGTTTATTTCTTTTTTTTTCAAACTTTTTTTATAAAATTAAACCGAAATTGCTAATTGGATTCGATTTTTTAGTTTTAACAGAAAAATGCTCACGTACTAGATAAGCTTAACCTTTTCGAGCTTGGAGGAAGAAGGCTAGAAAGAATAGAATCTGTCTGTAACAACTCTCAAATAAAATAATGGATTTAACTTCTCTGGTCTCTCCTCTCCTCTCCTATATCACTGAATTTCAGCTCCTAAAATGGCTGAAGTTTTTTTTTGTTTACAAGTATATAATGTTTTCATATAACGAGATTGCTTAATAATAATATTATTATTTATTGTTGTCTGTGTGAAATGTGAAATGACGTTGGGATATTGCACGGTTGTTTTCTTAAAACTAAGGTCTAAACCAAGTAACCAGTTCCGATTCAAAATATGCCCACTGACTTCCCGCAACATACAGGGCCCCCACCTTTATTAATAGCAGCCGCCCGTAGGGTTGCCGAATCCCCCTTCAGCTGAGCCTTACTCTGTACCCCTTCGTAAGATAATTGAAGACCGAGTAGGTTGCCCATTTTTATTAATAAAGCATTAGCTGGACATCAATTAGAAACCACATATTAAAGATCATTAAAAAAATTAATAAATTATTTTAAATATTAATCTCAAGATTTGAATTTAAAAAAAATAAAAAAATTAAATATCCTAAACCTCCAGAAAAATTCTTTAAGATCAACAAACATAAAAACTTGAGTTGTAATATAGATCTGAGGTATCACCTTAATTATAAGGTGTCATTTGCTCACTAAAAATAAAAAGTCTTAAATAAAAAATAAGAATCAAAATAAAATTTAAAAATTTTAAATGATATATATATTTTATACGAGTGTTTGGAATAATAATAAAGAATCAAAATAAATTTTAAATTTTTTAATATTTAATTTTTAATATGAATAAGAATAATGATTAAAAAATAATTTTATCAATTATGATAATTGTAAAATGATAGAAATAATTGTGGTAGTAGTAGTGATAGCATCATAATAGGGATGACAACGATGATGGAAAAGTAGTTACGGAAAAATAATAATAATAATTTTTATCACCATCGTAAATACTGAATTAGTAATGATAGTATAATAAAAATGATGATAGTAGTTGAAAAAAAGTGATAACAGAATAATAATAATAATAGTGATAGTATATATATATATATTTTTATCACTCGCTACTAATAGAGTTGGTGGTGATAATAAAAATAGTTAATGCATAATAAATAAAAATAATATATCATTATTTAAAAAAAATTATTTTCATTTTTTATTTTTATTCCTATCTCTTACATAAGCGAAAATAAAACTTTTATTCATATTTTCATCATTTCATTTTTGGTAACCAAACTGTATCTAAGAGCTCAAATCTTACATGAGTTGTAAATTAGAAAATTTTCATAAGTTTTCTAATATGGGCATAAATATTCCATCTTTAGCAAAATCAAAGAGATACATGAAGTATCTATGTATGAAAATTAGTTCAAATATACGTGTAATAGCAAAACAAAAGGTTTAGTGTCTTAAGAGAAGTACAAAATAAAAAAAAATTGTTTACCAAAAAAAGAAAAAGAAAAGGACCAGAACAATACTGTGTAAGCGTCGAAGTTTTGTTTAACCATGATTTTACGTATGCTTACGTTTGAAAATCAATGAATTAAACGGATAACTGACACTAGATATGGAGCCTTATTATGAGACGCCTTGAAAAATTAATTACTAAATTATTATTTGCATTAGCTGAATTTTTCAATTAGTATTTGCATAAACAAGAGTTAATGTTTTAATCTATTTTTATACAAGAAACGATTAAATACATCAATCAAACCGTTATTTTGACCATTCTTTTTTATATAATTATCAATACATTTTTCACCAATTACCAATAAGTATTATATAACACATATTAGTAGAGGATGTATTGATAATTTTATCAAAAAAATTGGTGACTGTGTTTGGTTGGTAAATTTAACAATATCCTTTTATATAATATCCTAATTTTTTTATTTGTCTTTATATTCCTAATCGAATTAATTTTATTATTAAATATATGTTATGTTTTTAATATATTATTTTGATAAGATTTTTATATTAAATTATCGGAATTAATCATATGATTTGTATATAATTATATTTTATTTTTATAATATCCTTGCAAACCAAAATAAAGCAGGTCTTTCGTATGAAAAACATATGACTGTGTTTTGGTTCGAAAATTTTATTATAATAATAGATAAATAACTTAACGTATGTTTAAGGATGAAATCAATTTAATTAAAAATATAATTATAAATTAAAAAAATGATCTTATTATCTAAAAATGTACTGAAGCATTAACCCATATATTTATTAATATTTTTTTCCAGGGAGCATCCAATCCAGCCTAGAAACGTGGATCTTCGACTTTCATTCAACCCGATGATTATGCTCGCATGAATTGGCCGTTAAACTTATTTTATTGATTTATAAGACTTAACTCCGTGTTTACATCGCAGTTGCATAGAACTTCTCTGGTTCCGTACTGCATTGTTGAATTTTGACCCTGGACTTATGAGCAAGATTTGACTGTTTTTTAATGTTGCCATGCGAGAAAGTTAACATCTTGGGTTAATTTTAGTTTGTCCCTGCGAGGTTGACGTATTTTTTTATTTTTTCTTTGAGATTCTGTTTGTATCAATTATTTTTAAAAATTTTTATTAAAAATTATATTCTTTTCTTTCAACTAACATAATTAACGATGCATTAATTTTTATATTTTAATTGACTTCTTAAAAATTTAAAGAAATTCTTAATTAAACACTTATTTTTTAATCATATTAACTATTTTGGTTTTTCAATTAGAATCGTATTTCTTTTCTGAATATTAGCCCATATTGAACCTTCTACTCTTTGAATTATCTTTATTGAGATCCCATATTATTTTTTATATTGATCGAAACTATCTATTTTCGTTTTGTGTTTTTTAAGATCATCTATTATAACACTATTAGTTATGAACTGACGTGATGATGATGCAATGCTTCTATTTCTAATGCATAATGCGTGTTAAATGTAGACTCTAATTGAAAATTAAAAACATGCAAGGACTTGATTGTATGATTTTTTTTAAAAAAAACCAAAATGTTTTTTGTAAGAATTTTGAGGACCAAAAATTAGAAATAAAGGATGAGATTGTAAAATTATTTAATCAAGGGCCAAAATAACTATTTTTTAAATGACAAGAATTAAAATAAAATATTTTGGTAAATTATTTTTAATGGCTGTTAGATGGATAATAAATAAACGAGTATTAAAAAAAAATTGAATATTTGAATAATTTAAAATGAAAACTAAGATTGCTTTCTTGACTATACCAGTATTGAAAAGTAAAATTTTCTGAACAGTTGACAATTCAAAACAAAAGATAAAGTTGCTCTCTTAAAAAAACTTGATATTGCATCACATTTCTTTTTTGATGTAGAGATACTAGTCGACGTTACTGTTATTTTATTTTAATTTTTTCAACATTTTGTATTCTATTTTTATTTTTAAGTGCATGTTACGTTTTTTTTATGTATCTCATTGTTTTTATTTTGTTTAGAGTTTTCATTAAATGAGTCTCACATATAATATGTTTTGCGACATTAAATATGAGGTTTTAAAAATATAATAAGATAAAAAAATTTAAAAATAATAATTTGATCTTTGTATTTTTTGAATTATTTTGATTGGAGTATCATGTTTTTTAAATTATTTTGATTAAGTCTCTTTATTGAAATAACACGTAAAACACATGTCATGTATTTAGAAGTAAACATGCTTTGTCAATGCCATGCCAGATTGCTACTAATAATGTTACAATAGAAGGTCTTAAACAACAAAAAAAATAGTCTCAATCAACATAAAAAATAGTATATGGTTTCAATCAAAATAATTTTAAGAGTAGAGAATCCAAATTCAGACAAAATTCTTTTTTTTGTTGATTTCATATTTCTCAAATTTTGAAACTTTTAACATATAAGAAATATAGACAAACATATAAGCTTAAACTATAAATCTCGCATATTTTAATAAAATCATAATGATCTAATACAAAGTTAACATAGAATATAAAAAATATATATGAACATAGTTTGGCATCATCTTTTTATATTCTTGTTTTCAAAAAATAAAAAGGCAAATTTTAATAGTGTGAAACATAAAATCTAACGTAACAAAATTAATAATACCAACACACTATATATATTTTTGTCCAAACTATAATCGAAAATTTCACACTGATCCTTCGAATCAAATTTAAATGTACAAACTCAAACTAATAACTAATAATATGAAGTTTGATAATTGAAATAATACAACTTTATATATATATATATATATATATATATATATTAAATTTACGATACGATGAATTTTATGAAATTTAATAGAATTGAAAGTTAAATATTTGATTGAATTTTTTTTGATTATTTAGAAATTCAAATTAACATACAAAAGTATTCTATCATTAATTATGTCAGCTTAATAGATAAAAAATAATTGAAACTTTAATTAAAGTTAAAAAAAGTAATTATTACAAACAAATTCTCACGAGAGAAATTGAAAAACTCCTTACACTTTAGGCGATAAGTTAAAATTTCCCCTAATATTTTCACCATCTCTCTCTCTTTTTTTTTTTCATCACTATATTAATTAATTGTTATTACTATCTACAAAGAAGATACAAACCTTAATTCAGGAAATAAAAACTGATTCCAAGACCTCGTGTCTTTGACAACGGGTACCCTCTTCCCACGGGGTAATTTTGTCACTTAATGTAATCCAAGGGGGCGATTCTCCGGTGTTTTCAGCTGAATCAACAAAATTGTTATAAAGTTTTAGTTAAACTGTCTTTTGTTCTCTATTCTAATAAATAAACTTATGATCTCCCAGATATATATCTAGAGATTTTTTTTTCTCGTATCAGCGCTTGATTAGTAGATTTTTCAACTCAATTACATCGAATCAATAAGCCAGGACTAATGTAGAAAAAATATACAACGCAAATTCAAGTTTTTGATAAAATTAAGGAAACCTAACCATTGGTGCATGTTTCAACTTATATATATATATATATATAATTTTTAATTAATTTTTTCATCAATTAAAACCACAATTATTATTTTATAGACTAAGCCAATATTGCAGTTAAACTATTTCTTAAGTCAAATCAATCCAATTATATCGGTTAATAATAAAAATTAAGATTTAATTTTAAATAAATTAAAATAATTTTTTTTATAGGTAGATCAATATATATATATATACACACACCCTATCGAGGTACAGTCAGTCTGTTGTACATCAAAGTCCATGCATTTATTCAAGACTTGTGATCGATTTGCTGTATCACACTTACGGAAAAACATATATTCGAAACATGTACTTGACTTGTACTTTTATTAATACTATTAAAATCATATATATAAATTAAGGTAACGATTTGGTTACATATTAAAAAAAATCAGAATGAAAAAGCAAGAATCAGAATGAAAGTTAGAAAATTGAAATGATATTTACATTCTTATACTATGTTTGAAATACTAATAAGAAATCGAAATGCAATTAAAATTTTTTAACATCTGATTTTTTATATAAATAAAAATAATAATTAAAAAATAATTTTATTAAAATATAATGATTGTAAAAATAATAAAAATTATGATTATGATAATGACGGTGCTTGTGGTTATGGTGGTAGTGATAATGATTATAATGATAGTGGTTGTGGTGGTGATAATGATATTTGTGATTATAGAGATTAATATACAATAAATAAATAAAATATAATTTTTTGAAAAAAAATCATATCTATTTTTTGTTTTTATCCCTATATTTTAAATAAAAATTGAGTTGTGTATAATTTTCATTCCTATTTTTATTTTATTTATGTAAATAAAATAGCTGTAAGGTGGAAATAAAATTTTTATTTTCTTTTTCAGTACTCCATTTTTAATTAGCAAACAACACCTAAAGTTAATAAATTTTCTCAGTACAATTGATATTGTTTTTTTTTTTTTTAAATCTACTTAAAATGATAAAAATGTTAATAAATAATAACAGCACGAGTCTTTTTTGGGGGTAAATTAATGAATGGTGCCCAAGTAGGATATCGATGGAGACACTTTGAACCGTTGTTGTAGTTGTTATGCTAATTAAAGTATGATTCTTTTCTCTTGCTGTCAACAACCATACATGATGCAATCGTTTTTTTAATTTAAAAAACACATAAAAAAATGTTTGTGGTCTTCAATCGCTCACGTCATATCTATATATAACTTGCTTATTTTCTTGTGTGTGTTTTCTATTTTTATAGCCAAACAATATTTTTTACCAGTTTTTTTCCTCGTCGACATTAAATTTACCTTTTTTAATTCTTTCGGGACAACCATGAATGCTAAGATCAGAAAATTCCACAAATCCTCTGCTTTTATAGCTTAATATAAGATTGAAATTTGGTTAATTAAAAGGGGAGCACATGATCTTTTTAACTATGGGACAACTTATACAGTTTATTGCATGACATGATGGAAGTAAATGCATTGCAATTTTAAACGATAAAAATCTTCTGCTATTTCTTTCTATCTATCTATAATCTATGTCTATGTCTATATCTATTTATATATTTAAAGAAATGGAAAGTTATGCCTACAGACCTATGGATATTCTCATCGCTTGTACAATGAATCCGAACATGTTTAAATCAATGGCCAAAAGTTACTCTATTTATATTATCATGAATTTATTAATTTTTTTTTTAATATATCAACCAATAGACACAACCTAATAATAATAAAAAAAACTCTCATCGTTAAATAAAATAAAATAAAATAAATTCCTGCAAAGGAGGTTACGGGCAAATAAATTTCTACAATTAAGTTACTCGTGTACAAAAAATCCAGAGAAGACTGGATACATGCAACGGTTACCATGATCGAGACCGCTTGTCAGTGAAAATCCCAGATTTAACAAAGCAACAAGGATATATGTAATAAAAGAAATTAATTTGGGTTACTAAAATTGGGGTCTACATTTAATTTGCTTTTCTTCTAGCCAGATTTAATTTTGGAAGTCAGTATCTAGTTCTGGCTTTCTTTTCCATATTAAACCATGATGAGTGATGACTAGTCAAATACACCTATAGGTTTCATTTACGTGTCCCACGACCATTCTACCATATATACCAAACCTTTTCGCACACAGCTTGCTCTCATCCTCTTCCATCTCTATTTGGTAAATTACACAAAGCCTCCAGTACTATTACACCAACCCTTCGTTATCCTTCACAAACCAAGCCCAAACTCGAACATGGATTCCTCAAAGTACCCTCTTGGAAATATTGCAATCATCTTCATTCTCTTCGCTGGTGTTCTTTACGTCTGTATTTGGTCTGCTTCACTATCAAACCCTTTAATATTATTCTCATTTCAAAGATCTAACCATTGCCCATCCTACTCACAATCTGTAAGTATTCATCTTTATATGTTATGTATACCCACCCATATACAGTATAGCTTTTTGTAGTTTCCTTTGGTGTAGAAATCAATTTTTTGTTTCCCTTTTTTGTCACACAGGACATCAAAACGTTGAAGTTTCCAATAGATGAGCTTGAATTGGCTTTAGAGAAAGCCTCAACACCAAACAAAACAGTGATTATTGCTGTAGTCAACAAGGCTTATGCAGAACAAGGTGTCAATACTGAAACAACAATGCTTGATCTTTTTGTTGAGAGTTTTTGGCTAGGAGAGGACACTAGGCCACTTCTTGATCATCTGCTCGTAGTTGCTGTCGATCAGACTGCTTATGAGAGGTGTTTATTCAAGAGGCTTAACTGTTATAAGCTGGAAACGGAAGGTGTTGATTTTGGAGGAGAAAAGGTTTTCATGTCACGAGATTTTCTCAAGATGATGTGGAGAAGAACTCTTTTGTTATTAGATGTTCTCAAGCATGGCTACAACTTCATTTTTACGGTACGTTTCTTACTAAAAAACTCCATTAATTTCTGTGTTTAAATTTGACCGTAACCCGCCCAGCATTTTAATGTCGGCAAGTAAACTAGTGAAATTGCGGACAATGTTTGATTAACTGGCCTGTTTGACTTTGTTGAGGCAGCGGAGTCCCATGTCTAATTTCAGATATTTTGGGGCAAGATTTGACATAATTAGACTAGTCGTATCTCACTGGCCCAGTTACAGAATAACCGTGAAAATGGCCAAAAAGTGACGGCATCCCCTTGATTATTAATTTGGCCAACCCTCAATAGCTGCGTCAGTAATAATTGTACAAATTAATCAGTAAAATCCTCAATCAACGAAGCTTAATTTCTATTATTCAAAGCTTGAAACATAGTTAAATGTTTTAAGGCATGCAAGTATTTTGGGGCTGAGGTAGGACGGAGACATGAGGGGATAGTTTCATTGGGGGGTTGCCACCGTGATAGAACCGTCAATGTCCCAAAAGTTTGGAAATCAAGGTATTGGGAGCTGGGACTTTGAGTTGGCCTGGTTCGCATGAAAGTTATTTTCTTCTTCTTCTTCTTCTTCTTCTTCTTCTTCTTTTACAAAAAAAAAAAAAAAAGGGTTCACCGAAAATTTAGATCTACCGATTGTCTGTGTCACGGATGTCACCCTGAGGCTTTTAATGGGATCTAGGTTGGTGTACATTTGAACTGATGGCTGGTGCCTTTTGGAGACCCAATCTATGTTTGTCATGTTATTTTCATGGAGGAAAATAAATAAGCTACGCAGAAAGTTTTATCATTTTTGGGGGGTTCAAAATCTTTTTCTTTCTTTTTTTTTTTTGTAAAGAGAAAATTGGTCGTCGAATTTGTGAAAAATTGTAGCTTTGACGGTACAATAAAACATCAATTCACTTCAAGAATTGCTTAAGCCAGCCACATTGGTGGTGACTGTCCCTTGTAGATCAACCAATCCACTTGAATTTCATAGGATCTACGAGGTAGTTGACGCAGGTAGAACTCCCCAGCGCCAACCAGCCTACGTCAGAACCCCCTTCAAAACAAAGATATTATGATTTTATGGTTCAATATAATATGGGTTGGTACAGAAAAAGATTATGACAGTGCATGGATATATGATAGTACACGGATATAATGTTTTTAGTATTAAATAATTTATTTATCATATATATATAAACCATATCTATTAATATAACCATTAACTTTTAAAATTCTCATAACATTTCAGATTCGATTTTTTTTTATGTGATCATAAATAAGGAATTCATCTTTCTTAATGCAAGGAGTCAAAACTCATCAATGAGAAGAGAGACATGTAATGTGAAGATGCGATAAATTAGGCATTTTTTAATTGTTTTGAGACGTGTTGAGAAATTTTGCTGCTGCCACAAATTATAAGGTTTATGCATGTATCTAGAATTTAGCCACGATTCATAATCGTATTGGTTTGGTAGATTAGTTGATCCTAGAGTAGTCTAATTATTTAATTGGAAGAAGTTTAACTAATTGAATTGCCTAACAAATCAAGGGTCTGACTTTCGAGACGTGCATTTCCAGCCATTCGATCCTATAAAAGTAGATCTGACGGATCAAATTATTTACACCTATTTTTTTATATATTTATTTTGTTTTTATATTTCTTTTTCAAGTTTAAACTCAATTTATCCTCTAAAAGAGATAAATACACTCTTTAATGCCGGATCTTCTTCCCCAAGTAACAACTTTTTACCATTCTTATTCATTATAGCACAATCATATTTGGTAAGGAGCAAAGACATAAAAACCCAGTAGATAAAAAGCCCCAATCACGAGACTGGTTAGCTGTTTAATGTACTTTCTATGAGTCTGACTCTGGAAAAAATTGACAAAGAAAAGGGACAGATCCATAGCTATATCATTGCTAGTTCGCAAAATTCAGTCATACCAATGGTCATGGAACTGTTGTTCATGGACTTGGAGTTTGGTGGTTTTATAGTTTTAGCGTGTGATACATTCCTTCGTATGTTCATCTTGTTTTACGAAGAAAAGATATTTAATCTAAACTTTGAGGATGTTTTACGAAGAAAACTGGAGGGAGGAGTCGCAAAATGGTTTTTAGGTAGCGGAAGAAACGCGGGGGGGGGACTAACTGAGTGGAATCGAACAAAAGTACATAACAAATCAATATAAAAATTAAAAAATAGGTTTTTCCGAAAAAGATCATGGATAAATATCAGCCGTTGGTGCAAAAGCACGTTCGCATATGGTTTTTTGTAGGCGGACCCCAAATCAATACTCGAGGTTTTTGGTTTTGATTTAGAAACGATTGTGTAAAAGTCACGAAATAATTAGTTTTTAATGCCCCCTTTCCTCGTTATTAGCTACTGATCCTTTTCTTTATGTCAAAAAAAGTCTTATGATTTGGGTGCCAGTTTGGCAGAGGTGCTTGAAATAAATTAAACGTGGAACTTACGCCTGCTTATTATATGATTATTGCTGATTTATCAAAAAATTTTATAATATTTAAATAGTAACTAATATAAATATATAGTAACTATAGATTTTTTTTGTTTTATATATCCATCTTTCTCCTAAAAAGTGAATTGGTGAAATAGTTATTATATATATTCAATAGTTATTTTTTAAATATTATAATATTTCTTTAGATTTATCCGCGATACGTGGGTAATATAAACATGTTATGTTAAGCATGCCACACATTGCATATGCATTACGCACCCTCTCTAATTCAGACCAGGCAATTGCACCTTATACCACTAACCCTTTTGTTTTTTTTTTCTTTGTTTATATTTAGATGATATTTTCAAATCAGATTTAAAACTTTTTTACTGATTGTATTCCTAATCTGACCATTAATAGGTAGGAGAAGTCATCCTCCAGATTTAGTTTTTGATTTCATTCTTGACTTGGATATAAAATCCATATGAAAAAAAGCTAGGTACATGCTTGTTTTATTTTCCTGTGGTTCAGAGGTCAGTTGGTCTATTGAAAATGACTTCCCCTGAGTCCAAAGTTGGAATCGTCAGTGCGCCTTTTCTTGAAAATGTGCTCCATTGGTTGCTCTCACTTATCTGGATATAGTTTCGCCTCAAATTATTGCGTAAGGAAAATGATCGTAAGATAGAGACAAGCTAGAGCAGCTTTAGCTTGGCTCTGTTGGATCCAAGTGACTGATCAGCCGGCAAGAATCAGTACAAAATGACTCAATGTCAAGTATTGGTTGGGTTATCTTGGCACTAGATTTTGATTTAAGTGGCATCCTCTGATCAAATATTAAAGTAGGGAGACCAAATTGACATCTCCGGTTTAAAAAATGACATTCAGGTCTAGATTAAGAGGTTGAAGAGAATTCTGCTTTTTATAGTTTACCTGACTCTTCAAATTCTGATGTTGAAAAGAAAGCATACCTCTTAACCATTATAATTTATTTACCAACCGACACTAAATTTTAAACTCGAGTCTTAATTCTTCATGAAAATGATTTTACGATCCCTATCATTGTAATTTGCAAACTAAACTACCATTGTTGCTCAATCTAATGCTCATACTGGTTAACTGATGCACCATAATTTTGACTTTTGGAACATTTGAAAAATGGGACAATATGTTGAGATTTTAGTTTTGCTAATGACTGGTTCAAATTTTTGTGACAGGATACTGATGTAATGTGGCTAAGGAACCCACTTTCAAGGCTAAGCATTTATAACGAAAGTGTGGACCTCCAAATTAGTACCGATTGGTTCAATGGAGACCCGCAATCTGAAAAAAATGCCATCAACACTGGCTTCTACTATGTTAGATCAAACAACAAGACCATCTCATTGTTTGATGCATGGTATGGCAGGAAAGACAATTCTACAGGCAAAAAGGAGCAAGATGTGCTCTTTGACCTGATGAAAGAAGGCATTTTTGGGCGATTGGAACTTCATGCAAGGTTCCTGGACACTGTCTACTTTAGTGGGTTTTGCACAGATAGCAAAGATATTAAGGCAGTTATCACTGTCCATGCTAACTGTTGTCGGAGTATAAATGCCAAGGTTAAGGATTTAACTGCTGTCCTTCGTGATTGGAAGAAGTTTAAGGCAACTAGTGCAAAAGCAGCTGCGGCTCGTAGTAATGTAACTGTGCCTTTCAGATGGACAGGACACTTCGGATGTTGGAATTCTTGGAACACTAAAGTTTAGTTTCATCGTAGCCAGATTCTTTTTTACTGTTCATTAGAGAAAAGCCGAACAAGAATTAACAGCCAATGTATACTTCAATTTGGATATGTATGTTGATACTTTTGTTATTAGTGTATTTTTTAACTATTCATTAAAGAAAAGCCGAACAAAAATCAATAGCCAATGTATACTTCAGTTTGGATACGTATGCTGATATTTTTTGTTATTAGTGTATGGTACATAGTCACTCTTATTTGTATGTTTGTGAGGCTCGTTTGTGTGCCAGATCAGAATTTCTCAAAAGAGTTATTTAGATACTCGGTTTATGAATTTTACATTGTATTTGGATATTTCCTCTTGAGAGAAAAGAAAAAAGAAAAAAAAATAAGAGGAAAGAGCTATTTTTTCCTTGTTGTTTGGATAAGAGTAATATATATATATATATATATATATATATATATATATATATATATTTGGATAATTGTAGAAAGAGAGATGAAAGAAAATGTATTATTATATGTTTACTACAATACCTCTATGATTACATTATGGGAAGATAAGTTCCACTTTTTTTTTTTTTTTAAAGAAAAGGAAGATAAGTTCCACTCGAATACGTTATACATTCACGGAAAAAACTCTTGTACAAGACATGGAAGTACGAGTAGGAGAAAAGGATTTGAGTTTGCGATAGAAATCCCAACACTACTATTTCATTTGACTAAAGTGCAAGTGTGTCCATTAACAAATACTAAAATGGATTGTTACTAGAGTGTAATTTTTTGCAATTAATGGTCCGTTGTTAATGCTCTTATTATGCAATATAAGAACAAGTATCGGATTAATATAACAATGCAACAAAGACACACTACACATAATTCCACAACTGCGCACCCACTCCAACTCCATGCGCCATCATTGTGGTTGTTGGCTTTCCACTTCATCATACTTAGCTTCCAACTAGGCTTCGAATTAAGTTTTAGGAAAATATAAATTTCTAACTTTTGTTATTGGTGAAGTTATCAATATGTTATAAGTGGGTGAAATTTTTACATTGTTGAACACGAGATACGAAGTTGGGCATACGGCATTGCTAGAAGGATTCAACACTATTAAGAAGATATTAAATAGATGACCTTCTTAGCCAAAACAATGAGGACATAAATGTCTTGAATCAAAAGCTTAGCTATAAATAGATAAAAGATTAGCAAATAGTAATAAATGCCTTGAGATCAAGAAATACCTTGTCATGTTTTTCTAATGAAAAGATTTTATTTCATAAATAAAAGAGAATGAAATTCAGCGGGAGCTTAGCTTATACAAGTAATTAAGCTAAGCTCCATTGCTTATAGATATTATCTACCAAGTTTGTGGAAGTTAGAATTGTCTCCTCGAAATTTTATAACATGTACAAATGGAAACTATATATCCGCATGCATTGAATAGGCACAAGATACCCCCATAAAGAAGATAATCAAGATACCATTGTTCTAAGTAGGAAGATCAATCCAACACACAAAAGATGTGAACTTGAGATAGAAAAGAAACAACACGACTCCATCCTAGACGATAGCCATTGACCCAACTGCAAAAAGAGGATGAAGAAGAGAGAGAAAAAAATGTATACCGAAGGGCGGAGACCCACAATCGAAAACGAAGCGGAGGTGGCACAAAATAGAAAATGACAAAATGACAACAATCTAAGCAAATAAATCAAAGAAAATAACAAATAACAAGCACAAACCGAATGACAACGAGTACAATTCGGAGGGAGAGCAAGGCAAAAGAAAAGACAAGAACAGAGAAGAAGAATGATTGAAGCGTGAGGGATGGAAAATGAAAGCTACCAAGGAAAAGCATCATCTATTTTGAGGCAAGGAAGAGATAAAAAAATGCGCATTCCTTGGTCAAAATTTGTTGAATGTGCAGATCGAAAATGGACAATGAGTGGAGGATAAGACAAGGAAAATAAGCAAATAGAGAGATAGAGAGAGTGTATACATATAAATCCAAAATAAATCAGTGATAAATTACCTTTAAAGTCAGCAATCTTGGATGTACAGATCGGTAGAAATGGAGAGTTTTGTTACTATAGAGAGAGAAGGACAATAGAAATGGAGAGGGCAAACCAAACGGATGAGGTTTAGAAGATGAGGACAAAAATGATAATACTCTATATTCTTTATTTTTTATTATGTTTTACGGTGATTTTCTCCCACTTTCCTCTCAAATTTGAGAGGAAAATGAGTTACTTCATCTTTAACTTTGTTTATTATTATTATTTTTTATTCCATAAGTTTTCTTTGAAAACCAAACGGATAAAACTTTTCTTTTCTTTCTAATTTTCTTTTCTCTCCTTAGCTTGCCACTCTATCCAAACACTGCATTAGGCTCTCATTATCGAAATTCTTTATTTGAAGAATATCAATAGATTAATCGATGCATTAATTATTTATTTTAAAACAATCTTAAAACACACCTTTCAAATTGATGATTTGCCGAGTCTTGAGTCTCTATAAGCTCAATCAATGAAATTCTTTGACATGGTTTTATTCCAATAGTATATTGCGTTATTTTAAATTTAAAAGGTTGTTATTATTGGTCTATTATTATGTTGGATCCGTGATTAATTAAAACCCATCTTTTTGTTAAGTGTCATTTCGTGCTTGACATGCATGCTGAACTTAATACATCATTTCCACCCTTATTTATCATCTCATGATTTACCGGGACATATTTTAAATACTGGCATGCTACTAATGATTTTAATGAAATTATTTTAGTTATTAATTTTAAAGGTTTGGTTTCAATTAATTACTTATATAAATTAATTCGAAAATACTCTTTATTATTGAAAGTTAATTTATTTGATATTACAAATATTTGTGATTGGTTTCTATGTAATTAGATTGAAGAGATTATATTGATTGAGCAGACATTGTACAAAATATTAAATTATAACACCAAATACATTCACACACACGTGTGTATATATATATATATGTTATAACATTAAGAGTATTATTGGATTAAAAAAAGGGTTTGTTTTCCCATAAAAAAAGTCAATAACACAAAATTTTTATTTATTTGAAAAGTTCACAAATATCTCAAAAAGCATTCACATAACGTAGGATTGGGTTAGCAGATGACAACCTTTTGTATAACGATGTACAACACCTCTTTCATAAATCCTATTTTGGATTAGCAGATGACAACCTTTTGTATTTAATTTTTTTGTCGCTCCTTTTATTTAATTTTTTTTTTTTTTTTTGTTATTGATGAGAATTTTCTCATTTATTTTGTTTATTTTTTACCATCAACATCTAATATTTTCATATCCGATTGGTAGGTATAATTTTTTATTTGAATCAGAGTTTTATGTCTTCAAATTTAAGAAATTAGTTCCATTAAATAAAGATTTTGAGATTATATGTTATTTTTTAAAAAAGTTTAACATCCATTGAATTGGAAGGCTCAAATCTTTCGTAAATAAATTCGAATAGTACGTCTCATTTCTCCGTTGTTAAATACAACCACAAGATTCATGATTTAGAAGAAAATTTAAAAAATTCATGATTTTGAAGAAAATTTATTTTTTTTTAAAACTTTCATATGATAAGTTTAAATTTTTTTATTTTTCATATCAAATGTTGTCTATAAAACAATAATTCACCAAAATTATGATTTTTTTATTTTATATATATATATATATATATATATATATAGTTAACAGGTGTATGATGATAATTCATTTTGTATCAATTTAATATTAATAAAATTATTTCTTTGTATAAAACAAATATGTAAGAATCCAAGATCCTATTATTCGGGAAACCCGGCAGCAAGCAAGTAAATACGTCACTACTGCCCACGTCATCGGGTAGAGGTGATAAAACCACCGGCCTTCAAGCAACTTTTCATTAAAGGCTAAATTATATTTATTTTCACCCTCCAATTCAAAAATATTTCGTTTCAGTCTAAATAGATTAAATTTTTGCTATATAACTTTGATGTTTTAAAAAATTACTAGTTTGATCTCTTTGTCATGATGTCAATTTGATTTGACTAAGATCGTATTTTGAACTTTTTTTTTCTTTTAAAAACCAATATCCAATAATAGATATTAAACAAGTGTAAGTTCTCATATTTTTTTATCATACTTTCTTTCTTCTTTATTTTTTTAAAAAATATATCATTTTTGTTATATATATTATTAAATTAATATTTTTTATATCAGAAACTAATTTTTATTATATATAAACATATTGAATGAATTACACATTATAACAAATACCACAAACTAAAACATAATAAAAATCTAAATATAATTAGTATATAGCATTCTTAATTTAACACATTTTTTGTTCAAAATAAATACAAATATAGTAAGTAAGATTAACCCAACCTAACTTGATTTACTATGATTCCTATTTATCAATGAATATATGTTAAAAACAAAGATGAATTTACTTTGCAAATTATAAAATGATTTTTAAAAAAAGGTTTTTAAGCTTTTTATATATATATATATTATTAACATCACGCACATAGAAATTTTAATGAAACAGTTCGAGAAAAACATGAAAAAGTAAAATAGATGGATGGAGCAAGTGGGCGTTGAAGGTTTGGGGCTCACATTTGAATTTTGGGAAACACAGCATTGATATTGTGAAACGTTAAATTATAAGAATCAAAGTGTAATGTTTTAAATTATCAGGAACTGAAAAAAACAGGTTACCCTTACTAAAAAAACGCATTGGATCGCACCAATCACATCTATCCACGTACCACACATTAAACACCCGCACGAGCACCGTACACCGCCTAATCCTTTTATTATCACGGATAAATTGCGACTTAGGGTTTTCAAAAATTCCCAATTTTCTCTCCTGTCGAGTTTCGATTTAGGTTTTTTAGTCTTCAAAATTCGTGAAGTTTTTGCTGTTTAGGAGATCAATTAGGATCTTTTTTCCCCGAGAGTTTGAGTCTTTAAATTAAACTATCTAAAATCGATGCCTCCACGAACGGTGAAAAGAGGAGCATCAGCGGCTGCGAAGAAGAGAACGGTGAGGAAGGTGCAGAATCAGCAGCATCCGGAATCGGGGGAGGAAGCGTTGAATTTGGAGGAGAAACCGACGGTGGTTGATGAGAAGCCGGTGGTTATGGAGGAGGAGAAGAGCGTGGTTGTTGAAGATAAGTTAGTTATTGATGAGAAGAAAGATGGAGAAGGCGAAATTGAAGCTAATTTGGACGCGAATGGATCGGCTTCTTTGAAAAGTAAGTGCTTTTGTTTCTAATTGTGCTGTTTGGTTTCGATGTGGTGGGATTTAAGTTTGTTGTGTGTGGCTGTGTCTTTTTGCTGAAATTTGTGTCTTTTTTAGAATCTAATCGGATTTGTAGTTCTAATTGGATGTTCCTTTGAGAACTTTGTGAAACTTTGCGTTTTTTTTTTAATTATAACGATTCTTTACGTGATTAAATTGAGAATTCATTGGTATCTTTGTTTGATAATAATTGTTTTAGATTGCTGGTTTCTATTAATAGTATGATTGGGTTGATTGTATATCAATTTTGTGTTGCATAGTTCTATTATCATCAAAACCCAGCTATGTAGACAAACTGTGCACATTAAAAAAAATGCTTCATGTTTCGTTATTGTGCCGCTCTCATTAGAATTCATTTGATTTATATCTAGTGGTGTTTGTCAAGTTTGAAGTAAAATTTTGTTTGGTTACAAAAGGAAGTAACTAAGTACAGTTGGGTATTAATTTATTGGGAGAGTATCTATCTAACCATAGAAGGATTCAGGGTTATAGGAAAGATTTCTTTGATAAAGGTTTTTTTTTGTTTGAGGATAGTGGAGGGTTTGAGGGTTTCATGACTTGGCTGGATCACCTACGTTTTTTTTATGGCAGAAGAGGAAGAGGGCAAGGAGTCTGTAGACGAGTATGAAAAAGATGAGAGGTTAGACTTTGATGATAATGATCCTGAATATGAACCTGAAGAATATGGTGGGGTGGATTATGATGATAAAGAAATTGAGCAAGAGGATGTTCAGGAGGTGGAAGAAGAAGTGGAGGAAGAACATGAGGAGGAGAATGTTGGCGAAGAGGAAGAGGGTGATTTGGTAGAGGAGGAATTGGAAGAGGATGCTGAAGAACTTGAGGGTCAAGAGGATGATGAGCATGCTGGCGAGGAGGTAGAGCATGTTGAAATGGCTGACGTGGAGGAAGATGAGGATCACCATGAATTATTTAAGGAGAGGCGCAAGAGGAAGGAGTTTGAAGTATTTGTTGGGGGTTTAGATAAGGATGCTACTAAGGATGATCTTCTGAAAGTATTCAGCCGTGTTGGTAATGTTACTGAAGTCAGGCTGATGATGAACCCCCAGACTAAGAAAAACAAAGGGTTTGCATTCTTGCGTTTTGCAACTGTTGAACAAGCAAAACGAGCTGTGACAGAGCTCAAAAACCCAGTGGTAATTTTTTGATCATGCCACAATTTGGAATATCTAGTAAGTTCACTTCATATTTTAAATATGTTATTTAATGACTGAATTCCAGATCAATGGGAAACAATGTGGTGTTACTCCAAGTCAAGACAGTGACACCCTTTTTCTGGGTAACATTTGCAAAACATGGACAAAGGAAGCTGTAAGTATATAGTGTCACTGTCAAGCATCAAGTTTTCTTCAGCAGTGATTTTTGAGAGTTTTCATGTTCCTCACACTTTTGGTTGTTGACTGTGGTTCCAGTTGAAAGAGAAGTTGAAACACTATGGAGTTGAGAATGTTGAGGATTTGACCCTGGTAGAAGATAGTAACAACTTGGGAATGAATCGGGGATTTGCATTTCTGGAATTTTCTTCTCGTTCAGATGCTATGGATGCTTTTAAGCGTCTTCAGAAGAGAGATGTTTTATTTGGAGTGGATAGGCCTGCAAAGGTATCTTTTGCAGATTCCTTCATTGACCCTGGTGATGAAATCATGGCACAGGTAAATATTTACTTAATCACTATGCTTAGACTTTATATTTCACCTGTGGCTGCATCAACTGTGTCTAATACTCTGTACGCCACAATATATGGTGCTGTCTATCTTCGGTGCTAGCAACTGCATTTGTTTTTAGCCTTGTTCTCAGCGAGTATGGGTTGATGTGCTTCAAGAGCAGGTTTATACTTAATGCTACTGTGGTGTCTTGTGCGGTGGATCAGAGTTCTCTTGATATGCACTTGGATTTGTTTTATACTGCACAGTGTGATGTATCTGTGAAATTCTAGTCCATCTTTGGTTAAGATCAGGTTGATTGTAGCATGGACAATGCTTTGAGGTCATGGAGGAGTGGTCTTTTGTGTGGTTTTTTCTATTTTTATACTGTGTTCTCATCTCTGGGTGTTTTTCTTTGATGCCAGTAGCAAGAAAAGATGCGGCATAAGAGTGCTTAGATACTTGCATGTTAGTGTGCATATTATGTATCACTTAAATCTTTAGAATGGTTCAACTAATGATATTGTCTAAGTTCAGGTGAAGACTGTGTTTATTGATGGCCTACCTGCATCATGGGATGAGGATCGTGTTCGGGTGCTTTTGAAGAAATATGGGGACATCGAAAAGATTGAGCTTGCACGGAATATGCCATCTGCCAGGAGAAAGGATTTTGGTTTTGTTACCTTTGACACTCATGATGCTGCGGTGACATGTGCTAAAAGTATTAACAATGCAGAGTTGGGTGAAGGAGACAACAAGGTTTGGAGGCAAACTATGTTTCTATCTACTGTTTCAATGCTTTTGTTGGTTGGTTGCGTATTGCTTTTTTACAATTGTGGTACTTTCACTATTCAGGCTAAAGTTAGGGCCCGCTTATCAAGACCCCTCCAAAGGGGAAAAGGAAAACATATAAGTCGCGGCGATTTCCGATCTGGTCATGGAGCTAATAGAGTTGTCAGGGGTCCATGGGTTCGTCCTATGCCACATAGTTACTCTACTCGTGCGGTCAGAGGAATCACAACTCATGCTCCACCAGTCAGTCTAAAGAGGTCTACAGGATTGAGAGAAAGACGTCCTCCTGTGATGTCCATACCGGCAAGAAACAGGCCTCTGGCTCCTCCTTCCAGGTCCTATGAAAGAAGGCCACCTCGTAAGCTTCAAGTTCACTATTACACTACTTGGTTTCTCTTCTGGGTTGAATGAATGCTTAAGTAATACCTTTTGTTTTCCTCTTCTGAAAGCTCCTTCTTACCCAAAGAGTAGCTTGAAGAGAGAGTATGTACGGCGTGATGAACTTCCTCCTCCAAGGAGCAGACCTTCTGTAGATTATGTACCCAGGTCTGTCCCAGAGAGACGCCCATCCTATAGAGATGACTACTCTTCTCGTGGTACCAGTTATTCTGATCTTCCCAGAAGTACATCTCGCACATCTGCAAGGAGAGCTTATGCTGATGATGGCTATAGTCAAAGGTATGAGAGGCCCCCTCCAAGCTACCGTGAAGGGCGTGCTCGTGATTATGATTCTGTTGCTGGATCAAAACGCCCGTATCCAGCTATGGTAAGTTTTATTGCTGGCTTATTGCATTGTGATGATGCAATATCTCTATTCTCCACCTCACTTATCATTAAGTATAAGTAATAACTAAAGTGTTATTTATGTGCTACCCAATTCAAGGATGATATTCCTCCCCGTTATGCTGATGCTGGTGCTCGCCACTCTAGGCCTCGTTTGGACTATGAACTTGGTTCCAGTGCTTCTCAATATGGGGATGCATATGGTGATAGGTTTGTTATAATCCTTTTTCTCATTTCATCTTTCACTAAACCTTTACTCTTTTGTAACTTTTCCTTTTATTTTGTGATTGGTAGACTTGGGAGATCTGCTGTAGGATATGGGGGAAGCAGAAGTTCTGTTTCTAGTCAGGATTCACATGGGATGTACAGTAGCCGTCAGGGTATGGGTTACGGAGGTGTGTTTTTAGTTGCTGATAAATTAATATGACGGACATGTTACCATTGAACTTTGTAGTACTATATTTGATGACCATACTCCAATATCAAATTATTCTCAGGTTCTTATGGAGGCAATGATGGTGGAATGTACCAATCAAGCTACAGTGGTGATTACATACCTCGTGGTGGTGATGTATGTTTTCGCCCTTTCTCAACAGAGAGAATGGACCAATTGTCTTTTGTGTAACACATTTCTATTCTGCATTTCAATGGCAGGTTGGTGGTAGCTCTTACTCATCAATGTACTCCAGTCGTGGCATGGGCGGCAGCAGCGGCTACATGGGTACTGGTAGCTCAGGATCATACTATTAATGTGAGTAGAACTGCTGCTTTTTTGTCATTTCATTTCATAAAGTGCGCAAGGAATTATATAACCATTGTGTCTTAGTGTTTTTTCCTGGAGATAATAGTTTCTGAAGATATTGACATGTTATTGATTGCTAAGAGGCACAATTGGGCAGATAAGGAGCCAATTGTCACTAGTTATTTCTTTATGGAACAGATTTGGGATGGCAAAGAGGCTGCTATAGGATGTGGACTATTGAAGCTTGTGCTTTATAATGCTTACAGTTTTGGAAGATGTTGCCAGGTGTAATAGGCCTCTATATGTGGTGGAAAAGATGGGGCTTAAAGTGTTGTAGAATGAAAAGTCTGCTTTTTCAAGTGCTTTTTAGATATGCAGACTGGATACTTATCAAGTCTCAAGTTCACGTTGTAAGGAAATTTCACCTGTTTAGGAATGGAAACAAGAATTCTTTGGTATGATATGTATGAATTTGATCTTTTATTCTCTCTTTAAGTTCTCCACCTCATGGATCTTGAGAGTATTTGCTGCATCTTCAATTTTAGCGGACAGCCTAAGAGATTGAGGCCTTATCTGGACATGGTAAGGAATTTGGACATTTTGTAATGATGACTTCATTGGATAAGCTTTGAAATAAGACTTGGAAGGCATTTAGTTGTGTTTGGACCATGCCGCAGCCACGTAAACTTTTAATGGGGTTAAGCAGCAATTAAATGAAGTTCATGGGAAACTAATGCAACACATTAAGCCAGCATAATCATGATGCAATTTTTTAAAAACCATGGTGCCTCAAGCTATTTATGGAATTCGTATGGTAACAAATGGTCTAGCGCTCTTGCTGATGGCTGCAGTCATAACAAAATTATCATGGTTTGTCATCATGGTCATGTCACTGCACCTATACATGGTATATTTTTCCTCTGGAAGTTCTGCTAAGATGAAAGGGAAAACTGAACATATTTTCAAGAGTATATGGATTTTGTAACTCTTTTTGACATATATGTCTGATGCATTGTGTTATGCATTTGAGTGTGATGGGCTAACATCGTTAAGGAAAAAAATGGGTATTGTGTTCTTTCATTTAATTTCACTTTGTCGAGTTGGAATATGTTATGTGGAGTATGTTTGACAAACAAGTTGCTTTGTCAATGATAAAAGCTTGTTCTGTCTCCAGCAGTAAAATCATAGTGCTGTCCAACTAACGAACATTTGTTATTTTATTTTCATCATGTCATTGCTTGAAAAAAAACCACTTGTTGTTGGGTTCTTCTGGTTTATTGGATGTTAACATAGGTGTGGTACCAGCTGCTTGATTTGGTGGTGAAAGCAGTAAATTTGATTCACAAGTGCTTGGTGCTTTCTGTGGAATGGTTAAGGATTAAGTCCTTGCTAGTGGATCACTGGATCTTCTTTTTACAAAAACCAGTAAGATTCTACAATGTTCAGTTGGAATTTTCTTTCATTTCAATCAATGCTCTGGTTACTATGTTGGATAATGCCTTGGGTAGTTGAAATTGGAGGAGTAGCTGTTCTGGTAGGCTGTAGTGGAATTCATCTTGATTAATAATAAAGGTTGCTCGCTTAAGTGTTCATCACCCTTGAGATTGCATTTTACTGTATTATGAAGCAGATGCTCACATAACCGAACTAAAAGGAATTCTATCCAGCATGAAAAAACCATAATTTACTTATTTACTTTATTAAGGATGTCTGTCTTGCCAATTTGAGGTCTTCCGTATTAATTCCTTCTTGTGATATTCTAATGCCATGGCTCGAAGAAACACGTTATGTATGCACAGTGAAAGATTTCTCATCTGGATGCAAGAAATTCTGACAGGAAATGAGATCATTTGAGGAGAGACTGCCCATAAGTGGTAGTTTTAATTTTTCATGTAATTCATATGCAGCCCTTTTGAGGGGTCTGGTATTTTTCTTCACAACTAATAAACAAGCTTGCATAGTAGGTTATTTTGCTGGTTTTGCAGAACTGACATTCGGGATTTGCCTTTGTAATTGGAGTCTTGGCTGGATTATACTGTTTTTATTCAAGTAATTTAGAGCTACAACTTTTTTTCTTTTGCCAACGGGTGCAAAAAGAACAATGTTTTTGTCCTCGTGATGAATCAAATGTGAATTTTTGCAACTGGTTTGCATCTTTGGGTTCCACCGTAAATCGAATGATTCAATAGCAGTTTGTGTTTCTGGCATTATGCCTTTTCATGTGTTGTTTGATGTTTGTATTATGTCTCTTTTCTTGAGGGATCAAACCTGAGGGATGTGTTACAGAGAACTTTTTATTGCAGCAACCTTCCTAACTATTTTTTTGTCTTTATAACGGTAGTTTTTGCATCAAATGATTGCTTAGCTTCAATTGATCTCAGAAAGGAAAAGCAAGTAACGAATGCATGCCTCGAAACATGTTTTTTGGCTCAAATCTTGGGGCGCGCTAGCTTGCTCAAACAGTGCTGGAGAGAGAGATTATGTTGTTGAACATTTTGATTTGGATTGAAATTGAATTTGGCATGCCTGCTTACAGACATCTTGCTGGGCCGGCTTCTACTGGAATTTAGGTTTCCTTAGTTTCACGTCAGAAAAAGTACTAAATGGAAAGAAAAAAAGGGCAGAACATTGCATTGTATAGTGGGCAGCCATCCAACTGCCGTCGTCTCCTTTTCCAAGTGTCAGCTTATGATTATGCTTTCGTGACTATAACGATTCTTTGCATGTGAATTGAGTAATGATTAAAATAAATGGATGAAAATGAAGTGTAATTGAAGCTTAATGGAGGGTGAAAAGCATTAGATGGTAGGTTGAGAACAAGCAAGTTGGTTTCCAAAAGAACGAGCTATCTTAGCCAGTACATAATAAGCCATTAGAAACATTAAAACTTTACTCCTCTCAGGTTTACCGGATGTTGCGATTTCAATTCAGAAGCTTGGTATGATTCAGTCAACAATTCCACTGTTTAGGTCTAATTTCCCTCCTTTTGGCCATTTCCATTGCGTTACTAATAATAATAAAATGATGTGTAGATTTTAATTCCATCTTTAAAATTTGTGGAATTTCGTTTCTAGAATTTATGAAATATTTTAATATTATTTAAAAAATACGAACAAATGAATTGAAACTAAAAGGAAAAAATACGAATTAAAATTTAAAAAAATGAAGATATTATTTCTATAAGACAAGTATGATAAAACAAGTTTTTTTTTTAATCAATTTTTATCTATCAATTTTTTTAATAATATATGAATAAGACTAAAATAAAAACATACAAATTTAATTAACGTAATCAACTACTACTGTCATTGTCTCACCAACAAATTTCCACCAGCATTTTGTATCTACATGTTAGATACAATCTTCCCTTAAGATATGATATCTAATCTTGAACAAAAAAAATAGGAAAGCAAACAAATTTAAAATTTTATGTTGTTGGAATGGCTTGAATGAGGACTTGACCAGTTCAAATCACATGGAGTGTAAGTTCTTGTAAAAATTTAAACTCAGTTAATCATATCGAGTATGTTTTTTCACGATATCATAAGACAGAGGAGGAGGCATGGTAGTGACAAAATCAAGAGAGAATGATGAGAGTGATTGAGGATTTGACAAAGAAAAAAAAAGTGAGAGAGTTAGATTCATTTGAATCTTGATTTTCATTAGTATTGGCAAACAAAGAGAAAAAAATGATAATGTGTGAAATTTTTAGTTACTAAGAATGAACTTTTTAAGAAACTAACCATCCCAATCTTATTATATTTGTTTTACTAAAAACAAAATATTCTTTTTAATATTTTTTGTTTTTATCGTTTTAATTTTGATAACATTTTGGATGATATTGTTATATTTTATAAACTTAAATTATGAAATTGAAATTTACAAAATCTTGTCTATTGCTTGCAGAAAATTGAAAAGATTTGTTTGATCATGCAATGAAAATAATTTTAGTAAAAGTGTAAGTTTTGTTTTTTATATTTTCAACATGAGCATATCAAAATCATTGTAAAGCATCTTAAAAAAGATATTTTTTCAAGTCGAACACATTTTAAAACGCATTTTCAAAATGCAGTGCAAATGCATATTAAAAGCTATATTTAGAGAATTTCTTGCCATAAAAACAACTGAATAATAATGTAGTGATATTCTTGGCAGGGACATGTGTAGTGAAAAATCCTTTATTTCGTTTGGGGAAACGTTGGAAGAACCACAAGTCTCTCATTCAATTCCTGCTCCAAACTTCTGACAATCACATGACAAACGTTAAAACAGAGCCGTCTGTTTTCACCCTAACCAAATTCCAATCAATCAAGAAATTAAACTAGAATCAAATTTAACCAATAACCCATCTGGGTCTGTTTAAAAATCCAAATGGGTCGCAAGCAAACCGATCCAGCACTCAGTCGTTACGGACTTCTGGTTCTTTTCTTGATGGGTACAATTTCCTGTTGCATGGTCTACCTTTGTTTCTCTGCCCTGTTTAGACCACGTAATGGTAATACAGAGCTTTTGGTTTCCAAAGTTAGTGATGATTTGAAGAGTGAAGATGGAGATGGAGATGGAGATTGTTGTAGAGGAATTGAGCATTTGGAGCTATGGGGTGATGCTGTTAAATGGGGCTCTGATTTTAAAGTCAATTCTTCTAAAAATTGTTGCTTGGCTTGTAAAGGAATGTGTAGTGGTGATAATGGGCCTTGTTTGTGTGATTCTTGGGTGTTTTGCGGAGACAAACAGGCTTGTGGTGATCAATTTGGTGAGGTATTCATTTTGAGTTTCCCGTTATGGTATTTTAACGAATTTGTTGTTAATTTCTCTTTCATTTTTGTAACTAGAACTTGAAATGGTGATTCTTTTCTGCAATTTTGTGATATTTTGATTAATTAAAAGTCCAAAGCAAATTGTAAACACTAGCAGGCATTGCCTCTCTTGTTAGACATTTTATCTTGCAAGAATTTTATGGGAAGTTTGAGTGCCAGTTTTCAGCTATTTTAAATGGACGTGAATTTGCAGCCTTGCAGAAAGTTATTGGTCCAAATAAGAATGGGCTATTATAACTCGTATTGTTGGTATAATTTGTGTTTATATTCAGGTGCTTGACCATGATTCTGACTCTGAGACATATTTTCCTTTCCTTGCATTTAGTGTTGGCTGAAGAAACAGAAGGATGCCTTGGAGCCTGATCGGCGAGACTCAGGTGATCATGTTATGTGGACTTCTGGACTTGTTTTTGGGAGAGGAGAGGTATGACTCAGTGAATGTCTTATGGATGTTTCAATGTTCTCCTACCTTCTGGTTGAGTACAGTAGCACATACTGTTGATGTGCGTGCATTTCCACAGTTTGCCTAAGGCTGCCTTTGGCAACTGCATGGTAGACATTTTGAAAAAATAAAAGATGTGGAAAACAACGGCGGTTAAGATTCTGAGATATGATAGTAGTTAAAACTTAAATGGCAACTGCATAGTAGACATTTTGAAAAAATAAAAGATGTGGAAAACAATGGCGGTTAAGATACTTAGATATGATAGTAGTTGAACTTAAATGGCAACTGCTACATGATTTTCAAAAAGTATTTTAACATTCAATTTTCCTCTTTTGATTTATTTTAATAATTGTAAGAGATTCGAATCATGTTGCTTGTTTGTTTCCTGAAGAAATTCTCTGGCCTTATTTGATTTTGCCGTGGATAACAATCCACCATTATAACTATCAGTTGGTTACATGAAGGGCCCAAATTTTCTCATCATTGACACATTGTTGAACTTCTGAAACATATCTGTTTCTAGTTTTCATAGCAGTGGGAACTGAAATATCTACTTTCTGGTTTTGTTTTTTTTTTCCTTGAGTTCTCAGTTGCTGATTTGTTGATCATCTTTCATTTTTCCCTTTCCTAGGGCATTGTTGGATTGGAAACGGAATATGGGACCATTCATGTAAAAGTAAGTGTTCATCATGTTCTTGGGTACCCTAATTTTACTTGTATGTTAGTTGTAGGTATGAGTTCCAACACAATATTCTTCATACTTAAAAAATATGGTTATGATTCCAAACTGCATGATCTTTTGAATGGTTCAAACATAAAAACAAAAAATATGCTTTCATATTTTCTGCTAAATTAGGTGATCAACCCTTTGCAAGATTTGTTGCAATGGTTTATGCATCAAACATAAACCCTTACAATTATCTTTACAATTTGGAATCAATGGTAGCATATCAACATAGGAAATTAAAATTTTGTGATGTAAAAACTGTACAACAGTTATACTGTCTCATCATCTCATAAACTCCAGCTGATAACCGTCCTCAAAAGCATTAACATAGTGAATACCTGTAAGATTTAAGGCAGGTGATTGGCTTTACAAACTTATGGTTGCTTGTGTGGTGCATGCTATCTATTGCTGTTGATGTTCAATTAGAATGCAAGGTAATAATTTATGTTGGTTTGAGGAATACTGGATATTTGACCTCACATAATTGCGCTATGCATGCCTCTCTCAAACTTGTGTTTCAATAGGTTCCATCTACATACCTGGAAGTGGGAGAGACACGGTAAAGAGAATAAAAATCACATATTATTTTTTTAATCATGTTTTCTTTTGGTTTTTATTGCCATCTCTGTACTAGTCAAGAATACAGGAAATTATCAAGTCAACTATTATTTGATGTTTGCACCTTGCATCCTACTGAGTGGTTTTTTTTTTTTTTTTTTTTTTAACTCAAGTGTCATCTCTAACCCAGCTTAATTGTGATGCTACGTGCAGCTGTTACCTGATTGTGCCCCACATTCTATTTCCTACATTCTTGAGTTGTTGGCTTCACGCCATTGTGTGGGTTGCCACTTTTACCGTGCAGAAAGCCGGGGAAAGTCCTGGGATTCGGAAGGAAATCATATTGAACATGTAAGAAGCTCTAGCTACCAATTTTTAAGTAGATTCCTCGAAGTGCCTGGCAATTTATAAAGTTCCATATTTCATATTTGGTTGGGATTTCCTTAATTGATACTTCCGCTTTCTGGAAAGACGTGCTTAGAAAAGGACTGATCTTGACACGTATTGCTTTTGAGTGCTCCTCACACGCAATATTTCAATATAACATAAAATGCAAGATAATATGTTTTGACGGATCTTGAATGTTCCTGCTAAAAATGTTCTCACTTGAGCTGTGCAGGCGCCATATGGCCCTCCGTTTGCACTAATTCAAGGAACTCTTGGAGCCTATGGGACAGTATTTAAGGATATTGCAACAGAGGCTTGCCCTACTATTAGAAGAGGTTCGGTGGCATGGGTTGATTCTGGCCCAGAATTCTTCATCAGCCTAGCTAGCCACAACGAGTGGAATAAGGCATATACGGTGTTTGGTTTCGTTCTTCCTGAAGATATGGAAATCGTAGAGAGAATTGCACAGCTTCCAACCGAACCAGAGGTGTGGAGTAATATTAATGTTGCTGTCTTGGGAAATCCTGTTCCATTACATGTCCGAAGAATCAAGAGAAGTGGTGGAAACCTAAATTAACCTTAATACAAACAGAGACACCAGCTCAAGTGGGTCTTAGTTCTTAGGTATTTATTGTCATGCTTTCGCTTTTTTGATGTATTTTAGATTTTCACAAATGTACTTAAGGGTGATTTGAACCCAAATTTTTGTTAGCTGCTTTTTTAAGTGGATCTATGTATATATAGAATATACCTTTTTATATTTTGTAGATTAGGGGGGAAATGAAAAGGAAAAAGAACGAGAGAAATTAAGGGTAATATGGATTCTTATTTTATTTCATGCTTGGTAAGATTTTTACTCATTCTTTAAGTTATGGGTATTTTTGGTTAGAAATAATTTTTGAATTAAATCAAAAGTTTATCATAAAATTGAGTCTAAATTTTGCTTCAACCAAAAGTTAATTAATTTTTTTTTATCTTGAATTGCATTATTTTTTTTAAAAAAGTTGTTTGGAGTCGTTTCTACTGAAAGTATTTTTAATTTAAAGTCATTTTAACTTATTTTTTGTGGTAAATTGCTTATGTTAAACAACTTTTATATTATAATTCAAAATCAAAAGTTTCTTTTCATAAGTTATGCCAAACATAACATAAATCTCTGAAAATCTATTTACAGCCGAGCTGCAAAACAATTTTTTCTCTCGTCTCCATTTGTAACTTAATCCAGGTATAGATGGAGAACGTTTCACTGCTTCTAGTTAGACTGAGGTGTTTGCTGCTTATTGTGGATCCTTAAGACAACTTCATAAGGTTTCATTTTGAGCAATGCTGTTTGATGGTTGCAAACACCCTTCCTTCTCATCGGGATCAAGAGAGTGTCATGTTCCAATTCAACCATGGGCCTATCCTATTTATATATCACTGATAGTATTCTAAACTCGAGGTTCTGATAAAGGGTTGAAAGTTCATCATAAATTTGGTCTTTGTTTATTACAGGTAGTTTTAAACATGAATCTAATTAAGGATCCGTGGCGCAATGGTAGCGCGTCTGACTCCAGATCAGAAGGTTGCGTGTTCGATTCACGTCGGGTTCAAACTTCTAAAATGATTTCATAATGTTAACCTTCTTCTCAATGTTTTGGTCGCCCGTCTGCTAATCATAGCAAATTTAACAGGAGAAGGGTATGGGCCTCTAAATCCCATTTCTCTCGGGATCCCATGACAGTTTTTGCGCTGATAAAGACATTGGTAGCATCGGCTTGTCCTTTCGCTTTAAAACTTTTTATACGAGGCTCGCTTTGTCATTTCTGGCTAAATTATGAGTTCGTACGCACGTTATGCCCTTTCCTCCTTTCTTTGAGCCGTATTTAGTAACGCTAAGCTGTTGCTTAGAAATTGCTCTCTCCTATCCAATTTATGAAAAAAGACAGGCGTCGCTTTTGCATTATAACGTGAAAACTACTTGCCATCAAACTTGTTAGGATGGCTAAGATAGACTCATTTGGCAGAGAGAAGAGATGAGGCCCTCAATTTCTTGAGAGGCGGATACTAGTTAGGATACTTAAAGACATAGGATGCATCCTTTTGGAAAAGAATATACCAAACATACGCCTATTTGGTCCATAACCATGGGAGAACTTGCTAAGAATCCAGACAGCAAGTCACACAATTACGGTTATAAAAATCGCAACAAAAAAAGTTTCATCACCATGATGTGATTAGCAGAAAACCAAATTCATCTGAGAAATAGACACACCAGTTTGGCAATCCCCTGTGTAGCCTAGCCACACTCCTTAACAAGGTAAACAAGTCCAGGGAAACATTCGCAAACTACACTAGCTTCAAGATATAACGCCTTTCGCATATCTCTACCTTCCAAGTTCCACCCATCAACTAGAAATGCGTGCACAAAGATGTCTGCTAAGAAGTGCTTAAAATGAAGACTGTCCCCCAAAAAAAAAACGTCAAAACAAACAAAAGCAACCATCTCATAAGTAATCATGTTTTACGTGATGGTTCCCCTATAATATCTCACTTGTTACCAATTAAAACAAGAAAATACTAACAGTGCGCAAATTTTTTATTCCCTATCTGGTAAATCACTGTTCTTAGTACTCTAGAACATCAATCAATAAAAATAAAATCACAAAACCAGATCTAGCATCAAGCTAAGATATTACCATCCAATTCGCAAGCAAAGGCAGTAACTAGACGAGTTATGAACCAACGTCATTCCTATTCCTTGAAAACCACAAAAATACTAAAGTTAACACTAGAAGTACTTGTACACACGCATCTAATCTCTAACAAATCGAAGCTCCATTCGTCCAAATAAGTTGAAAATACTAAGTTCCAAATCTTCCTAACTCACTAACAAGAAATAATCACAAAACAAGTGGCATAACACTGATCTAAACATGAAAATTAACTTGCTCATCTTCATCTATTCTTCCAGAGATAAATCAAATTTGACCGAACAATTCGATGCCTTACCAACAAGGGTCGAATCTCTAGTAACAAACACAAAGATAGCCACCCTCACTCACCTATCACTCGGGTGAGGGCATTCTCTTAGGCCTTTTCTTCTTCTCCGATAATGCTTTTGCGAAAGCCTCAACAATCCTCTGCTGCGACTCGAGAATCATCTCTGTCCGCTTCATCTCCATTTCCATTCTCATTGTCTCCATCTCTCTAGCCATTTCCATCTTCATTTGCTCCATTCTAACAAACCCATCTCCCAATACCTTTATCGCTGCAACCAACTCCTCCATAGGCTCCCTTTCCCTTTTCTTACCCATTTCCTCACCCCCCGCACAGCTCTACTACTACCCCCTACCCCACCTCCATAATTAGGCTTCAGGTTTGGGTTTGGGCTCGCATTAACACCCATATTAGGACTTCCACCATACTTCTGCTCCGCTTTTGCATAAAATTTTGGTCCCGGCTGTGCAATACTAACGCCGGTAGGTATTCTAATTCGAAACCCACCGGCATTACCCGAACCCAAACTAGAATTTCCACCACTTAATCCATTATTACCACCACTGCTACCTGGATTCCCAATCCCATTCCTGTAAAGCTTTTGAATGCTTCGCGTATTCATAACATTATTAGCATTCCTATAATTATCTAAATAAGATCCATGAATATCACCATCCTCCTCGTTATCATCGTCATTATCATCACCTTCGCTCTCAGAATTGTAATCAGCCTTAGCTTGAGGCCCTTTTTCCATTGCATCCATTCTCTTGAAATGGACCCAAGAAGACGAAAACCTCGAGACCGGCATGGATCGGGCCCTCTGGATCTCGGTCCGGTACCGTTTCCGAAGCTTTTCCATCTTGTGGCGGCACTGCACAGCGGTTTTTGGCGGTGAGGCAGCTGGGCAACGGCGAGCTACAGCATCAGCAACTTCTTGCCAGTGATTTGCTTTGAGATTACCGCGGCGGAGCGTGTACCATTTGTCACGGTAAGCGTCGATTAAGGCCACTGTTTCATCTGGGGTCCAACATGGTGGTGGCAGACGCCGTGGATTGGTGGATGGTTGCGTTGGCGGTGCGGGGAGAGCTTGTAGTGCTGTGGCTTGGAGGGGGTTAGATCTGGCGGAGGTGAGGGCGATCCGTTGTTGGGTGGTGTGGACATGGGTGCTGGTGTAGATTAAGGGTTTTCGTTGTGAAGGTAAGAAAATCGGCGCAAGTTCACAAATGAGGGGTTTTGATGGTGGAGAGTGGGGAGGGAGTACAAGAGGGAAAAGGGAAAAGTGGGTTTTCTTGTGGTTGTGGTGGTGGTGGAAGATTAGAGGGATAAGGGAGATGGCGCACGATAGCAAAGGAGGGATCTCGAGGATGGAGGAACTAAGAAAAAGAAAACTGGGTATGGTGCTGGTAGTGGAGGATAAGAAAGAAAAGAGAGGTGGCGAACGTTAAGGGGGATATTGGAGGTGGAAGAGAGAGGGAGGGAGGATAAGAGAGGAAAAGAGAAGTGGTAGTGGCTGTAGATGTGGTGGTGGAAGGGGGAAAGTGGGGTTTGGTGGCATATTGAATAAGGGATGGAGGGTGGGTGGGGGGTGGGAGGGGTGTGCGGATGAGGCCACCGCTTAGGTGTGTAAGTGGGGGAGGGAGGGAAGGGCTAACGTGCGCCGTAGGATGGGGGTTGTGCACACCCTTAGTCTAGGGACAAAAGAGAGGTCCACTTTCTGACTTTGGCCATGTGATGGTGGCTGTGATGATCATGATGATCATGGATGATATGATCATCAATCATCTATTTGAGGAATAGTGGGAAGTGGTAACCCACCGTCCAGGGTGGTGGGTGGTTCAATGACTTGGTTAGGAGGTGGTTTGGGTTGGCATTATCATTGAGCAATAGCACTTTTTTAGTAGTAGTATTTTTGTGGATGGTGCCATGGTGGTGCTTTGGTTTGACTGACGAGCAAGAGGTGGTGTTTACCATTAGTGGGCAGTTTTTAGAAATTTATTGGAGAGATAAATATGCTTTCGGTCTTGGGGTAGAAGCAAAGAGGTTTGTTTTTTGGATCGAAGGAGATCTGTTTATTTTAAATTATTTTTGTTACTACATTGCTTCGGCTTTCTCACATGTGAGTGAGCCTATCTAACTTTCCAAGTGGGCTTGGAAATTGAATAGGGACTCCATTGTAACCTTTTTTCAAAGTGGGATCTTCAGCACTTCTTTCGTAGAGTCGGCGCCAGTGGGCTTAGGCTATTGTTCTTGCCATAGCCCATTCATTAGCAGTTTAGATCAACGCTTAAAATGAAAAATTATTATATCCATGAAAGGAAGAACGATTTTCAAATGACTTTCAGTATTATGATCTCTCTCTCTCTCTCTCTCTCTCTCGCTGGTTCTAATTTTGATCATATATCAATTTTGGTTCTATCTTTCCAATATTTTTATAATAATGATGATAATATTGTAACAAATAAATCATAGCAACTAGGATTGTCAATGGGTTGGGTTTTGAAAATATATGTCACTAGGTTTAGATTTAGAGTTTGGTTACTCTAAATATTAAGAGACATTCTATATTTTTGTTCTTTTTCCCCCCTACATTAACTTTTTTTTTTCAAACAATTACATGATATATAATTTTTTTTATCGCTTTTCAAAATCTCAAATTAATTTTGTAAAAAATTATATAAGTATTGTATAGGAAGGATTTTTGAGAACCGAATCGGATAATCGGTCGATAAGCCAATCAAGATGCGAGAGAACTAATGTTGTAATTTATAAAAGAAAGGGTTAAACAAACAAGCAAAAAGAATGTAAATAGCAAGAGGTGTGAGAGGGGAAGCGATCGGTGCTAGCAAAGCTCGAGTCGGGTGATTGAGAGAACTTTGAGAGGGAGAGTTTAAGGATTTCTTTTGCTGAAGATTAAAAATTCTTTAGTCAAAAGTTCTTTTATGCAAAACTTCTAATCGCCTCACAATGATGTAAGGCTAATATTTATAGTAAAACAAGATAGTCTTTGAGTGCTAAGATTATGTCACGTCATTCAAATTTGGATAATCGATTTAGCTCGAAAGATTTAAGTTTTTTTGTTTTTTAACTAAACTACTTCAATTTGCTAGCAAAAACTTAACAATTGGGCTTTTCTTTAGCAAATCTTGCTCCGAACTTGCCAATTCAATCTTTCTAATACATTCTAGTGACAAGATATGGACATTGATCCCGTCATAATATCTATATCTATTCTTGCGACTCAAGACCTTGTGTTGAATTAGGTTCATACAACTTGAAACCATGCAAAAAATAATAAAAATAAAAATAAAAATAAAATGAATTGATACAAAATAAAAATTAGCTAAATTAATTAATTTTAAAAAAGAACGATCATATTCAAATATATAAACAAAAAATAATTAATAAGTTGTTGCTAGCAATATACTTATACTTATGTTTCTGATTCATAAAATCCTCACTCAATTTTAACTTTTATCCATTTCAAGTTTGTTTTTTTGTAAAATACTAAGTTTTTCTTTCATACTAATCAAATTATGTTTAGAGCATATATTTTTATTTTATGTTTAACTTTGCCATACTTCTTATCTAATTTAAACTAATTTTGACCTTTAATATAATTTTTTATCTATATGACTTGATTTTTTGTTCTTTTAAATGACATGACATTTTATTTTATTTTAAATTGATATATTAAATATTATCATAACATATTTTCTTATACATGCAATTGAAATATGATTTTGAATGAATGTTTTGTTTTCTAAATGAATGATAGATCTGATGGATATTCAAATTCAGTCCAAACTCGTTAGGATTTGAATCAATAATTATAAAACTCAAATTTGAATTTGTAAAATTCAATTCAATTTATGTATTAAATAAATTTAATTTAAATTTATTTAATTCGGTCCGAATCCAATCCATCGATATTCATAAGAACAACTTACCATCATGACTTAGAATAAATAAAAAAACCTACTCACCAGCAAAAACAATAAAAAATTTGAAAAAGGCACACATTAAGTTTTGAATAACAAAATTAAATTAAGCATTTCCTTGCAGTCAATGTTTCCTCCACCTTTCAATGGTATTTAAATCCACAAAGCGTAGAAGCCAACATCACTCGAATTAAATTTAGAATTTAAAAAGTTTGCAATTACGTTCTTTTTAAAGAATCAAAATGCTTAATTTTCTATATATATATATATATATATATATATATATATATATAAAATCCCTAATTTTCAGGACTTCGTTAATATTATAAAGAAATTGTGAGTTGATTCGGTAACCTTCTTAATTTTAGAATTGTGTTATTTCAATTAATTTCCTCTACTTTTTATTTTTATTATAGTTGAGATATTGAACTATTTAAGTAGCTTAAAAAATTAAGTTGTAGTACTTAATATAAAAAGTTTGTTTGATAATCTAAAAAATCTCATATTAAAAATTTAAATTCAGTCCAAATCTATTAAAACAGATAAGTTAAAATTTTTAACTCATTATTTTTTGATTAACACGCTTAGTTAAAAAAATTTTAAAATTTTTTAAATATGACTATATAATCTTTATATATTCTTATAACTTTAGCTATAGAAACTAATTAAAAAACGATCCATGTTATCCTATTATCAAAATAAAAGAGATTTTCTTCACTATCGATACTTGCATCCCAATTTGGATGGAATCCAATTTAGAAAATTGGAGAAGTGACAAGAGAAAGGGTCATACGATGAGGAATTTGAAGCTACCACATGAAGGCAAGCTTTTAGGGTACATGTCGATTGCCCTGAGCCTAAGGATTCTTGCTACGCATTGAATTGGCCCCTCCCTCTTTCCAGTAAATAACTGTAGAGGAAACCATTGACATTTGTTGTCGTTGCATTAAGTTCTTTTCTTCTTTCTAAAATTTTATTGGTCGCTCAATCTGAGTAGCCAACATAATTTTACGAAACAAGTGTAGTAGTAGTAATTAATTAGTTAGATTACAACAAATTTTAAGAACTTAGGATTCGTTGCTGACATATAGTTGTGGGTATTTTTCATTAATCCATGCATGTATTATTCAAATTCGTTAAACCATAATGTACAACGGGGACCAATAAAGTAGATAGGTAGATAGGATAGGAGAAATCGTTGGAACCTGGGAGCAAAAGCTGGACAAGTCCAATGCTTGCAGTACTGCTTTTAATAGTTGATGAATTGATGTGTGGATTTGGAATTATGAATTGTTTTTAATAGTTGATGGATTGATGTGTGGATTTGGAAGAAGCAGTGCTATTGGCTATTGCAGACTTGCAGTACTGCTTCTTCGTTATAGAAGACACTTTGGGGCTGTAGAGTGTAGACTACATTACTCCTTTGAGAAAAAAGCCCCTTGGATGAAACTGACCAAATGTATCATTCTTCATTATACATATCCCTCCCTTCTTCCATGCAATGCAAGGTTATGTGTCACTAGATAAACACCCATTATTGATTCAGAACTAAATGACTAGTGAATTTCTTGGTTGGCTTCCTTGGCTGTCTAGTCGCGGAGGATAGCATAGAGACAATGCCACAAACACCTCCTAATTAGAGATATATAGCCTCGTCTTGAATTGAGAGGTCATTTTTCATTAATTCGGGAGCTGTTGAATTAAGGGACACAGCTACAAACAATTATATTATTCTTTTTCGTAGACTCTCTTAATATTTTAAATACAAATTAACCAATTCAACAAAAAGAATTAGTAAAAATTTTATTGATGTATTTTATAGTTGTTAATTAATTTCAATTTAAGTGGTTAAAATTATTATATATATAACCTTAATATGTTCAAGCAACAGTATTTATCAAACAAACTTATTATATTCAGCATTTAATTTTTTGTAGATATCAAATAGTTTGTCAACTTAAAATTCAATACTTAATCATTCAGAACTTAAAATTCAGTACTTAATTTTCAGTTTTATCAAACACCACCGTCTAATATTTGTTCATTAATCATCAATAGAATTTTTCCTGGAGAGGTTCTGTTTTGCAGTGGATATATTCCAGCCCTAAATCCACCTATTACTTGCTTTATTCCGCGTATATAGAAAGGAAAGATTGTCCATTTTGTTTAGTACCGATCAGTAACTACAATACAGGATTGTCCTTCCCAATGTGCATGTGCTTGTGGCTTTATTCTTTCTTAACTCCATGGAGTTTTCCTTTTCATTTCAATTCCCTTTTCATGTGCAATTTCTTCGATATAGTATTTGTTTAGTAATTATCTTTAAGTTGGGTTGCATTTGCGGATCAATTTCTTTGATACATTTCCGATAAACTAGGTTATGCATGATAAAATTATTCTCTTAGAAACTTGTTGAACGGGAAATCCAATATACTATTATTTGCTATAATATGTGCAAGAGATTTCAATACAACTTCATGAATACAAATATTCATTGTCTGTCATTTCCCTCAAAAACCAAACTGCTGTAATAACATAATTGCTGCCCAATTAGCTCGAATGGATTCAAGATTTTTTGATGCCATTCTTTCTGGTGATATAGCTACATTTCGCTCATTACTAGCAGAAGATCCGCTAATACTTGACCGCATTTCTTTGAACTCAACAGAGAATCCTCTACACATATCTTCATTAGCTGGCCAACTCGAAATCACAAGAGAAATAGCATGCCAAAAGCCAGCATTTGCCAGGGAGCTAAATCAAGATGGTTTTAGTCCTATCCACATTGCCTCCTCAAATGGGCATGTGGAGCTAGCAAGGGAACTTTTAAGGGTAGGTTATGATATTTGTCTCTTACAGGGAAAAGATGGCAAAACTCCTCTTCATTTTGCTGCAATGAAAGGAAGAGTTGATATCGTGAAGGAATTAGTACATGCTTGCCCACAATGTGTTAAAGAGGTGACGACCTGCAGCGAAACTGTGCTTCATGTGGCTGTGAAGAGTAACCAGGTTGAAGCTGTTAAGGTTTTGCTGGAAGAGATCAAGAAACTTGACATGATGGAGATTGTAAACTGGAAGGACAGGGATGGTAACACAATAATGCATTTAGCTACCTTCAGAAAACAACACGAGGTAAAGTATAAAATTATTGTTATACCATTTCGATTCGTTTTGAAAAACATTGTACTTAATTTGTGAATATCAGATCCAACAATAAATATTGACCAAAACAGTAGGCCACGAGGCGTGATTTGCATTCTTAGAGCTGGATTTTAAATTCAAATCACATAAATACATTAGTAGATGTATATTATATGCAAGGGTGGGGTGAAGCATTCATTACATATATGTTGTTTCTCTTATGCAGACCATAGGGCTATTAATTGGTCAACAGGCCATTGCTTACGGGGTATTAGTAAATTCTATCAACTCAAGTGGATTCACACCAAAGGATGTTCTTGATTTTATTCTTCAAAGTGGAGGCGAATACAATGACATAATTAGTATCTTAGAGATGGTCCAGCAAGCAGGAGCAATGAAAGCTATGGATATCACTACAAATCCTGCTTCGACTCGCCAAGTTGAAGTGAAAAACATTAACAAGAATGTTAATCAAACATCACAAAATTCATGTTCATGGAACCTCTGGAAACAATTGAAGTTAGAAATTGAAGGGTCATCAACTGAAACTCAAAACGCATTAATGGTTGTCGCAACGCTCATAGCAACTGTGACATATCAAGCTATACTTAGCCCTCCGAGTGGTTTTTGGTCAGCAGAGTCCAGAAGATCTCAAACGATTAATCGTGGTGAAAAGAGAGACCTTTTGCCTGGAGAGGCTGTCATGGGTACTGATCCTGAAGTTTTCGCTGTATTCACTGTTTTTAATGCTGTTGGATTTTTTTCATCTCTAGCCATGATTTCTCTCCTAACCAGTGGATTTCCTCTCAGAGCCGGCTTGCGTCTCGTCATACTCTCAATGACAGCTACTTATGTGATTGCAGTAATTTATATGTCACCAACAGAAATGAAAACAGTAGATGCAGTGGTCTGGTTGGTTGGCCTGCTAGTTCTCGCAGAGTTTGCCCGTTTTATGATATGGTTACTAAAGAAATTGGGCGTCCTTCCTCTAAGAAAGATGAGAACTTTTGCTGATAGAAACCTGGCCACGGTGTGAAATAAAAATTTGGCCAAAATTCTGTTCAGTAGCAGAATACTAAGGATCAATTTCTTTGTTAATTTCTGTTAATTGTCAATTCGGTAGATTGTTCACCTCTCTTTACTTTATCTATGTCCTCGCATTGCAAGATTCTATATGCTTTTTCTAGTTGCAATTATTAATAGTTAATGTTGAGTAAGCAGAGGTGACCAGGTTAAAGACCAATAATTGTTCACAAGTCACAACATTGCAGGTTTCATCTCTCATGTGCTAGTCGCTAGCACACAATTTAGTGCCCATATACTATATCCCATTGGTGGGAATACATTCTTCATTTTCGTTATGATTAAGGCTTTTGGGCTTTAACAAGAATCAAGTACTGATTCAGAGTTTATGTAATCCCAACCTGTGGCTAGGTGAGCCAGCTCCGGGCTTCTTATAAGCCTATAGCTATTACCTAGAGGGGTCTTGGGATAGATTGGAAAACCCAGGATATTGCAACAACATGAAAACTAGGGTTGAGTTTAAAAAAGCCTGTGAAACTATTGGATATTGGGCCCAGGCAGGGCAAAGGCATCTAAACTATTGGATTTGATTACAAAATGAAGCAGATACAGTATACTCAAAGCCAATGGTTTAGAATTTAGATAGCACCATTAAACGAATCCGCTCATTGTCCTGCGCCCAATTGTATTATTTGCTTAGAGTTTTGAATAAATTTACATAAAAAAAAAATCAAATTTAATTTGAAAAAAATACTGATTTTAGTTATGAAGAAATACTTCAAAAAAAAAATCATATTGATAAGAATTAAATAGTAAGATAATAGTCTTACGAAGACAAGATTATCTTTACCTAATAAATAGTGAAAGTATCATTTTTTGAGTCTACACCGTCAATGTTTTTTATTTTAATTCGAATGTGGTATAAAATGAATTTATTAGTACATTTGATTAAAATCATTCTTTAATTGATGGTATGGTTGAATGAATTGAACATTTAATTATTTTAATAAATTTACGGATTCATCGGTAAAATCTAAATATTATTTAAGAGGGTTTCTAGAATTAACAATTATACATATTAAATAAAATTAATGAAAATAGTTACATAAACGTTTGAAATAAGGAATGGAATGAAAGAACTTAAGAAAGAATCAATTATATTTTATATATTATAATTTTACACATTTAAATTGTCTATATAGCATAAAGGGTTTCTAGAATTACCAGTTGCTGCTTGTGTGACTCTACAGAAAGACAGCTACGGCCTAGCTACATATAGGAAATAGTTTTGTTTGGTTGATATTAATTTTACTATAAAACGAGTTATCCTTTATGCAGGTTCTGTTAGAACAATAGTAAGATATGATTAGGTGTTTTCTTTATATATTAGATAGTTATTGCATTGTTCGACCAAATTGATTTATCTCACCAGGAGTTTATCCTTTCAAAATGTGCGCTACCGCTGGTTTGTCCTCTTTTATTTCTTTTTCACCTTTAATTAATAAATTTCCAAGGTATTGTAAAAAAAAATTAAAAATTATTTTATAAATACGAAATGAGTTCACTGTTCACTTACTTTTTAAGAATTAGATTAAATTAGTTTTTTACTCATACTTTGTTGTAAGTCGGCAAAACATATATAATCATTTAAAAAAAACAATTTTATTTTAAAAAATTATAAATATTAAAAAAATCAACGAAAATAGTTATGTAAAATTTTAAAACAAGGAATGGAATGAAAGAAATTAAGAAAGAATCAATTGTATTTTATAATAAATCTGACAAATTTAAATTAAATTGTTTATATAAGATTTAGGATACGTGAAATCAAAAGAAACAAGTAAGTTAAAAATAATTAAACATTGTTGCTTGAGTTCGCTATTCATTTACTTCTCGAGGCTCAGATTAAAGGACATGTATCGTGCTCTAGCGATCATGAGAAGATCGCAATCCATTCAAGCTTAAAATCCCACCAAATGATGTCCTTGATTTTTTTCTTCATGGTGGAGCTGTAAGCATCATAGTTGTGTTTTAGAGATGTTTCAGCAAGCAGGGGAAGTGAAAGCCAGTGAAATCAGAATTAAAAAAAAAAAAAAAATCCAATTTCTCACCGAGTTGAAGTAATTGAGGAAAAGAAGATTTGAAGTCAGAAATGATATATTCGGAATTACTGCCCTACACATTTCATTCAGTCAAATCTAAAAGAATAAAAACCCTCCTATAAATACAACTACACAGAGCTCCATGCAACAAAATCTCCATCAGGCCGGATTTATCCATCTGTGCCTCGTAGTATATCTCGCCAACCCTTGTTGCAAAGAAACTAAGGGACAAACAATCACTTCGTACACTCTGAACATGCCTTCTACTAGAAAAGAAGTGTTTCTCCTAAAAGATTGATAGGCATGTCACCTACACTTAACAATGGTTGGTATATCAGAAAAATAAATACCAAATTGTCCTTATGAAGGGAAATTTGGCATTCAACCTTCTGACAGAAAACATACATCTAAATACTATAAAAGAGCAAGTCATAAAAACATAAAAATGGATAGACGCTCTCCCTCTCTTTCAAAAAAAAAAAAAAAAAAACTTTACTCCATACAAAAAAGAAAACACTATACTAGCAAAAAATGCATTAAACACTCTACACACAAGTCAAAAAATATACATCATACATGATTTTCGTCGTAGAACCTTTTCGTTAACTTAGCCATCATAAGATCATTTTAAACCTAAAAGAAGGATTTTATTTTACAAGTACCATCTTCACAATCGTCAGTTTGTAACTCTCCATCGCCGTTAGATCAACCAAGGAAAAAGCTTATCCAATATCCATTCAATGGACCCAGGATCTACAACCTTATCAGGAAAGGCAATCAGCACAAGAATAATCTTTATATCAAGTAGATATCCCTCGTGCAAAAAGCATTAAAGTCAAATGCAAGGCTAAGAAATTTTAGTAGGACTCTTCACCTCTCCTAGATCTGTGTCCCTTATTGCAGGTTAATCAATTCGGTTTGTTAATTTCTCTATGCCTTTCTAGTTGCAATTATTAATAGCACTTCATGTTGTATGAGAAACCGATGACCAAGTCACTCACCATCTAGCACCTAATATCCATCCTTTCGCAACAAATTAAAAGAATTGTTACATGATTGATTGAAGTTACCAAATGCCAGTATGCCTCGAAAGAAAACATATGCAAAAGCTGATCTCACAGATCAGCTTAATTAAGGCATCGCTGGATACATCAAAGCAATCCAAATGAAACCCCCTAGCATACTTCTTGAATAAAAACAATCTTGCTTAGTGTGCAAATGGGAATAAAAGCAGCACTTTACCTTTTCCTTTAAATTATCCTATCCAATGTCGAGCCTAATAAAGAGTGTTAAAATAATGTGTATGCAATCCTGCGGCTTCTCATGGCTTTTGTAGTCCATCCTATTTTAAAGTTATGCCTTCCTTCCGCTCCCTGTTACATCGTTTTCGAAAAATGCCCTTTCACCTTGTTTTACTGCAAGTGAGATGATGGGGAGTTGGAAATAAACACGAAATACATATACTCCTAATCATATATATCTATATATATTTTTCCCTTGATGGTTCACAAAATGGTAATATCACAATCTCATTCTTACAATCTCTGTCGAGCGTGTAATCCACATAATGAGTCTCATATGCTGATATGCAGTTTTGGTCCCACATTTTTGGACTCCCAATCCCAAATCCTCTTTCATTTCACGTTAATTACTGAACACCGCAAAAAGGGAAAAAAAAAAAAAAAACAAAAGAAGAAGAAAAAGAAAGAAAGAAAGAAAGCATAGCAGTTCTGCCTGCTTGGCTGTTTCCGCATCTTATACCTTTCTTAAATGATTTCAGCACTCTAGCTACCAAAAAAGTATTCCCATGCAAATTTAATGGAGCCAGAGACTTCCAGGGGACTGAACTTCCTTGCTTGAATGAAAATCAAGTGCATTATTCCAATTCTCTTAAAAAATTATTTAAACCTTCTGGTCTTGTGAGTTCATTGTAAGCAGAAAAACAAAGCCATAACTCCCACATTCCCAGGGAGATATGGAAAATCCCCCTGAAAATACTACTAGTACTAGTATCAAAAGCAAAATAAAGGTCTGCTTCAGAGATATTATAAGACCAACAAAGCCACCATGGCAAGGCGAACTAAAGCCAGATAGTCATAATATCCGAAATGTTATGCTGGTCGGGGCTGCACTAATCGCCACCGTGACTTTCCAAGCTGGAATTAGCCCACCTGGAGGAGTTTGGCAAAGCGATGATAAGATGGGACATAAAGCCGGACATGCTATTTATTCTGATCAGAGAATACCTTTCCTAATTTTCCTGCTATTCAACTCTATTGCACTAACGTCATCCAGTTTTCTACTATTATGCCTAACCTTTAGGTACCCTTATTTCTTGGAAGTTTTCATTGCTACAATTTCTATGATGGGCACTTATGGTTCTGCTATATATTGCGTTACACCTTACGAATCAGTGTCGTTTCGCCTCATCTTCCTCGCCGCTCTTTCGCCTATGGTAATAAGGCTTGTTATTTGGGTGTTTAGAGCTGTACTTTACTACCTAATACCCAATGATTGGTTAAAAAAGATCGGATGTGGAGGGAAATAACACGAATGAGTGAGCCAATATTCCTTATGTACGCAGGATGTTTGCTTCTCTCTTTCCTTGTAGCAGAATCCAATTTCTTTACCAATATTGTTGGTTGAAACAATATTGGCCAGACTTGTTTTTCCTTTGATGTGTTAATAATTTGGCCAATCGCTCTTTCTTGAAGTAGTTATAAAGATCGATTGGGAGATAAAATTGTAAGCACATCCAGTAAGGGAAAAGTCATTTGTAATTCTTGATTGATTTAGTGAAATGATATATGAAGAACAATTGAAGTTAAATTAATTTAATAGTTTCCGCACAACAATTAACCTCCAATTGTGGTTATGTAAGTTTTTTCTTTTTTCCTCTTTTTGTTCAATCCATTTCGTTAGGTTTCTTCTTCCCCTCGAGTTCTCAACTCAATTAGGCACTGAGGCGTTGATCCATCAATCCCTAATTAGTTGGATTCTATGCCTTTGACGAAGTAAGTATTATTGCACAACAATCTTCGGTCCCAAACATAAATTTTTGCCTGGTTAAATTTGCGTAGCAAGTCAGATCTAAGGATTAGCCTTTCTCTTTTCATGACAGCCAGAGAAACTGAACTTACAAAGTGACGTTTATGCATTTGGAGTGGTTCTTCTTGAGCTTTTGACTGGACGTAGAGCGGTAGAGTTAAACCTGCAGGGACGAAGTGATCAAAACCTTGTCCTACAGGTAAAACAAACTCATCCCATTTCGACTGATATTTCTCAGTGTCACTGAGAAAAATTATTAGGGTGTGTACAGCTCTAACTGGAGCTAACAGCTTCATGGGCTTTGGTTCGCAGTAACATATTTAGAGAGGAAAGTTTTCTAGTATGATGCATTCTTTCTGTTTGTTATCTTTGGATGGTTGATTTATCTGAATAGAGTAATTTGAAATTGGTCCACAATAGGTGATTTACTGTTTCTTGTTGTAGATGAGTATTAAGAAATCTAAGCCTATGATTTGAACTCTACGAAGGCAGGGTTGCTGAACGCCTGAACCCCAGGTGGTTTACTCTCAATTTGCCAACATCATGGTTTAGTTTCAGTTGAGGTGTGGTATATATATTAAAATGATGGAACATTTGCCTTCCAAATGTCTGTTCGTTTTGGATTTATAAACCCCACCTAAGCGTTTTAGCTATATTCCTTTGAAGCAAGGAATTTTACGTGTGTTATTATTGAGTTTCGGTTCTTCCATCGACAATGTCTACTTGTTTCTGTGAATGTGTATTTTTTTTTGGCAAAAAGAGGGGTCTGAGCCAGAATTTGAGAATGCAATTTATTTATAATCGATACTCTTCAGAGAGTAAAAGGTAAATGAGTCATGCTTTTCTTTTAGTTTCAAATCTTGACGGAGTTCCTTCTAGATATTTTCAAAAACTAATTTTAAGAAGGCAACGTACCATTTTTCTGCTTTTTATCCAAGACCTGCTTGCTGTAGGGCTATTGGCGTGGCAATGTCCTAGCTTTACTCATGGTTGTTCCATGCATTTCCATACAACTTGCTGTGTTGCACAAATTAAAAACATTTGTTGTCGAGTCTTCTAAGACGTTTATAATTATTAACAGATCAATAACATCGCTAATTTTATTCTGGCAATGCATGTTCAATTACATGGTTTAGCTGTCGTCAATAAAGGTTTCTTTTGACAAACCTAATGCTAGTGAAGGCCATTGTCTCCATGTTATTTGAAAATATGATGGCACTGAAGGTGATGTAATGTTTAATCTCTATCCTGCTTACATATCCAGCTGATCTCTTATGTTTGTTATAGCCTGATTGTTTACTAGAGGATCCTATTCAGTTGAGTCCTTCCCTCTCCTACGTTAGCAGATCGTTAGCAGGGTGTGTGGCTACAATTGGTTCATACCCATTTGATCCTCAAAGAATCATATTAGCTTCACAAGGTGAACCTAGCTAAGGTATAGAATATGATTATCTGTGTCATTCTTATGCTCTGTAAGAGATGTGGGTGGCTCTCTAGAATTTTCTCAGTGATGATTTTAATTAGTGAAAGTATCAGCTATGCCAAAATAAGATGACTGAATAAAGGAGTATCTATATAATTGACATCACCTTATTTAGTTAATTTGTCTCGAAAACGCTATTTTCTGAAGACAACTTAGAATGATTTTTTTACATATTACTGTTCTAACTGATTAGTGCCTAATTTATAGGTGTATCCAATGATGAGGTCAGTATTTGTTGATATTATAAAAACTAGTGGCTTCAGAGACTTATATGCTGGATTATCGCCATCACTGGTTGAGACTGTTCTTTGCGCTCGCCTTTAGTTTGGCACCTACGATACATTTAAGCGCAGGACCATGGTAAGAATTCAGATCTCTTGTTGTACTTAAATGTCTAAGCACTGGACACATTGTAAGATTTTAGAAGGATAATAACTTTTCTTTGGAAATGAAAGAACCAGAATTGGCATTTGGTTGAAAAGTCAATATAGTGTGCTGCTAAAACCAGAACTGTCTCTCATCCTCTTGATGTGGTCAAGAAAAGGTTTCAGGTAGATTCTGCATTTTTTAAAACTGATTGCTAAATGCTTCTCTTTGTTCCATGTCAATCTGCTAGTCAAAAGACTTCGAGTTTTAACGAGTATCGTTTGGATCTGTTTTTGTCTTCCAGCACTGTCACTATCAGCGGGATTCGATTTTTTTTCTTTTTGGCTGTTGCACATTGAAGGACTACAGAGGCACCCAAAATATGAGGGTGTGTACAGATTAACCAAATATTTTTCTTAGTGTCACCACTTGATCAATATTAAAGAAGTGTTTAATACTTTTCAATATTAAAAGTATTGAAATATATATATATATATATTTTTTTTTGGTCTTGTCTTGTCTCGTGGATATTTCAATACTTTTCATGGCCTCTATTTGATTGTATTTATATTAGTGATTCTTTTTTAATTTTGAAATTGTGCTTCTAATAAGTTTATAATGATGACAAATTGACAGTGTTCAAAATGCTTCTCTCTTAATCATTCATCACAGTCAAATCATTAATCAAAATGGAGTATTTTCTATTAAAATGCAAGGATTGATTTTTGTGAACATTAGCCACTTATTTATGATATATTAGGAATTTTGTTTAGCTATTTCGAAAAAATATTTAATACTTAAGTTTATTTTTATTTTTTATCTTATTGATGTTTGAAGACTTTTTATGTTTTTTCAATGTAATAATTATAAATTTAAGAATACTATGTAAGATATATAATCTTTTTTTATTTGCATTCAACAAGGTGTAATTTTTTTTATTTACTTGTTTTTGACAAAAAAGAAAGTAAATTATTAAATTTGAAGGTTAATTCAAACTACAACCCTAGAGGTGGTTTCCATGTCTCAAATTATTTTTTGCTAAGATTTTAAAAAAACACATACTTAGAGACGACTACCAACTGCCGCACATATTTTGTACTAAAAATAAACTATAACACAATTGATATTGTAGAGATAATTTTAACCGTTTCAAAAAATTATTTTAAGACGGTTTAACTGGTTTTAAATAATTGTCTCAAAATTCACCGATGATTGAAAAAACCACCACATACTATGGCTAAGAGATGGCTATATTGCATTTTGTTTTAAGACGGTTTACATAATTATCGCTAATCTTTGTAGAGGTGGATATAACCGTCTCAACAAATTATTTTGAGACAGTTTCACCGAGTCTAAATAACTATCTCAAAATTCTCCCATAATTAAGAAAATAGCCGTTATGGCCTAGGGACAATTCCATTACAAGTGGTTTTAAAGTGGTTTACACAATTGCTGCTAGATGTTATAAAAGCAAGCATAACCACCTTAAAAAGATAAAAAAACCCAACTGCAACATCCTATTTTGGTGTAGTGATACCTATCACGCTGTGCTTAGCCCTTTCAATTGTTCAGCAAATTTTCAAGCCTAAGAACGGGCCCTGCTACCTTGAAATGTAGTTAGGCGTATGTTCACCGAGAGCAACTCATGATAAATCACTCATACGGTTTGTTAATTTTTTATTATCAATTCAGTAGGTTTAATCTTCACCTCTAATTTTTTTTTCATCAATTCAGAAGGATTAATCTTCACCTCTCCTTACTTGATCTAATCCTCACATTGCAAGATTCTATATGGTGTAAGAAAAGCCGATCAAGTGGCTTGGAATCTCTATTAACTAACATCTTAACAGTGGAGAAACTAGAAAGTTAGGATATTAACAAAAAAACTAAAAGAATTGAGGTGTTCATTGTTCATCACTATTCATTTACTGTAGTTTGTTTTTTTTGTTATTATTTTGAACTTTCGTGGGTAAGAGTTATGCAAATTTTTATACTTTAGTTCCTAATATTTTCAAGCATTTTGTTTTGATCTATATCTTCATTTACCGATATATTTTGGTCTCTAAGTATAGAAAGAAGGGAGGAAAGAAGAGAGAGATAAGAGGAGAGAGAGATAGTCTCGTCAAGCTTATTTAGGTCATTTTGACTGACGAAAATCCATTAGATTTTTTTATTTTTTAGAGATGAGTTTGTCCATAGTGGTTTCAAGTCATGAAACAATTAAAGGAGGTAGATTGGAGCAAAAAAAAAAAAAGTTTCGATTTGATTGTGCATTTTTTTTGTTTTGGTGTACATTAAAATGATTTTTATGGTTTTAAATGCTTTTATTGACTTTATTTTGGTGATTTAGAGGTGTTTAGGGGAAAAAAATGATTTTGGACTTCAATTTCTAAGGATCCGAAACTTGACCTTCGATTTTCCAACGAAGCTTCCGACGACCTCGAGTTCACCAAAAGTTACGGTTATTTTTTATTATTTTTTAATTTTTTTATATATATTTATATACATGCAACCTGGTTGTACAAGCCAACCAAATGCCTCTCCTTTGTTTTTTTTTTTCCTTCTTAATATATATATATATATATATATATATATATTTGATTATATTACTCTTATTGTTTAAATTTATTTTTTTAATTATTTGTTTCTTATTAAAATTCTCATTAAATTAATTTTTTGATATAATTTTATTTGTTAATAAATTTATTTTTTTTAATATATGAATTTTGAAATAAAATTTTTAAATGTCGGTGTTTTATTTTTTAAAATATATCATTATAATTTCTACAATAAATTATTTTTTTCTTTTTAAATGATATATATATATATATATATATAAAGTACGTTTTAGATAGTATGACTCTTTAAAAAAAAAAAATTAAAAATCGATTAAAAGAATTCACAAGTTTTATTTGCTCTTTTATATATATTTATTTAGAATTTATCGAAACCAATTTTATTGTAGTTTTTATTTTAATATGTTGACTTTAATATATTTCATACAATTTAAGTCGTTTTTTTGTATATTTTATGTACTCGAATACGTTATGTATAATGTATATACGTGTGTGTGTGTGTGTGTGTGTGTGTCATTAATTTTGTTAAAAATTAACTATATATCTACATACATAATACATATTATTTGTTATTTATTTTTTCATATTTAAAAAAAATAAAAAAAATAAATTATATAATGTTTTGAAAGAGCTTCCCAATTATTTAAATACAAACTTTTATGTTAATATTATTAAATATTTGATTAATAAATATATATAAATCAAATGATTTCGCTCAATATATATATATATATATATATATAAAATTTACATTAATCATCGGGAATAAAACTTCTACTCACCCTACATCATACGAATTGTTAATTTTAAATATACAACGGTTGTTTTACCGCAATGTAATGCATGTATCTAGCTAGTAATTGAAAAAAAAAACAAATAATGGTTATAGAATAATAAATAACTTTTTGGTGGGCGCAAAATGCAGATCTTCTATGATAGAAATATTAAAACCTTAAATCCAAGGGAATATTTAAAATATATATATATATATATTTTTTAACATAAATCGGAACTTTGTCGAACTTTAGAGGTGCCATGGACTCATAAGCTATGCTGTAGTCCCGCCACGCACTGACAGTTAAGGTTGAGCAGATTGTTTTTTTGCAACAAAACAAACATATGGTTGTGTAATCTATTAAAAAGTGTTATCTTTTTTCTACAGTAATTAATAATATTTATTTTATAAGAGTAACAGATACATAAAAAAATAAAAAAGAGAGAATTAAAAAAAAAAATTGAGCTTGTTCTTATTATTTTAATGGATCCAGTGTTTTTTTTTTTTTACCTATATCTCTTTTCAAAATAAATTCATAAAATAATAATTATTAATTATTTCTTAAATATCTTTAAAAAATTCCTAATTGTAGTTTACAATTTGCAATTTTACCCCAACAAAGGGGTATTCTTAACATACTCAAAGCTGATGTCACAGTGCTTACGACAACATTGTGTGCTACATCATGGCAATGGATATCAATGAAATCATGCATGACGCTTCTTGAATAAAATAATCATACTTATTGGCAAAATCACAGATGGAAATAAAGCAGCAACTTAGTTAACTTTTTCCCTTGAATTCTTTAATCATTCTCGTTCTTAATTTTTCATATCTCAGTCATGTTATATATATATATATATATATACATACACGCACACATTCAGCACGTGTCATGTGCCTGAAAGAAATTGAAAGGAAATAAAGAAATAGCCACTTTCGGTTCGGCCAGGCGTTTCAGCATCTTATACCTTTCTTCAATGATTTCAACACTCTACCAAAAAGTATTCCCACGTAAATTTCATGGATACAAACTTTCATCCAACTCAACCTTTCTTGCTTGAATGAAAATCAAATGCATTATTCCCGTTCTTGTTAGTAATTATTTAACCCTTTTGGTGTCCCTTTGAGATTCAGTGAAAGAAGGGAAAGAAAAATCATCACACTCACAATTCCTAGTGAGATATGTCGAAACAACCAGAAGAAAATGCTAGTTCTAGTAGTAAAGAAAGCAAATTCAAGGCCTTCTTCAAAGATGTTATAACACCAAGAAAGCCACCATGTCAAGAAGAGCTAAATTCTGACATGCGAAATGTTATGCTAGTCGGAGCTGCGCTGATCGCGACCGTGACCTTCCAAGCTGGAATCACCCCACCTGGTGGAGTTTGGCAAAGCGATGATATTCTGGGACATAGAGCTGGGCATGCTGTTTATTCTGATCAGAAAATCCCTTTCCAGATTTTCCTGATATGTAATACTATTGCACTAACGTCCTCCATTTTTATCTTATTATGTCTAACCTTTAGGTACCCTTATTTCTTGGAAGTTTTGATTGCTTCAATTTCTATGATGGGCACTTACAGTTCTGGGATATATTGCATTACACCTTATGAATCAGTGTCGTTTCGCCTCATCTTCGTCGCTGCTCCTGCACCAGCTATAATACGGTTCGTCATATGGGTGGTTGCCTCTGCATTTCGCCATCGACGAAAGTAATGGACAATGGTTCAAAATCTGCTCCTGCGCAGTATTGCAACTGGTTCGGTCTCGAGATTCTTTCATTATGCAGAATTATATGTTTGATTCTTCTTTCATTTATTTATTATTTATTATTATTTCTTTTTTAGCTGTTCTTCTTGAGAGCAAAAATGTTCTGATATTGTGTTGTAATCATTGATTGTAACAAAATAAAAAATAAAATTCAACCTTGGATCTTCCCCAGTTTCATTTTTTATGTTTTCTATTAACTAGAACTTAAATTGATCTTATTGGTTCTTTCTTTTGTGGCAAATATTAAAGGACCATCTCATCTAAAAGCGTTAGATTGATAGGTGAGGTCCTATAATATAATTTATAATAGTCTCTAACATACTCCATCAAATGAAAGCCGATGGTGAGACTTGAACTCGGGATCTCTTGGTCAATCAAGCTCCGATACCATATTAAAGGATCATCTCATCTAAAAATTTAAACCGATAGGTGATGGCTCATAATATAATTTACAATAGTGTCTAATAGCAGGGCTCTGTTCTGCTGGACGCAGTTAATTACTATATGTTGATCTCCATTGGCATGCTGCCACTGCAGTGAAACTCAGAGCATTAGTAGTGAATATTTCAACTATGATTAAGAAAAACGACTAATCAGCTTAATAAGTACTTCAATGGGCTTAAGCCTTTTTCTCCAAGTAACTTCTCCATCGTTTTCCCACATTTATTAATAGAGTTTTTTAGTAAAAAAATTGTGAATATTTCCCATCTAATAAGCATTTTTTATGCAATAAATTGATGTGTTATAAGGAAAATTTGACAGAAAAGTTAACTAACACTAATCTAAGAATATGGTTGAGAATTATTTTAAACATTTAAGATCAAATTATTATAATTTATAAGTTTGAGATCTAAATTAGCAATTAAATTGAGTTTCCTCGAAATCGTGCTCAAAATGTTAGATTAAAGACAAAAAAAAAAAAAAATCGAAGCAGGTTTAATACTCAGCATGTATAATCGTTCACACATGCACAAAACCAAAGATGGTTTCTTGTTCATTCACGCTTATTCACACTACTTTTATTTTATTTTATTTTTGTTTTTACCCTTGAAAGAGGCACATCCACACTTTCATATGGTGCAGATAATTGTAATAAATAATTGCAAGACTTGAAAAAGTGTCTCGATTCCCCAGGTCAATTAGCAAAACGACAAACCAGTCCAGCTCAACTTCTGTCCAAACTTGCACCTTTCTTATTCCGGTGGGGCAATTTGGATAACCAGATATACGACACTGATGATCACGATTCACACATGTTATATACAACTTTAAATTCATTTACTTACATTGACTCGTTACATGCTTTATATATATTAATCAAAATTGGCTAACTGATTGGTGTAATGAAATTACTATGGTGGGTCTCTATAGTACGATTGGCTCTTTATCTTTATAAATAACCTCTAACAGAGGCAGGGTGCTGGTTTATATCAAGCACACATCTTAATTTGCCTGAGTAAAAATGTCTCAACCTGATAAAAAAAAAACTACAAGAAGTGTTAGCTGGTTCAAGAAATTTCAGTATGATAAAAAGAGAGACTCGCCAAGTGAAGCTAGAAATGTTTTGCTAGTGGTTGTGGCCTTGATTGCAGCAGTGACTTTCCAAGCTGGGGTGAACCCTCCTGGAGGGGTCTGGCAAGATGGAGATCATGCAGGAAGGGCAATTTATGCATCTCAAAAACGTGCTTACTATGTTTTCTTGCTATCAAACACCTTGGCACTCTCTGCATGCATACTTGTCATTACATCTCTCACTTACAAGTTCCCTTTGCATTTTGAAATATGGGTTGCTACAGCTTCAATGATGATAACTTATGCATCGGCAGTTTTTGCTGTTACCCCTCATGAATCTGTGCATTTTCGCTATCTTTTACTTGCAGCTTCTGTGCCTTTTGTCATAAGGCTTTTGAGTTATCTCTTCAAGAAGTACTGTAGAAGTGAGAAAGAGAGTCAAATAGGTAGTCAGGCTGATGGAGAGAAGAAGGATCAAAAAGATGGGCAAGCTGGTCAACAAGTGTAGATTTTACATATTTTTGTAGTTTAGGACCGTGGGCTTTTTTGTTTCTAGTTCCATTTGTAATTCCTCCGTTGTAGCAGTCTTGCTCTTATTAGCAGCTCTTGTACTCTTTTGTTCAGTACTAATAACTACGCATCCCGTGATGCTTTGTTCAGTACTAATAACTATCCACCACGGGATGCTGATTTAAGATTTCTCTAGCTAAATTAAGTTATTTCTTGTTTTGTGAACACTGGAAGCTTTAATTAAATACTTCATGTTCATCACATGACATTATTATGTGTATTTAACAACATGATTTCTTTCCAAAGAGAGGTTCTAAGTTCCCATAAGTACTCCTTCAAATCCATAAAAGTGGATTTTGCTCAATCTGCTTTCAATTGTCAAGCTAGTAATGATTTCTTGGTGCTCAATTATCACCAGATCACTAAGCCTGCGGAGATCTTCAATTTGACTCATTCTATTTAGTGGATTAATGTAAACCTTAACAAAGAGATTGATTTTACACAAGCAGATATGCCCTAACCATTGCGTATCTGGTAGTTTTTTTTTTTTTCAGTAAATTAACTCCAGTTTATTTAGTTATTATGCAACGAGAGAGTGCTACCAAGAAGAAAGGATTTATTTTAATTCTTAGTATTAGTCTATGTGGAGACGCTCGCACAATTAAACTTAGTTCTTAAGAATGCTCTCTGCGCATATAAAGATCTTGTCTGCAGAGAGATTTTGAGTTCAGAAAGTAGAATTTACTAGAGGCAATGGCTCTTCCTAAAAGTTCTGGGAGGAGTTGGTTTAGTTACTTCCAATATGATGAAGACAGGGACTCGCCAAATGATGCGAGAAATGTTTTGCTAATCGTTGCAGGGCTAATTGCAGCAGTAACCTTTCAAGCAGGGGTCAATCCTCCTGGTGGGGTGTGGCAAGATAATGAAAATGGAGATTTTGCAGGAAGGGCAATTTATGCCTCACAACCTAAGGCCTATTATGTTTTTATGGTATCAAACACCTTGGCACTCTCTACATCAATTCTTGTTATTGGTTGTCTAACTTACAGGTTCCCTTTCCATTTCGAAATCTGGGTTGCTACAGCTTCTATGATCGTTACTTATGGTTCAGCAGTTTTTGCTGTTACCCCTCATGAACATGTGCATTTTCGATATCTTCTGTTTGCTGCTGTACTGCCTTTTGTAGTGAGGGGTTGGATTCATCTGTGCAACAAATGTCGAAATAGAACTCATGAATAATTTTGATGGATGGCCTGAATTTCCCCAGTTCATTTTCTGTGTGCAATTTTTGTTGACTGTTTATTGAACCAAATATTTCAACATGGTATTTCTTCCACCCCGTCATATTAAAATTATGTTTACATTCCATGTACAGTAGTAGGTCATTTTCGAGTGACTTTTCTTATAAATTTCTTAATTTCATTGATTGACAAAAAATGTTAATAGATCCTTCGCTTAACTTCATTCCAAAAATTCACAAGTTAAACACCTGAAAACCTAGAAAGTGATGGGGATTGGGGGAGTTTAACTTTAGAAGCTCTTTAAAGAGATGGGCTGAGCACAGACTAAAAATTTCTTACGGGGCCATTTTAAAAGAAAAAGAAAGGACTTTTAGCTATTAATAGGGCAATTGAAAGCCTAAAAAAGATAAAGGCTTTATAAAAAACCCGAGCCCAATACAATTCCTTTTTAATTTTTTTCAGCGCCGATCATATATTAGCTTGGACTAAATAGTTGAATGTACAATTTGGGCTTTTTCTAACGTGATCCATCGGCTTCTGTTTTCCAGCCCATTAAGGAATCCAGAGCTTTCCTTTATGGGTAAAACACAAAACTGGAATCAACCCAAGAAATCTCATTTTCTAGTTTCAGTTGCTTTAAATATATGATCCTGTGACATTTCAGAGACAGCACATTTAGATGCCAGCCAATTTGAGATCATTAAATCAAATCTCAAATTGCATCTTCTCGTATCAATTATAATCCATATATGAGCTATTCCTCATAATTTAATCACAAATTATTAAAAATTCTTATATAAAAATTGATTCAAAATTGTTATATGAAAACTGATTCTAGAATAATCGATCTTAAGGAAAATAAAACTATTGAAAGCATTACTAAGTTTAACTTGTGTACAATTTCTCCGAAAGAAAACTTGTGCATTAATATGTTTGGACAACAATTTGAAAATTAAGAAAAGAAGATCATGAAAGATGGACGTGGAATGAAAATTGAAGTTCTCTCTCTCTCTCTCTCTCTCTCTCTAAGACACAAACACAGAAGAAAGTGGTCGTCCATGATTGCACATGTTGTATGTCCCCTTACAAGCATAGTACAACTGTCAAATTCTATAATATGTCGTCACCTTCCAAAATAACCACAACAAAACAGTATTCTTTTTGTCAACTATCCATGTCACTCACCATTACAGCCTTTACGCTCACCACTATTGTTCCTTTCTCAAACTTTGTCCAATTAAACAGCACATTGCCACATTCAGCACTTTTTGGTGGATTCCTTATCCCAAAAGTTTAGAGAATCTTATCATTTACAAAAACAAGCAAGCATCGACCTAATCATCCAAAAAGAAAAGAGAAATAAAATTAAGTCAACCCAATACATTCTGTCGGTTAATGGTACGATGGAGAGATAGACATCGATAGCCAGACTGCAAAGAAAATAATCTCGTCTGTACATATAAAATAAACTAAAATTCAAAACCCATTACAGAAATCAAAATTAAAAAAGCAAGTTGGTTTAGTACAAACCAAGATATGAGAAGAGATCGAGGAGACTGGAGGATAGTCACTATCTCTATAACTAACTTGCTACATTTTAGGACTTATAATCAAGCTGTAGCTAATATAGCTTAATTAAACAGCAAGTTGCTGTTGTTGATGGGATGTCTCGTCTTCGGTGAAACACAAATGGACTTTTAGTGATCTCCCAAAGTTTAGTGAAGATTCAGCAAAATTTAGAGAAGGTTGTTGCATCATCTCTCTTTGAAGGTAGGAGCAATATGTGTGGAAAGTATTTGGAGTCACATTTAAATGGAAGCCTAATCCAAACAGAAAATCCACTTCAAGATAGTTCATCTCAATTGTGCTAATTCCTCCAACTTTTGCGTAGTAAGCATTGTTGTAATACCTGAAAATCACAGAACATAAATTAGGAATCGGAAATTAAAGATGAGTTCTACTATTTGAAGGTAATTGCCATAACAGGAAACCTTGTGAGGCATTTTCACAGTTACTGGTCTTCAATTAGGTCTTGAATTACCAATTCAATGAGTTTTCGATACATCAACATCATATGCATTTACAGTGACTAGCTGAAAGTTAAAAATAGGGTGCCACATGGCTGCAAAAGAACAAGTACTACTTCGCAGAAATAAACCAAGAAGTTCCTAAATAAATAAAACTTGAAAGAACCAAAGTTAATTTTCCTATCCGGGTGGTTTATTGAGCTCCACAATTTTCTTTTTAACCTGATTTGCAGAAAATGCTAAGAACAGAAATGCTAGAAATCAAACCCAGATCTTAAGACAGAAAGAATGGCCATGAAGTTAAATTCAAACCAAGAAAAGCAATTTAAAGAAAAACAAGTCCACCAAAAAGAAGTCAAATAACTATCAAGATAACCAACGAATTCCCAGAAATCAAATCCAACGAATTCAAATTTCATCAAATAAAGAAGAATCAAGAACTCACATGTCATCCATGAACTTTGCAGAAACCAAGACACTTGTTATAAGCAACCGATGAACATTGAATGAATTGATAGGCAAAGAAGGTTGTCTTTGAGCAAACCTATCAAGATAAACATATGCAACAACAAAGCAACAAGGGCTACAATTTGCGTACTCGAAAATTCTCTCCAAGTAACTTTGAATAGAGATAGTAGGCCTAGTCAGTCCATGAAAGACTGAAATTTTCTGTGGCTTAAATCCACGGTTAAAATCATTAGATTCAGCTACCCTTTGAAGCAAAGAAGAGAGAAATGCGATTAGTTTTGGCATCACATTTGGGCTTTCTAGCTCTGCCATTGATGGGCAAATTATGCTAAATGGTTGGAATTTTTTTGCCGCTTGCTTGTTTCGGGTTTTACTAAATACTATGTGTATACATGTAGCAAACAAACGTGGTGGTGAATGGGGTAGGTTTCTTTATAGAAGAAAATGCCCTTATGTTTTTTGAACTATGACTTGCGTGTCCTCTTTCATTAGTGGAGTTGGGGCTTTCGGGATCCTTTTAAAAGTTCTTGGATTTGAGTTCGGTTAATGATGAATATTATTTTAATTTCAAACTTAACTTGAGGGAGAGGGAACACAAAAGTTGGTTCCATATTGGATTGTCTTTTTCATTTTTTTTTTTAATATTTACAAGTTATATGATATATGATAGTTTTTTTTTCTTTTTGAATCACTGAAGCCAATTTTTTGAAGTTTGGAATTAATTTGTTGCATGAAGTTACATCTATCTTTGGATCAATAAGGTTTTATATATCTTGTTTCAGTTAGGTGTAGTCTTAATTTTTGTAAGTGGATTGGTACTTTTTTTCTTTTTTATAGCATTAATGGGAATTTAGCGGTTTTTATTTCGGTGATTTTAGGGATGGGCAAGCCGTACCCATCATGTGATTACATGTGGAAAATATTATGTGATCGTAGAAATTTAAGGGAGGGTCCCACGTTTTGAGAGATCTTGCATGTGTTTTGATTCTAGCTAAAAGCTTGCAGAATAAGGTGACATAACATGGATTTGTTGTATGAGTCCATGGCATTAATAGATGCTGCTTATGCTAGCTTTAGTTTTGTTATATTAAAAGCATACCATGCACATTAAATATCAGAAATCTTGGTCATGAGAGTTTGTGGGAATTGCATCCTTTTGTTTTTCCTTGCTTTCAAAGCGGCACGACTTGAACCTCCCATGTTTTGTGCGAAAAGGGTATCCATTGCTAGGTCAGCCAGATCTTAGAATCTCAAGCTATAGATATATATATAGTTTTGCGACTATATCAACCTTGCTAGCTAATAGCTTAAACCTGTCTACAATTTTGACAGCAAACGTACGAAATCTTTGGATACAGGCTGGTTTGTGGTTGGATTTGGCTAGGATTCGTTGACTAGTTAGAACTTGATGGCTGTAATTGTAATCATAGATGATTGATCAAATGCATGGATATGCAACTTTACAAGAAAACAACACTTAATTTTAAGAATTTTAAGTTTGGCTATTAATTAACTTAATCACCCACGTCAATGGAAACAATAAAAGCTACTGTCAAAATTGATTCCTGTGAAGTTGGAGGTTAAACCGAACAAAGTATAAATTTAATACTACCATAAGTTAAATCTTTTTAAACTTCAACCAGTTAGGAACCACGCTTATACCCAGCTCTGCCACTTATTTGGTACTTGTTTATTTGTTTTGAAAGTTAAAAGCCAGCTCATTGATAAGGCCAGCTACTAGCATCCTTGTATGCTTACAACATGTTAGCTGAAAATTCATTTGTTGCCTGCTTTTGGAAACTCGAGGGCAGTTTAGGACAAATCACAGGCCTGTTATAATAAAAATAGAAAGAAAACCGGACTTTACAGCAACAAGCTACAGTACAGTTACACCCTCTTCGCTGTCTTTTCCTGAGCATTCTCTAACCGAATTTACTGCAAAATAAAGGGCTTAAAATTCACTTTATTTGACAATAAGCTGCTTGTTGCTCAATTGAGTTCGAACCTTCCCTTGTAACCAAAAAAACAAAAAGAAAAGGCATAGCAATTGAATTCACTTTTTATGTTCATCTCGTTTTTGAATTACGAGGAAGGTGTGAAATATATTTCTTGTAAAAGCACAAGTTTTCTATGGATGATTTACGTAACATTTGACTATAAAAGAATTTTATCTCGATTTGTACCAAGTAATTCAAAAATATTCTAAAAGTTACCTAATAAAAAAATTCCAAAAATTAAACTGCGAATAATTTTTGGTATTACGCTAGCTGTAATTTCAATATCAATTGGTTCTTTTTTTTTTTTTTATAATTCAGAATATTCGGGTCGACTTGCGAGCATCGTGGCTAATCTTTGGAGCTCATTGAACACCCCGCAAGCTCGGGAGCATGTAAGGCACCACGAGGGTGACGGACGTGCGCGAGAGAATCAAATCCAAGTGATCCTTAGAGGGTAAACCTTGGTTCCGCTAGGCTACGACCTCAAGCGCATATCAATTGGTTCTTCTACCTTGTCATACTCGCAAATTTTGAGATCACAAAAAAATTGTATGATATATGATGAGATTGTGAACTTCGTTAATAAAATGTGATGCAGTGGAATTTTTTCTTAGCTAATTCTGTTGTGAAGTTGAATAGCTGACGATGATTATGCTAACTAGTGTATATATAAAATAAGCTTTTTTTTCTTTTTTTTTGTTGTGGGTTACAAAATCTTTCAATAATTAAGTCATTATTTAAAGAATGTATTTTCTATCCTCCAGTTGATAAAATATAAATTCTCAACCAAATGTTCAAAAATAGCTGGAAATAGCCGTAAGTTTAAATCACGGATCGTTAAAAAAATAATTATAGTTATTATCGCGTATGGTAATTTATTGAAGTATTAAAATAATGATAATAAAATAATTTAAAACCATTATATATCGGCAACTACATAATATAAGGATGAAGGTCCTTATTTAAAACTATGGCCATAACCAATCATCCACGGATTGTTTCGATAATGTGAATGCCTTCGGGGAAGTCCTAGGACTTCTAAACTTGCTGCCAGATGGGATGTTGGACGTGGATTCTAGCGTCTCCACGTATCACATTCGATAAGATACATAATTTTTCTGAATATATCAATATAAATCCAAAAGTTGAGCAGATATCAAACCATATATGTACTTAGCTAGAACATAGAATCCGACATTAGATCAAATGATTGAAGGTCAGCAAGGGTTTATTTTGGAAAGAAAGCAACTGCCAAATGCCAAGCTGGAAGCATGTTTTGCTTGGAGTGAAACAAGAGAAAAGCTTGTCTTTCTAAGACAGCTTCTCTCAACTTGTATATTTCTATTAGTACATCAAAATCTCTAAAAACATTTCTTTTTTGGATCTTTCTCGCCCCATGTGCTTTTCCACGTGAGCCAGCCTACTGTATTGCTGCTAACATAATTTGCTACCACAAAAATTATACTGAAATACTTTATACTAAGAAATTAAAACAAATAAAAAAGGACAACATTAATAAGACCAGCCCCTATCCATGGCATGGCAAGTGGGTCAAATTGATGAATACGAACTATCACAGTACAAATGCCAAGTACTAATGATAAGCTCTCATGCAACAAGGAATAAACCTAAACCAAAAGGAAGTGCATGAAGTCCAAAATGTTGGCACGTGGAGCATGTTACAAGGTGTGTGGTGCATTTTGTTTTTTCTGGCAGTCACTTGTCACCGACGGCTTATTTTGTCAAGTAGCTACTTAATTAAGATTGGAAAATCTGGAGTGCTATCAACATGATCTTACTAGGAGCCAGTTTGGCAAGAAAACAGGTGTAATTGTTAGCTAGATTGTGGAGTTTCAGTCCCTATTTTGTCTTCCAAGGTATGGGAGTTGGTCCCATTAAATGACTTACATTCGTCAACGAAAATGAAAGCCTAACAATTTGCTGTTAATATTTGGTAACATAAACAAGTGGCGTTATAATGACAGTTCTTTAAGCAAGGAAAACATGATTTCTTGAAGGTGTTTTTCCTTGGCAAGGTGATAAAGTTTCCAAGATTTGCCTTTAATGAGTATGAAAAATACTAGTTTTTGAAAATAGACTTGTTTTTGTTTTATAGGCTAATGGTATTCTATAGATGGATTTTCCACATTAAGAGTAGAAGATTCATGTAAACTTTACTTCACAGATTTGATTTATGATAACAATACTGGTTAAACATCTGTATTGGCTAACGTTTGCTAAATTCTAAAGTAAACACGAATGCAGGGGGTAATTAATTGTGCTGCTTATTGACCAAACCAAACCACCAAATCAGGATTGGCTTGTACGGGATCCTCTGATCTGGGCGTCTGTAGTGTGTTGGGCTACAGTTTATTGTACTGTTGGGCTGGGTCTGATAAACCGATCCCCTTGTTGTGGGATTATCACTAACAGTTTCAATTATTTCGCTTTGGGGCTCCGAGCCCTGGTGTTTATGAAGCTTCGTGCTTTGATATTCAGCTTGGGCGCAGCTTGGACCCATCAAGGACGGATTTTGTTTCAGTAGCTAAAAAAGATGGCGACAGAAGCCTTCAACTTCTCTTGTTTCATACAATTGGATACTTAATATAGATTTTTTTTTTTTTTTGTCCAGTGATAAGGATATCTTCAGACTAGTATATAGTTTATGCATGAAACGAGACTGAGCACCACTTTAGAAATAGAAATGACAAGCAATGCTTGTAAATTTCATGGGTCACTTATTTCACCAACACTGCTATGGAATAACTAAGAAGAGACTTAGGGATCAAATTGTGTTCAAATCAAAAGCATAGGAACTGATTGATATTCAGTTTGTGGTCATATAGGACGACTTAACTATATAAATTAAACTGCTTTGGTGACTTGACTACACAAATTGCAACAAAATTTTAAAACAGCAGAATTGGAAATGGCTTACAGTCATTAATTACAAGGAGTCGAGGGATTCATTCCTTTGCTGAGCATACATTTGAGGACAAACATCTGTATAAATATATATTACGCCACACCAGAACTTCCAAATTTCAAATTCCAGGCCACCATTGGTAGGACCCATAAACCTGGCAAGTGATGATTGTCACAAAGTAAAGCAGCTTGTGATCGAAGCTCTGGTCGAATCTGCTCAACAACGCAAGGTCCGAAACATACAACTTCCTGCATATAGAAGCACGCAATGGAGTTGTCACAGACTATCCTGCAATTGGCTGACAAGCATTTCAGACCCATCCTCATCATCATTTTCCTCATTGTCAATCTGGTCGTCAGTTCTCTCTTCCTTTGTTGATAGCTCATCAACAGTAACAGGCATGCCTAGGAGTGATGCATATGCTTTATCTTTAAGATGTCCTGACTGCCTCACAAAACTCTCTAAAGCTTCCTTACTTTCCATGTCACCTTCTTCCTCACAAAGCTTAAAAAAGGAAGATACATTTGCAGGATTTGGCTTCCAACTCTTTGATCCTGGAGTAGCAAAAGCTTCCTTCAAGCAAGATAATGCCTCAGAAGTTCTCCTTTCTGAAATATGCCCTTGAGCAAGAATTTCCCATGTATTTGAATTCGGCTTTCCTCCTTCTTCAAGCATATGGTCAAAAACACTCTCAGCTTTATCCAAATTTCCCTGATAAACATAAGCAGATATAAAAAGATTTGCTATTCTTGGATCATAAGATGTCTTAATTGATAGCCATTCCTCATAAATCTTTTCTGCTCCCTCAATGTCATCCATCCGAACCAGAGATGAGATAATAGCATGGTAACCCAAATTTGGAATGCTGGGAAAAATAGATTTGTAGATATTCCATACACGATAGACCTCTTCTTTGTTACCGACGTTACCATATAGGGAGAGGAGATAGTGATAAGGTATTCGATCCCGACCTGTGATTCTACTCTCAACCCTCCTCAAGCAATCTTCAGCTTTTTCAAACTGTCCCATCTTAATGTACATAGTAGCCATTGTGCTAAAAGTTGTCCAGTTAGGGTTAATGGATCTATCTGATTTCATTTGCTCAAATACCTGTTCCATCTTATCAGCAGATCCTTGTGATCCACAAGATGATAACCAGATATTATACGAATATATATCAAGCTTAATGTTTTTCTCATTCATTTCTGCAATCATCAAGTCAACTTTATCGTACTCCTTGATGTTCATATATAGAGTCATCATCACATTAAATGGAAGTGCATGCGTGACATAACCTTTATCTCTCATTTCATCAATCAAAGATTCTGCCTTTTCTCTCATTCTGTTTCGCACATAGGCATTCAGCAAAGCTCCATATATCCTCCTATCCTTGAAAGTGTTGGGAAGCCTTAGGAAAAAGACTTCAGCACTAGAAACTCCACGTACTTTGGCAATAAGGTCTAACTGAATAGCAGCATCACTTGGCGATGATCTAAACCTCTCTTGTCTATTGTTCATCCAATCATAGACCTATAGGACGAAATATAGTTTAGAACTTTAAAGCTTAAAAGGTTTAGAGAGTAAAAATTGATACACTCTAGTCTACATAAAGGGAAAAAAAAAAAAAAAAGGAGTAAACCTAATTGATTCAAAACATAATCTCAAGAACCAATGAAACCTAAATTCCTTGCAAGCAAAATTGTAAAACAGCAACCGTTGAATTTGATTCTATCAGTCAGCATAAACGATACCAAACATACAAAATTCAAAAGTTTCAAATAACAACCTAAAGGATAACAATCAAACATCCATGAACTATAACAAACTCAAAATACTAACTAAATGCCAACCCATGTAGCACTACTACATAAACTAGCCATTGAACAAAACAAACTCAAAAGAAAAACAAAAATATCCAAATTCAAACCACACCAAAAGGAGCTAAATTGAAAAATTCAAAACTTGTAATTTCTAAAGCCACCAATAAAAACAACAGACTTCTGCTGAAAAAACAAAAAACCATTATTCAAAAACACAAAATATAAACACCCAAATGAACCATTTTTTATTGATTTCATTACCTCAAGAGCTTGCTGGAACCTCTTATACTTCCTCAACTCCTTAACAACCCTACAAAGTTCCCATTTTGTGAGCCTTTTGCCTTCATTTTCCCACTGATTCAACACACTACCAGAACCCAATTCAGGATTCTCCATCAATGAAATCCTTCTGTATATAGCATTCCATTTTATCATTGGCCTTCTCTCATAGTCCACTGTTCCATAATTGTGGATACGTGATATTGAGCATGTGATTACTGGGAGTTTCTTGTAGTTTACAGTTGGGTGGAGGGTAAAGTTGGGATTTTTACATGGGAGAGTGTGAGAGTAGGAGATGGTTGATGATATAGAGACCTTGTGGTGATGAAGGGAAGGTTGGAGAAGCATCTTTGCTTAGGGTTTTGGGAGACCAACAAGGTGGAGTGCAAAGCAGAGAGGTTTTGGTTTTTGAGATTCTGTTGGCGTTGGATTTTGAAGATAAAGTTGATGAAATTACCAGAAAGTCCACCGCTACGAGTCTCTGGCTTGCCTTCCGAAAATACACCTTTTTATTGAAAAACTTGAATATCAGTTTTTTTTTTTTTTTGAAAAAACCTATTTTAATATCCTATATTTGTATCAAATCGATAAATTAAATGGTGTGTAATAATTTAACGAACTGGATTTTATATTCTCCTTATATTTAGACAATTCAATCCAAATATATTCAATTTTTAACAAACATTAAAAATTAAGTTTACAAGGGAAAATAGATTTATTAAATAGAGAGTCTAAATTAAAATTAGATTTTTCTCTTTTTTAAAAAAAAATATGAAATATAGGGTGTGAGATTGTGAAAGAGTCAAGCGTAGATCCCACTTAACTTATTTATTTAAAAAAAAATTAAATGATTTTTTTAAAGAAAAAACAGTTAAAATTATGTGCTATGCGGCATATATGTTCTATGCCGGTAAGTTTTTGAACATTCGTTAAGAATTAAAAACAATTAGATCAACTTATCTACATGCAACGAATATAAAGTCAAATTTACTAAATTATTTACCTATAATTTAATTTATTGATTTAATACAAATACAGGTTGTCAAAATGAAGTTTTCCATTTTTCTTCCATCTTTTTCCTAATGAGAATCGCTTTTGTTCAAGATTTCAGTCAATGAAGAAGGTCTGTTAATTATAAGCCATTTCTACAATGACTGGTTAAAAACCAAAGCTATTGCTTTTTCTAAAATAGATTCCCAAAACAGTCCCTGCCATATTTTGGATGGAACATACCTTAAAATCGTTGATATTTCCGTTCCGAATTAAATAGTTGCTTTGATGGATATTTGAGAAATTCAGTCCAGGCATATGAGCCGAATGTCGGAAACATTCGGTCCGTTCAAAGATACTGCCTTTAAAATTTAAATACAGTAGAATCCGCCAAATTGTAATTGACCCCACAATCTGCTTGCAAATTATATATTTAGTAATATTACATCCTCTTCTACGTCCATACTAAAAGGATCAGAGCCGAATACCATTTTTATAACCGGTGAATTAGTTACGAATTCAAATCTTAATATATTAATTTTATCAGAAACTTGGATGTATGAATTAAAAAATAATAATAAAAATAAAAAATCAATATCATAATGTGATTGGGCTTTGAAACAGTATGTACGGCATCGAAGGGGCTCGATAGAAAAAAAATAGTTGGAGCCCACAAATGTTTTAGCGGCAACACTGATTACGCTAACCCCACGGCAGATACCAGCTCTTGATGTTAAAAATGTTTTTTCATTTTCTTGATTTCCGAATTCGAAATTAGTACCCAAAAATATTTATTCCCCTAAAGATAGTATATCAGTGTTGAGGATGTACCTTTAAATAGGTTGAGAAGGAGACGAACTTCTCTCTTGTAAAAGAACTGAAGTGCAATTTGACATTTGACTACGAGTTCTGAACCTTTCAATACACCAAATCAGTGTAGAGTCCTCACAAAAAAAAGTGCTAAAATCCAACAGCTTCACACCAAGCAAAAATTATCTACACCTGACACCAGTCCTATAATATTTCTACACAAATAAAGTTGCAACATTTCTCAACGGCAGGCAGTTTGCTGGTGCAGGGAAGGAGCAAAGCTCAAGCAGAATAAAAAGAAAAAAGGAGACCGGGGTGGTAGGTAGAAAACTATGCTGAAGGTTGAGAGCCTTTAATAATGGTTGAGGTTCTAGTTACACATCATTCATAAAAATGGAGTATTTGTCAACCTCGCTCCCAATTAACACAAATTACATCAACTTCAACATGGTTAGCATTGTTCTTATAGCTTGATTAGCACAGCCGTTCACCGTTGGAGAGGTACTCCTATTCATGACCAGCCACAGCACAAAGTAGCAAGTGTGCTCTGAAAGGTTCAGGAGCATTCTGCCCAATTTATTTGCATTACATCCTTGATTTTGGTATTTCCATGAATATAAACTTTGGGCTCCTTGACCTGAAGAAAGTATTAAAAGTTAAAACCTATAACGACAAAATGCAACTACTCACGGAGAATGGTATCGATTTTCTACCAGGATGATAGGTGGAAAACTATGTTGAAGACGAACCCGTGAGAAGCCATTTACATAAAGCAAACACTTGAATCCATCAACAGCAGACTGTTCACTGTCAAAGATAGGAGGAAAAGTAAGGAATAAGCTCATTGATACAATAATATTAAAAAGCTATAATTCTCCTAAGAAAATCTCCCTTTCTTCAAAGGACAAACAGAAACGAGGACTTCAGTCTAAAAACATAAGAAGCTTCTAAAACTGTAACAATTCATCAGAATTCATCGTCTACAAAGTCCATGTGTGTAAATATAAGGCTCTAGAAGTGAAAATCGGGCCTGAAGTTGACGCACATCTGAGGCTCAAATCTTTCTTGGTGATGAATGTACAACGAATCTTAGACAGTTTAAGGGCATCTTTCTAACCCCAGTAACCCATTCAAGCAAAAATACATTCCCCTTCGCACAAATCATCTAGCATGTTGTAGCACAATCCTGCTTCTCGAGGAAAAAAAAAAAAAAACCTTGATGATAGAAAAGCTCACCTAACAAGATAAGTGAAATTCCTCCTGCAAAATTCTTCCAGAGGAATCCCCTCTTCTTTGGAATACCTATAGATCCACATTATGTGATAACAAAGCATCATGATTTTAGAAATTACAACAGCAAGTAACTTGTAACATAAAATTAAAAATTGCCCGAAGGAAGAACCACTGAAAGAATCACGAAAAACCAAGTATTACCTCCATGGTGAATCATTTTCACAAAACCGTGATATTCCATTCATGGCTGAAAAGGGATCGATGTGAACTGACCATTTATCAGTGTTATTAAGATGGCCTGTCAGAACAAATAAGATTTAATATTTTGTAAAGAAATAACAAAACTCAAACCCAAAAGAGAAAGTCTAAAAAGCAAAAAACAATCTCAAGCATATTTGATTTGGTAATAGATAAATTGGCATCCAAAGATAACTATAATGGTCCCCATTCAAATTTACATACTCATACAAATAATACAATGAAGCAGGAGCTCGAACTGCATTAGCTTTCATATAATTACGGTTTTTCTTTTAATAGTTTATTTACGTATTATTTATTGTTGTCGTGGTAGTTTGGAAGGCTAAGATTTAATTATTTAGGGGCTAGGAGTTCCTTTACTTAGGGTTTTGCTAGTATTTAAAGGCTGCTACTACTGTGATAAGAAACAACTTTAATATTTTGAGAATTTTATAAAGAGTTTATTCTCTTTTTCTGGCTGTTCAGCCCAGAAATCCAGCCTTTGGCTGTGTTAGCTATCTTTTACCTTTTCTTCCTAAGTCAGTTGATGGCAGCCACGCAAGCAAGAGTTCCTAGGTTCAATCAAAACCAAGAGATGTTGGAGTTGCAAAGGATGCTAAACCAACTGAAGAAAGAGGCGTTAACCCTACTTAAAATTAGAGTGACAGCCCTAAAGAAGACTTTGGAAGGTGACCACAACCACTTAGAGGTAACAGAAGGTAGTCATAAGGATCAAGACTCTTTTCATGACACTGGAGATTGGAGGAGGGAAAAACACTCCACTTCAACAGAGGAAGAGAGTTGACAAGTTTGTTGAGAAAAAGAAGTTATGGATTAGAGTTCTATGCCGATATATGATTAGACAGATGTGGTTGTGGATTGGAGTTTTCCGCCAATCTATGATGAGATAGATGCAGATTGGGGTTCTCCACCAATCTACGATGTTTATTGCGATGATGATCTTGACAAGGAGAATGATGACAGCAGTAACACTGAATGCAAAAAGTGCATCGTTGGCTTAAACTATGATAATCCTTTGACTACGTGCATGAACTCAAAAATAAGCTTCTACAGAGATTATATGTTCGCTGTGCTTGTTGATAATACAAAGTTGTACTATACAGTTTATTGTCCAAGACAACAATTGGAGAGGAATAATTTTGACGTTCTAAACATGAAACAAAACCACTATTCAGTTTTGATATGTATTTGAAGCGACGAAGGAAAAAGTTCTAAACATGACATAAAACCATTATTCAGTTTTGATATGTATTTGAAGCGAAGAAGGAAAAAGAGCTAGCAACTTTTCATTGGGCATCCAAGAGATCGAGGAAAGAAGAACTTGAGGACAAGTTCCTTCCAACCTGAAGAGAATGATGCAGGAGCTAGACCTTCAGTAACTTTCATACAATTAGGGTTTTTCTTTTAATAGTTTATTTACATATTTATTTATTGTGGTAGTTTGGACGGCTAAGATTTAGTTATTTTTAAGGGCTAGGATTCCTTTTACTTGAGGTTTTCTAGTATTTAAGGTTGGCTGTATTAGCTATCTTTTGCCTTTTCTTCCTACATCATACGACCAACCTTCAAAAAAAAAAATAAAAAAAGAAGCATCTAGGACACTTATCAGACAGAAAGCTCGACTGGATGGTTCAAACACAACCAGGTTGAACAATTCAAATAACCTAGTAAGCCTTCTACCAACTCAACATGAGCATGCACATAGTCATGCATGTATCCGATGTCAATGTATGAAAAAAAGAAAGAGAACGAGGACTCACCAATCTGGTGCAATTTTTTTAAAGCATGACCACTGGGATAATTGTCATATGATGCCAGAAAAAACACCATAGTGCAACCTAGACTACAGAGACAAAATGAGTGTATTAGGAGGCAAACAATATATTTGTGCCAACAAATAAAATGTCCAACCACCCAACCTGATAAAAAATAATCCCAGCATAAATACATTCAGAAATTTCCATAGAGTCTTCTCCCTATTATTGTATCTGCAACAAGTAATGAAGAAAAATCTTAAATCAATGACCTAAGAAAAATTGCAAATCAGATGACTATTG